TAACGAACGCAGTGATATATGTATTAAATTATTTATTTTATACATTGCGACACTATTTAAAAACTAGCTATCCGGCCCGGCTACGCATGGGTGGATAAAATTTTCGAAAATATGTTTACGGCTTTATACGTTGATAACGTAGCTTTCTATAGGTGAGGGAATGTCTAAAATCTCTTGAGTAGTTTTTGAATTTATATATTACAAACAAACAAATCTTCTCCTTTATAACATTAATATTGACTAACTGCCCGACCTAACTTCGCATGAGTACACATTCCCCGTACGATTTTTCAAAAATTTGGTTTTGTACAAACCTTGTCTTGACAAATAAAAATAAATTAGTAGTTGCAGTCGTTTTAAATAATAAATTATTAAATAAATAAATTAATAAGTATATATATATATATAAGATTTGATAAAATATAGGATTCAATTAAAATCAGTATACTTAGATTTTTGATAAAAAAATACACAGCAGTCTTCATTTAAAAAATAATTGCCAAGTTTTAATAATGATATTGTACCAACTTTATATTACTTTATTAATGAACTGCGACCCTAAGTCTTCTACGTCTCAACTTTTTTGATAAACTGTTTTGAAAGTTAAAAAGAAATTAATACGTTTTTTGTAGTTATTGATATTTTCTTCAATATTGTATAACATATTTTTGTTCTATCACCAATAGTTTCCGCAGTGCACGCGACGAAAGATATTTTATAGCATTTTTTACACCTTGAGTTACGTTACTAAAGTTTTAGTAAGGACCCCTAATCTTTTCTAGCAATAAATATAGCCTATGTTACTCAGGGTGAATGTAGCTTTCTAATGGTGAAAGAATTCTTGAAATCGGCAAAGTAGTTTTTGAGTTTTTTCATTACAAACATACATACACATAAAAACACAAATCTTTCCTCTTTATAATGTTAGTGTAGATATATGTACCTATTTTTACATTGTAAACTAATACGTATATAAACAAAAATTATAAATAATTATTCTAGCGAGAATAACACCATATTAATGGCCGTAATTCAATTGTAATTATAATACCAAGAATAAATGTAGGAATTATAAAAAGAGCATAGGTTACACTGTTGTTATACGTCTTAATCATTGTTTTTAATGCGTGTGCGCATACATGGAATGGAGCGCGCTGGGAAATACAATTAACAACGCCACCTATGTAGTTCTTAAGATGTATGTTCGTCATATTTACACGATTGTCCAAAAAAAGAAGGTAACGCTTCCAGCTTTTATGTATGTGAGTTTCTTTCCGTTATAACTTTTAAATACCTGAACAGATTTGGATGTATTATATATCGTTGAAATCCTCAGATCATTCCGAGTGATTTCGGCTATATAATTTTTGAAAATATTTCGTTTATATATTTAGAAAAACCTTTTTTTTTGTGTTATTACAATGTTACACTTACAAACTTTTTTAATTAGTCACTTTTTTTTATTTTACTGTAAATTTAAATAATAATAATTAATTCAAAAAACAATTTCAGTTGAAAAGAACGGGCAAGAAAATCAGCTATTGTTTTTTTTTTTAAACAAAAGTTTATTTTTTAATTATAAAACAGTTATCTTTAATTATATAAGTATATTTACGTAACAAAAGAACCGACAACTGATATGTTAGAAAGGTTCTTGAGCAGCGACCCCATACGGGCAACGGGCGTGTCCCTCTGACGCGACGCACGCTCTCCCACGAGATCTCCTGCGCACAGCAGGACCCATGCAGGGCGAGGATTAGCCGGCCCCGCGAAATTCGACGACTTATTATTATTATTTCCTACTTTTTATTCTCTCAACCGATAAGCAATGAAGCTTGGTCCACTGGACCGAAATTTATTGACGCGATGACGGTAAACCCCCAGTTGACGTCCAGGCAAAGAGCGTAGTGTTCGAGGCCCTCACCTGCATCTCCGTAAGAGGTCGCAGAAAACCCCGCAGTAAGAAGCACATTCTGTACCAATATTCCTTTTTTTGTGTGCAATAAAGAAAGAAACCAGAGGGAGACTTTGTACAAAAGTCGTTTGCTTGGGTACCTCTGTCCTATTCGTGTTTCAACTGTAAAGCAGTTGTGTTCGTATGGCTGTGTTTCGGTTTGAAGGGTGGGGTATGGCGTGAATTTACAGGCTACAGAGGAATAACACCTGAGTCCTCAGGAATGGCAACGCATGGGGGGTATCATGGGCGAAACAGTATACTCTGTTATATCCATGATACTGCTCATGTCTATAGGCGACGGTTACCACTTTGCATCAGGTGGGCCGTCAGCTTGTTTGCCATTCTAAGTTATATAAAAAAAAAGAAATAATTTAATCAAAGAAGCGTAAGAATAAAGATTTTATTATTACTATCGACACGTCAATCAAAGATCGACTGATCCTCAAACGAAGTAGTCGCTGTTTCGCGATGACTTCTGAATGACTTCACGTGTTGCGGTCACTGTTTTTAAGACTAATCGTTATTTCTACTTATAAAAAGGGGCGGGGGGAGAGGGGGGGCACGTGTTGTTGTGGTTCTCGAGCAGTGTAGTGACACGGAGAAATCCCACAACTTAATGGTCCAAGCCACAAGAGTGACGGACGGGTTACTAAGAATGGTTCTTACAACTATAGTGCCTAGTGTGCGTTGTACGAAGATTTAAAAAAAATAGAAATGAATCGCATATCCGGCAACTATGCGGCGTCCGGTCTATCCGGATTATTAACCGGCTTAATTTATTAACCGGCCAGATTCCGGATATTAAATATCTTTTTTTTTTTATACAACTTAGAATGGCAAACAAGCAGACGGGCCACCTGATGGAAAGTGGTAACCGTCGCCTATAGACATGAGCAGTGCCATGGACATAACAGAGTATACTGTTTCGCCCATGTTACCCCCCATGCGTTGCCATTACTGAGGACTCAGGCGTTATTCCTCTGTACCCTGTAAATTCACACCATATCCCACCCTTCAAACCGAAAAACAGCCATGAAAACACAACTGATTCGCGGTTGAAACACGAATGGGACAGAGGTACTCAAACAATCGACTTTTGTACAAAGTCTCCCTCTGGTATATATATAATATACATAAGTAAATCCGATACGAGTACGTACATACAACAGTGGAAACGGACGTGGGTTTTGTCGAAGGAAACTGTATATTATTATTGTATTACAACTCACTCAATACCAGAATTTAATCTGTGGTATAAACATTTTCAATTTAATCAGATCTCTAATATCATCATCTTCCTACCCTTATCCCAATCATTTGGGGTCGGCGTAATATGATTTTATCCATATTACAAAAAGACTTGGTTTTTTAGTTTTACGACCGGCCACCTGTCTGACGTCAACCCTCTTTGGGAATCAGATCTCTAATATCAATCCACAATAATACAAGCTCTGCTTAGCTTTGGACTAGGTGACGCTGTCTAATATAACTGCTTCAGGGGGGAAAGGGATTGTTAGTAATGGGGTGGTTAGTCCCTATCGCTATCAATATACATTATCAGGTCGACCTCCACGCGGTTCCCCCTGGAAACTATCGTGACTAATTTATCGTTGAGTTCGTCACGATGAGCTAACTGACCTTTTCATCCTCACCAATCATCCCTCACTGGTGCCCCGCCAGTGTACACCGATAACGCAGGCGGGGTTACCATTCCATTATCATCCATCAAAAAAAAAATATAACTGCTTCACAGTAGAAACACGAATGGGACAGAGGTGTCCAATCAAACGATCTTTGTACAGTCTCCCTCTGGTAAATAAATAATAATAACTTTTTTTTTGTTTTAATACAGCTTATTACGTTAGAATTATTTAATTTAAAAAACAGAATCTCTACGAAAGTAAGGATATGACATTAGTAAATAATATAAACAATTCAACAAAATAGAAATAAATGGTTTCATGCCAGTGTGATTTACTGTAGCGAGTACAATTACCAGAGGGAGACTTTGTACAAAAGTCGATTGCTTGGGTACCTCTGTCCCATTCGTGTTTCAACCGTGAAGCAGTTGTGTTTGCATGGCTGTGTTTCGGTTTGAAGGGTGGTTTACAGGGTACAGAGGAATAACACCTGAGTCCTCAGGGATGGCAACGCATGGGGGGTATCATGGGCGTAACAGTATACTCTGTTATGTCCATGGTACTACTCATGTCTATAGGCGACGGTTACCACTTTCCATCAGGTGGGCCGTCAGCTTGTTTGCCATTCTAAGTTATATAGAAAAAAAAACAATTTTAATCGCTGCCGCTTATGACTCACACCATACTTATAACGCAGCAAGGCCGAGAAATCGTTATCACTGGTTAATTACGGTTTTGCAGTTCGTCTAACTGCAAGAAATGATCTGCAGTCACGATTTACCGCGTGTCAAGGGGTTTGTTATCTGTGGCATAGATTATTAACCATAGACAAGGGCAATCGTCGACTAATGAATGGCAATTATGTTATCTATCAGCTGTTCACGATCGTAAATTCTCTTAATATTTTAATTGGAAAGCTTTGATGTTTGATGTAGAATGAAGCGATACAATATACAAGATATGCACAAATATAAATAAATATTTAAAAAAAGTTTAGTTCCTAAACAGGTACGACCGAGAACCTAACTTAGATCTCAGTTACACAAGATGACATGTCTACTGTCCACTATAAATGTATGAAATAAAGATGCTGACTGTAAATGATAGACGTGAGATAAATTGCATCATGCAGGTATAATCATATTTCTAACTTGATTATATGATACGATTTCAATAAGACCAGTTTAAAATAACATTACTGACTCAGAATCAATTACATGGCTAAGAAACTATTAATTTTTCGAATTTAATAATAAAAAAAAAAAACAAAAAATAAGAAATCGATTGCCATTACAACAATATTAACTATATTTAACTACCACTAGCGCCATCTATTGTCGAGTAGTAATATCAGGTGCAATAATCGATATAACTTTCTTAATATCGATTTTCTTTTGTTTCAGGACGCCTGGCTGTAATTATGTTCAGCATTTTCACTGTGGTGATAGGCATTATTTTATCGTTCGTACCATGGTTGGACTACATTATATTTAGGGTAAGTTAACGTTTAATATTTTTTAATTGACAATTAATATCATTTAATCTTAGATTATAATAGATAGAGCATCGAGTCTTAAAAACGAGTTAAAGCGGATGATGTTAAGAGAAAATGATATTTGTAGAATGTATAATGTAAACGTTTATTAATACAGTAATAATAGTAATATAATAGTAAAGAAGGAGAACAATAGAAAATATAAAAAAAGGTATAATATTAAGACGATATGTGTGCCGTGGCGCCAACAACAACATTCCTTTTATATACGCATGCGCGGCCTGCGCGCGCAACCCGTAGTCGCCGAGCGCCTGCGCGTCCTGCGCGCGCATAGGTACATCAAACAAGCTGCGTGCGCGACCGACCGTATTACATATATATATAAAATATTTACGCTTGTCTGCGTGTTTTTACAAAATAAATAAAATATATAATTTTATAAGTATGCTACATCACCCCCCTCCAGAGACCGTCTCACGGGCGATAATATTTAGGGAAGTGAACAGTACGACCTGATCTCGTCTTGCGGATATCATTTCTTCCAGTTTTGTTAGGCGTAGTGTGTTGTGGCGAATTTGTGGAAGAAGTGTTTGTATTGTGTGTTGTGTTATGATTGTTTTGTGTGTGATTGCTTGATGATGGATTACTAGATGTGTGTGTATCTGGTGTGGTTGTACTCGTGTATGTGTTGCTGTTCAGTAGCAGCTGTAGTTCTGGATCGGATCGTTGTGCTTTCGCTAACAGCTCTAAGTCCACTGGTTGAACTATTTCTTCTATTCGTGAAAGGGTATCAGCTACTACGTTATTCTTACCTGAGATGTGCCTGATATCTGTTGAAAACTGCGAAATGAAGTCTAAGTGTCTGAACTGTCTTGGAGAGCAATTTTCCTTTCTTGAGTGAAAAGCGAAACACAAGGGTTTATGGTCTGTATAAATAATAAAGTTTCGTGCTTCTACCATATGCCTGAAATATTTGATTGTTTCGTATATCGCCAACAACTCCCGATCATATGGAGAATATTTTCGTTGGGTTGAATTTAATTTTTTAGAAAAGAATGCCAGAGGTTGCCATCCTTCATTTTCTTTGTACTGCTGTAGCACTGCACCTATTGCTGTGTCAGAAGCGTCTGTAACGATTGCTAACTTAGCCTGGCAGTCTGGGTGTGCTAACAGAGCTGCTTCACAGAGTCCCTTCTTACAGGCCGTGAATGCTTCGAGTTCCTTTGGAGAGAATGTGACAGGATGAGAGCCTTTTACCGAGCCTACTAATAAGGAATTTAAGGGGTCTTGGTGTTGGGCAGCATCAGGAACGAATCTCCTATAAAAATTAAGCATACCCAAGAATCTCCTTAGTTCCCGTATTGTTTTTGGCACCGGAAAGTTCTGTATAGCTTCGACCTTGGAGGAAAGCGGCTTAGTACCATCAGCAGATATGAGGTATCCTAAAAACTTTACCTCGGTAGCACCAAACACGCATTTCGAGGTGTTAATTACCATACCGTATTCGCGTAGTCTAGTAAACAGCTGTCTTAGATGGTGCTTGTGCTCCTCTTCATCTTTCGAGAAGACTAGGAAGTCGTCCAAATAAGCGAATGTAAAATCAAGGCCTCTCAGCATCTCGTCCACAAAACGTTGAAACGTCTGTCCGGCATTACGAAGTCCGAACGTCATGAACGGAAATTCATAAAGACCGAACGGCGTCGTGATCGCGGTTTTCTTGATATCCCCGGCGCTTACAGGGATCTGATGGTAAGCTTTCACCAAATCAATGGTAGAGAACACTTTGCAGCCTGAGAGATTATGGGCAAAGTCCTGGATATGACGTATAGGATATTTGTCAGGTATTGTTCGTGCGTTTAACATTCTATAGTCGCCACATGGACGCCACCCATTATCTTTTTTAGGTACAAGATGGAGTGGTGAGGACCAGGACGACTCGGAAGGTGTACATATACCATTCATAAGCATTTCAGCAAATTCCTGTTTAGCTATTTTTAATTTGTCAGGAGCTAACCTGCGTGGTGTTGATGTAACTGGCGGGCCAGGAGTTGTACGTATGTGGTGTACAGTGTTGTGAGTGGGGATGCGGTGTGTACCATGTGGACGAGTAATGTCAGTATATTCCCTAAGTATACTGTGATAGATAGACTCACCCATGATACTTTTTACCGAAGAAATGATATCACAAGACTGAGCAGGCGAAGCCGGGGTCGCGAGGGTTGTATTGTTATCGATCAAGCGTTGGTTCCTGCAATCAACAACAATATTAAAATATGACAAAAAATCGACACCGATTATCGCCCTTGTTACGTCCGCAACAACAAATCCCCAAGCGAAGTCACGACGCAAGCCTAGGTTTAATACTAAATGTACATAACCATATGTTGCAATTGTATTGCCGTTTGCTGCACATAATTGATAATCTGATTTTGGTCGACGTTCTTTTAGATAAGTGCGAGGGAAAACACAGAGGTCACTACCCGTGTCCACTAGAAATTGCGTCTTCGTTTTCTTATCTGTTACAAATAGGCGACCATTTGTAGTGCAATCGTTGGCCGCCATTACCGATTGCCCGTTGCGTTTCCCGCCAAAAAATCGCAGGGTTGAATGCATTTTCTAGCTTGATCACCGAATTTGGCATGGTACCAGCAATTGGGGTACTTCTTATGGTTTGAAGCTGATCTTGATCGAGATTGTGATCTTTTTCGCAATCGGTTAAATGGTTGACGTTCGCTATTACGAGATATTCTGTCTAACCTTGTAGTGAGAGCGGAGACTTGTTTTGTAAGCTCTTCTATTTGCTGGTTTAGGTGATTGATAGACATACCAGAAGATGTTGCTGCTGATGTGGATGCTACTTGCAGAATTGGAGGTACAACGTCATGTACTCTGTCTGCCAACTCGGCTAGTTCTTCTAGTGAGGCTTTCGGTTGTGATGCATAATTGTCTGTGTACTTGCTGGTAGACGACTGGTCCATATAGTACGTAAAAACTCTTCCGGCACCCCAGGCCCAGCAAGATTCTGGAGATGTCTGACGAACTGAGAAGGTTTGCGATCACCAAGCTCTTCATGAATGAGGAGTTGTTTAACCTTCTTCTCTCTCGATGCTGACAATCGTTTAATAAGTTCAGTTTTAAGTCTGTCGTATTTATTAGCCGTCGGTGGGTTTGTGATGACATCTTCTACTTCCGCTGCATATTGTGGTTCCAATTGGCTTATAGCGTAGTAAAACTTCGTTGAGTCTGCAGTAATGGTGGCTAGTTGAAATTGCCCCTCTAATTGTGCAAACCACAAAGCAGGTTTTTCAGGGTAGAATGGAGGTACCCTGACTCCCACACGGCAGGATTCCATGTTCTGTGCGCCTGGCTCCACGCTCATCTTGATATTCGTGAACAGTTTGAGGTCACCAGTAAAGCGAAATGATATTAAGAGAAAATGATATTTGTAGAATGTATAATGTAAACGTTTATTAATACAGTAATAATAGTAATATAATAGTAAAGAAGGAGAACAATAGAAAATATAAAAAAAGGTATAATATTAAGACGATATGTGTGCCGTGGCGCCAACAACAACATTCCTTTTATATACGCATGCGCGGCCTGCGCGCGCAACCCGTAGTCGCCGAGCGCCTGCGCGTCCTGCGCGCGCATAGGTACATCAAACAAGCTGCGTGCGCGACCGACCGTATTACATATATATATAAAATATTTACGCTTGGCTGCGTGTTTTTACAAAATAAATAAAGTATATAATTTTATAAGTATGCTACAGAGTCAACTTTTGTCAGCTAATTGTGACAGTTCGATTTCCTAATCAGCGTTCTAAATACTTACGCACATAATGCACATTGACATATCTATATTTAATTATTTAATAAATAAAATTAGTTTTTACGCATTAAAAAGATGCAAAAAATTATAAAACAAAATAAAAATAAAAGTTATAAAGGAAACACTCATAACTTTTTGTCACGCAAAATTGTATGAAAAAGTTGTTAAGCGCTTTTCTCGAAGCATTTGTAATGGAGACACTCTATTTATCTATCTAAGCATTTAATCCATAACACTAGTTATTTATTCCCTATATTTTACAATGCTAACAAAGTATATTTATGTTTTCTCCCTGTGATCATTTCTTGTAATCGTTTGTATTTATAATAAGTTTACTATTGTAATCTTATGGAGGAAACAATAAAGAGTATCTATCTATCGATCTATAATAAACACAAGTCCATAAACTGCTAAAAAGGCCTCTAATTAGGATAATTCGGTACAAAATGGCCTATCTTTCATTAATACTAGTCAATGGGGTCGATTCTTAGGCGCTTTTTGTCTAAACTAAACCCATCTCTAAAATTAAAATTTATTTATTTATTTATTTATTCTTTATTGCACAATAAAATTTTGTACAAATGGCGAGCTTAATGCCATATGGCATTCTCTACCAGCTAACCATTGGGTAAAAACAGAAAGCGTATGAAGGGCAGAGGTGGTGAAGAATATGTGACAATTATAGTAACACATTAAGGCAATACACAATATAAATATAATATACACATAAGAAATGTACACATAATACATAAACATTACTTTTAATATATATGGATAAACTAATATATATGAAATATATACATATATATATATACATACATATATATATATATAGATACATAAAATTTCAGTTTAATATTACAGCGTAATCTTTATTAAACAACTATATGAATATATTTTTATTTGTCGTATTATTTTTGCACCGTATATGTTACGCTTGATATACAAACGCTACAAATACTTTCTCTTTTAAAGTTCTCAAGGTTGACTGAAAGAAATCACTTTAATAAGTCCGCCTATGTACATTTCGGTGTAACCTTATATCTTTATTATAAGTGTTTTTTTTATACAACTTAGAATGGCAAACAAACTGATAGTCCACTTGATGGAAAGTGGTAACCGTCGCCTATAGACATGAGCAGTACCGTGGACATAACAGAGTATACTGTTTCACCTATGATACCTCCCATGCGTTGCCATTCCTGAGAACTCAGGTGTTATTCCTCTGTACCCAGTAAATTCACGCCATATCCCACCCTTTAAACCGAAACACAGCCATGCATCACTTCGTGAAGCAGTTGTGAATATACAAAAGCATATAAGTATATAAATAAATAAATTACTTTATCAATCTTATTATAATTTTAGTTTATAATGGTCCATTAAATGTTAGATCAAGAAATAAATTTAGAGTAACGGCGTCTCAAAACCGGCCCCAATTAAATCTACCCCTTCTTAGATTGGCGAGCGTATTTTGACTTATACATTGTTCCAGGAACTGAAGTTGTGGAACGGATCGCTGAGTTACAGCTACTGGCAGCGTCCCGGCGTCATCAGACTCACCAAGGTGTACATATTCAACATGACCAATCCCCAGGGTTTCCTCGAGAACGGCGAGAAGCCCAAGCTGGTGGAAGTGGGGCCTTTTGTGTACAGGTATGTTTGTCACTCGCGCTACAGTAGTCACAGTTTTTTTCTATACCACTGAGGTATTGTTAATCCTGAGGATTAGTGTAATAAATAAATAAATAATGCCTCTGTACCCGGTAATTTCATTGTCACATCTTAAAGTTTGCAAATAATAATTATATATACATATACATATAATAAAAAGTGTCATACAATCACATAAATGGCATGGTCTTAAAGACAGTATATCCTGTATTGTGAGGAATCATATAACATATACATATATACTAAATTAGTCCGACAGTGAATCGATTTTTTTTTATACCACTGTGGTGGCAAGCAAGCGTACCACCTGATGGTAAGCGGTTACCGTAGCTTATAAACGCCTGCAATACTAAGAATATTACGCGCGCGTTGCCGACCCTGAAGAAACCTCTTTAACCCTTTGAAGAACCCCAAGCTGTAGTTGGGAAAACCTCGGTGCCTATACTTTGCTTCAGTTGTTATAATTCTAAGACAATCATTCTCTGTTCATCATATCATTATCATTCTGCCATATAGGTCCCAGCATGGAATAGGCCACTCCTTCCTTACCCGTGAGTGTCGTAAGAGGCGACTAAGGGAGGGCGAGGGATGGGCAGCAGCATCCCTCTTAAAATATCTCCAACGCCTAACTGCGGTACCAACCCGCCTGCCAAGATGCCTGAGACTTATGTTCATCAGTAAACAGTTAACTTCCTACTAGGAGGAGCAATATAATAAAAAAAAAATATTAAAATAACATCAAAAAACATACCTCTACCTGAAGGCCGTCTGGAAAAGATTGCTTAGGCGGCCTTATCGCCAAGCAATCTCTTCCAGACCACCTTTGAGTAGAGTATTCTTGGTTTCGAAAAGGATTACTCGCAAATTTTGCGATTACGAGAGAACCCGCGGGCGTTTATTAGTACGGAAAAACATAAGCACGCACTTCAAACATTAGTGTGAATTATAAGGTCACGTTACCTACACTGGACGGCCAATTTCCACACATCGGCATAATACAGTCCTAAAGAAAAATGCTCGCTTACATTTTTAACTCGCTCCAAAAAGGAGATACTCAATTCGATTGTATTTTTTCATGTTTGTTATCTCATAAGTCCGTCATATTTTTTTTTATACAACTTAGAATGGCAAACAAGCTGACTTTGTACAAAAGTCGATTGCTTGGGCACCTCTGTCCCATTCGTGTTTCAACCGTGATGCAGTTGTGTTTGCATGGCTGTGTTTCGGTTTGCAGGGTGGGATATGGCGTGAATTTACAGGGTACAGAGAAATAACACCTGAGTCCTCAGGAATGGCAACGCATGGGGGGTATCATGGGCGAAACAGTAAAGTCTGTTATGTCCGTGGTACTGCTCATGTCTATAGGCGACGGTTACCACTTTCCAGCAGGTGGGTCGTATGCTTGTTTACCACCTCAGTGGCATAAAAAAAAACTTAAGAGAGACATGTCTCACAGATCTATCGATGCACCGCTTGAAAAAGAGAAACAGTTTCATCGCCGACTGTACTTCAGTAAACATGGCAAGAAATTGGCGTAATATTAGAAAACTCGCAGTGAGACGGTTGCCACACAAAAAAATTGCGTATATGTACATATGTAACTGCAAATAACGAAACTGGACAATTATTCTGTCCCTGGCGGCCATTTTCTTTTGTTCTAATTTCGTATACTTAGAATGTCCTCATTTTTTAGCAACTTCCAAGTGGGTAATGAAATGGTAACCCCACCTGCGCTAACGGTATATGCTGGCGGGGCACCAATGAGGAATGATAGGTGAGAATAGAAGCAGGTCAGTTAGCCCATCGTGACAAATTCTATTAGAATTAGCCGAGGTTGTTTCCAGGGGGGACCATGTGGAGATGGCCTTGATAAAGTACATTGCTGGCAATGGAGCTGTTAGATCCCCATTACTAACAATCTGTTCTCTTTGACACTATGACGTTAAAGAGGGATACTGCTGCCTATCCCTCAGCCATTAAGTTGATTATAACTGAAAACAAACCTTGTGTTTTCCAGTAACCTAACAATAAACTAGTAAACCCACATCTCATTATGTAACAATATTTATAAAACATTAACACGTCGTAAATGTTCTTGGTTTGCACAGATGATGTCTGATTTACGTAGTGAATAAAAGTAGTCGTCCACAGGATCACACACACACATACACACACACGTACGAACACACACGCACTCTCACACACGCACGCACACACACACACACACACGGACGCACACACGCACGCACGCACGCACGCACGCACACGCACACACACGGACGCACACAAGCACGCACGCACGCACGCACGCACACGCACACATACACACGTACACACACAGAATTAGTTTTCTGTATTAGCACGTGTGATATTTCCAATATTCCTTTTTATACTAAGAAAGTTGCAAACAAACATACAGCCTGTCTAATATAGTAAATGGTCATTGTAGCCTATGGACACCTACATCGCTAGGGGGGGAAAGGGATTGTTGGTAATGGAGACTGAGAATCCCATTGCTAGCAATATACCCAACCAGGTCGACCTTCTCGCCGTTCCCCCTGAAAACTATCATGGTTAATTCCTGATGAATTCATCATGATAGGCTAACTGACCTGTTTTCATTCTCATCTATCACTCTTCACTGGTGCTCCACCAGCGTATCCCGTTAGCGCAGGTGGGGTTACTATACCATTTTCACCCATCAAAAAAAAAACCTACATCGCTAGAGGGGTCACGTACGCGTTGCTAACCCTAAAGAAACCTAAATATACCCGTTTTCATGGATTCCATACTGTAAACTCCAGGGAAAACCTAGCGTAAAAGCGCTTAAATAAAAGAAAAAGATAAAATCATATTTAAGAAGGTCTATGGCCAATAGGCATTATGGAATTACCGAGTACTTAGTTGCTAGTAATTTACCTCGATAAGAATCTTCTAAGGTCATTTATATTAATAACTACAATTGACTCAAATTGCTCGTATCTAGTGAACATTGCGAGGTCTCAAGCTCATATTGTCTTAGTGAACCAGAAGGTAGGGCTTAACTTTGAAACATATACCACGAATTTCAAATAAAAAAAATAAACCTAATAACATTTTTTGTAGTGTACCAAATCTAGAGCAAATTTTAATTTAGTTGTAAATATCTTTATTAAATATATTTTGTATAATTTTGAGCTAAATCCATGTTATTTTATAAAGAGGAAATTTTATTTTTTATTATTTCATTCATCATCTTCACTCTTAACTGTCCTGCTGTTAACTGCTGAACATAAGCCCCCCTTAGGGGGGTTTTGCCATTAGGTGCCAAGCATTCATTTTATTGTTTGTTTGTATTGAATAAACTAAAAATCTACTTGACCGATTTTAAAAAAAGCAGGTCAGTTGGCCCATCGTGATACACACGACAAAGATTAACCCTGACGATTACCACGGTGAACCGCGTGGGGGTCGACTTAATGTGGTTTTTTTGCTATTGTGGTATCCAAGATGCTGTTCATGCCTACAGACGGCAGTTACGACTATCCATCAGGCGAGCCGTCAGCTTGTTTGTATTATCACAAAAAATAATTATATGTACTTGTTCCAGGGAAGACATGGAGAAGGTGAACATCAAGTTCCATGACAACGACACAGTGACGTTCCAACACAACAAGATACTGCGGTTCGTGCCTGACATGTCGGTCGACAAGAATCTGAAGCTCATCGTGCCAAACATACCCTTACTGGTCAGTATGCGTACATTGCCGCGTGGTCCCGGCATAGAATGGGCCACCTTTTCCTTTCCCGTAAATGTCCGAAGAGATGAGTAAAGGAACTAAACGGTCGAGGGATAGACAGCAGCGTCTTATAATATCACCAATGCCTAATTGCGGTTTCCGGGGGGGAAAGGGATTGTTAGTAATGAAGACTGAGAATCCTATTGCTAGCAATATACCCAACCAGGTCGACCTCCTCGCGGTTCCACCTGAAAACTATCACGGTTAATTCCTGATGAATTCATCATGATGGGGTAACTGGCCTGTTTTCATTCTCATCTATCATCCTTCACTGGTGCTCCGCCAGCGTATCCTGTTAGCGCAGGCGGGGTTACAATTCCATTTTCATCCATAAAAAAACTGCGGTTTCCGGGGGGGAAAGGGGTTGTTAGCAATGGAGTTTGACAGCCCCATTGCTAGCAATATGCCTTATTAGGTCGACCTCCACGTGGTTCCCCCTGGAAACCATCGTGAACAATTCTTGTTGAATTCGTCACGATGAGCTAACTGACCTGCCCTTTCATTCTCACTTATCATCCCTCACTGGTGCTCAGCCAGCGTATACCGTTAGCACAGGCGGATTTACCATACCATTAACATCCAATAAAAAAACTGCGGTTGCCAACTCGCCTGCCAAGCGTGGCAACTACTGACGAAACCCCCCAATAGGGGGAGGCCTATGTTCAATAGTGGACAGTTTTTTTTTTAATATATGATAATGGAATGGTAACCTCACCCGCGCTAATGATATACGCCGGCGTTATGATAGCGTAGAGTTGATAGGTTAGAAAAAAAAGCAGTTCAATTAGCTCATCGTGATGACAGCTGGAATTCAGCACAGTGGTTCCGGAGGGGGAGGACCTGATAGGGTATATTGTTAGCAACGGGATTGGTATCTGCAATACTAACAATCCCTTCCCCCCACAGTGGCCAGTTTTTTTTTTACAACACAGGAGGCAAACGAGCATGCGGTTCACCTGATGGTACATGACTATCGCCGCCCATGGTCACCCAACACCTACGGCATTGCAGGTGTGCTTGTCGGCCTTTTAAAAAGGAATATGCTCTTTTCTTGAAGGTTATGTTGTCGTATCGGTTCGGAAATACTGCTGCTGGAAGTTGAATCCAAAGAGTGGTTGTGCGTGTGAGAAAGTGCCTTGAAAAACGCACGGTGGTGGTATTAAGTGGAGTTAAGGCAGCATTCTCGTAAACTATTTATGATTCCTTAATTTCAGACAGTGACATCCTTCTCACCCAACTTGGCGGGGTTTGTGTTCAACCTACTGGTGTCAGGGCTGGCCCTGACTTATAAAGAAAGGGCGAAACCCTTCGTCCAAGTTACCGCTGAACAGCTTGTATTCGGGTATGTACAGGTGTTATTTTAAAAACTGTTGTTACAATAATAAAAAAAAAAAATATGAGACCTACACGTCAATCGTTGATTTTTACAGGTACAATGACCCTCTGGTGACCCTTGCCCACTACTTTTACCCTAAGGGTAAACGACCCAACAGTCAGATGGGACTATTTCTTGCTGTAAGTAACCTTTCTATGCAATATTAAAAAACAGCGATCTTAATGATCTTGACATTAGGTACAGATTCAAACTTGCTGTTTCAAAATATCGTTTAGAAAAAGTTCATAGGTCTTTTATGGGAATGGGCATTAAATGTTATAATAAGATACCAAAGGATATTTTGGATCTACCGTTTAATAAATTTAAAACTGTTATAAAAAACACTTATTGATCAAAGCCTATTACACTATAAACGATTACTTGAATGACAAGCGTGCATGGTGTTAGTCGATCATGCGCGGGCTTTTAACGACCATACAATTTTAGACATAATAATTTTAAATAAATACACATAATGTTAACAGAGATTTAAAGGAGTAACTGTTGAGTTTCTTGCGGGCTCTTCTCAACAACTTTCAGAATCCTACATTTTAAAAAAATAAAATGACGATTTAAAAGTGCTTGAAAACAAGTCTATTTAAACAAACATGATTTGAATTTGAATGCATTAACAAAAACCTCAAGCAATATGGGTATAAATATGCTAAAAAAAAATTTTTAGATTCCCATACTAACTTTATAGCTAGAAGCACCGTGCTAGTACGAGATCCAACAGTGAAATCATAAAAATAAAAATATAAAAAAGCGTGTAGACAAGTCTATTAAAAAAAATGGTTTCTGTTCTGTTCTAAATTTTTTTTTATTCACAGAGAAACGGGACCTTGGACGAAGTGTCAACGATATATACAGGACAAAAGTCTATGTCCAGATTTGGATATTTGGACAAAGTTAATGGTCTGGACCATCTGCCTCACTGGAGGAATCGGCCTTGTAACGACATCACGTAAGTACTTTTTATTAATAAATACCTTTTACCCGTGACTAAACAGGAGATTGTAAACTTCTACTAGAAATGGGTAATACCCAATATCTGAATATTGAGTTATCCTAGACATTGAATCGTGGGTATGGCAGAAGAAGCATGAAAGTAAGATAAATGCTATAGAGATGAGAGCTTTGAGAAGTATGTGTGGTATTATTATATTAAAAGATAGTGTAAGAAATTGTGATTAGAGAGAAGTTTGGACTCAAAGACGATGTAGTGACAAAAATCGAAAAAGGAATGTTGCGTTGGTTTGGCCATTTGGAGAGGATGGATGAAAGAAGAATTACGAAAGAGATTTATCGAGCAAGAATGAATGGAGATGTTGGTAGGGGCCGCCCTAGACGGACGTATGCTGACCAAATAGGCGACGTGCTGAAGAAGGGCCAAATTAAAAGTACCCGTAACCGGCGAGCGTGTATGAAAAGATTAATGAATGTGGAGGAAGCGAAGGAGGTTTGTTTGAATCGAAGCATTTGGCGTTCCATTGTTTCTGCCTACCCTAATGGGAGACAGGCGTGACAGATATATATGTATGTATGTATGATGACCACCTATTGAGATATCGCCCATACCAGTTGAATATCTTATTTTGTAATTCCATGTTTTAAGTATTCTTATGTTATCACTTATATGTTTTTTTACTGTTTAGTTCATGTCAGTTTTATTAATATGTAATCGATGTTTTAAGAAAATGTTGTGTACATCTATATACAGGGTTTCTGTGTTCGTGGCCTTTTTACAGAACACATACCCCGCGAATAAAGAGCTTTTGCTGTATTGTTACTATAATATAGGTATTATTATTGCTATATATATAAAAAAAATATTACCCACTCTTACTTCTCACATAAACTCACAAAAAATTCTTCACAATAACTTATATAATTCGATGTTTTAACAAAAAATATTTGCTGAGGAAATGGGAAAATTAGACCCCATTACCAACAATTCCTTTCCCCCTGTTTGATTGGTTGAAAGAGAAATCTATTTGTGTCCTTTTTCGAGAACGTTCAATATACAAGTCCAAATTGCACTTATTGGGTTTTTTTCAAACAGCGTATACATACTGCAAATTATAGTTTACCACAAAATGAGGTAATTTCTGTACAAACGCGATGAGACTATTTGATAACGCTTTGTTTGAGTGATCGTTGAGCAATCTTAATACCGGTTAGTACATTAATGTGGTATGTTTAAATGTTTTGTTTTGCTGAAATTAATTGAGCGAAACAATTAACATATGGGTAATATTATTACCTATAACTGATCAAATACGAATTATCAAATGGCGTTATTAAGTAGGAGTATATATAATAAAATTTTAGATTGTTGTAAATAGCAGAGTGCAGTAATAAAATATATATGTATTTGTAATATAAAATAATAAGTTTAGTGAAAAAAATACAAGATATGTCATATAAAAATCTGACATAGAACAAACTTAAAAATAATACATTGTTCTAAAAAACCTCAGTGTCAACAGCCAGTATTAAAACTTCAACATAGATTATATAGATAGAGCATCGAGCCTCAAAAACGAGTTGACTTTTTGTTAGCCAATTGTCAAATTAGCTGACCTGTATCTTTATATATCTATATTAAATTATTTAATAAATAAAATTAAATTTTACATATTAAAAAGATGTAGTATTCATAAGAGAAAATAAATATAAAAGTTATAAAGTAATCACTCGTAACTATTTATCACGCAAAATTGTAAGAAAAAGATGATCCATTTTTCTCGAAGCATTTGTATGGAGACACTCTATCTATATAATCTAAGAATGAAATATAATACATATATAAATAAATTAACTAAATATGTGAGACATTGCTACACCTAAAAAAGTATTATTTATCCTACATTACATTACGTTATGTTAAAATATTTCACTGTCAAATTTAGTGTAGTTTAAAAAAATAATAAATAAAAAAAAAATATAAATACAAACGCAACATAACATAGAAAACACCTAGATTAATACAAACAGACATTTACTTACGTAAATGTTTGTATTGAACGGGAATTGAATACGTATCCAACGAAAAGTGTGGCAGTACGTTAAGCTAACTAACAAGGTGATTGTCATCTCTCATAATAGCGTACCGCGCTAAGGTTACAGCTAAGACCTCTTTACGACATTTAATATCACTTTACGGTTTATTTGCGCAGGATTACCAGGAAGCAATATTATTATGAATGTATTGTTGAATGGTGTTAAACATTTACCTCATTTTCTAACGTATATTTCCTATAACATTGAGGTATTATAATAATATATTAAATTAATTTATAAATATAATTAAAAAGAAAACACTTGGGATGGTTGAAATCATTTTTAATCCGTACAAATTTAATTAAGAAGATTTTTGGAAAAAAATATTGGAAAATTTGCCCCGAAAAAAATTATAAATCAAAATTCATAAGCACTCTCATCACCAAAAGAGCCATGCAGCAGCATTGCAGCTGTGAAGCAGATGCCATATATACCTATAGATAGAGTTATTCCAGAAGACATTTTTAGAAACTCTGCCTCTAGTTTTTCAATTTTCGATGAACTCCGTGACTGCAGTAGTTTTGGTACCGGATTCGAAATTTCATTTCAAAAGGAGAGAATTAAAGAGATTTCTTCAGGGTCGGCAACGCGCGCGTAATACCTCTGGTATTGCAGGCGTTCATAGGCTACGGTAACCGCTTACCATCATGTGGGCCGTATGCTTGTTTGCCACTTCAGTGGTATAAAAAAAATCGATTCACTGTCGGACTAATTTAATATATATGTATATTATGTGTATATATGTGTTACATGATTCCTCACAATACAGGATATTGTCTTTAACCCTTCCTTACATAATGATGGAAATTTCCATCATAGCATTGAACGCCCAAAAATTATGCAAAAGAACAAGTTCATTTTAAATTGATCGTGTCTGGATACCTATTTAATGTCCATTGCAGAAAAAAAAACATAGCTGTCAAGTTTACTCCCTTAACCATTTTTCCTTTAATTTTAAACATGAATTATATCAGCTCGATTTATTTCACCCATAAAAAAATCATGCAAAAAAGGGTCAAAACAGTGCCATTTATGTGATTGTATGACACTTTTTATTATATGTATATGTATATATTATTTGCAAACTTTGAGATGTGACAATAAAATTACGGGGTACAGAGGCATTACACTAGTCCTCAGGATTAACAATGCGTGAGGGGTATCATGGGTACAGTACATACATATATACATACACAGTATACACCTATAAACATAAACAGTAACGTTACCACACACCATCAGGTAGGCCGTCAGCTTGTTGGCCATTTTCTTTTATACAACTTAGAATAGCAAACAAGCTGACGGCCCACCTGATGGACAGTGATAACCGTCGCCTATAGACATGAGCAGTACCATAGACATAACAGAGTATACTGTTTCGCCCATGGTACCCCACATGCGTTGCCATTCCTGAGGACTCAGGTGTTATTCCTCTGTACCCAGTAAATTGACTTCATAAATTCATGCCATTCTATGTTGCATAAATAAATCACTTTATTCTAGCACGTATAACTTATTTTCATTTAATTCTCAGAGCATCGGAGGGATCCTTCTTCCCTCCGCGCGAAGTCACCAAATCGGACTCGGTCAATATTTATGACAAGGACTTGTGCAGGATACTGCCCATGCAGTACAGGGGAGATGTTTATAAAGACTGTGAGTAGACAATTTTACATCTTATTGTAAAGTGGTAAGCTTTAAATTGCCACAATTGATAATTATACCCACAGCTTTCCTTTACAGGATTGAGGGTTTATTTTTTATATTTATTTATTTATTTATACTTTATACACGAAGGTTACATTAATATGGTTTAAATTATTTACAACTATGTTACGCGAATACTTTACTAATTCTGAACCAATTTTCACGATTTTTTTACCGCATCGGTTCTATTCTGAACCGATTGCAACAAGAAGGAGGTTGTCAATTCCATTGTATTTTCTTTTTACATATTTACCTCATGACTGCGTTAGTTCTAAAACGATTTGGATATTTTTTAATTAATTTTATTAAAATCGGTTCAGATAGTTTAGTTTTTAAATCAAAATAAGTTTGTCTCAATTGAAGTCGGGTTTTTTTATTATAATTTTGTGACAATGAAAGCAGCCATTTTTATTTGCTAAGCAAAACACTGGTCGTTGTGAGTGTTCGAAATTAAAAAATTTACAATCTAGGATATTTACGCAATATCTCGTCGTTTTTCGGTGTGTTCACGATTTAAGTAGCTTTTCGCAGAGCAATATATACGTACTAGCTTTTACCAGCAACTTCGTTCGCGTCTCCGGAATAATTTCACTGAATAAGATAAAAGGTTTTTCTCCATTCCATATAGTGCCTGTTTTCCTATCGAATTTTATAGCGATTGGTTAAGTCATTAAAGCGCCAAAACTAAAATTATTATTCTTAAGTAATTAATGAAACTAGGGGAGCTACCATGAAACAAAATTCCGAATTATCAATCTCAATTTCGTTTTTTGTTCATACTAAAATCGGCCCAGTAATGGAGCTTAACATGTTCGTCATAAATTCTGCCAAAAAAAATTCAAAGGAACGACATTTTAACATTTTTAGTATTCTTTAACTGTACATGTTTTGTAATTTTAACATCAAATTTTTGTTTCGTTCGGCCCCGAAGTTACGGAAAACATTCCATAGAAGGTCCACTGCTCAGGCTGATGTTTTACTAAGAACAGGATATGGTCTTTCAGATATCAAAACTGGGCTATATACACCACCAAGCTCGGCCTTGGAATGCGCCGACAAGAATCCCGACAACAAGTGTTACTGCGACGGGGAGAAGTGTCCCCCACGGGGACTCCAAAACATCAGCCCGTGCCAATATAGTGAGTACGCTAACAATACGCCACTCTATAGAGAAGTGGTAATGAAGAGTCTACTACTTCAGTCATAATTATTTAAATATACTCGAGGAAAGATTCTTGAGTGGCGACCCCGTACGTGCAAACGCAGTGTAGGACGACCCCTCCACTAGATGGAGTGGCGACCTCAGATGCATTGCAGGGAGTCAGTGGATAAAGGTGGCTCAGGACCGTTCCTTACGGCAATCTATGGAGAAGGCTTATGTTCAACAATGAGCAGATAGTGGCCGGGATGATGACGATGATAGTATACTAGCTATTTCCCGTGGCTTTGCCCGCATGCATCGATATATAAAGTAAGAGTTACAAGTTAGGATATAACCCAACAGTGTAACCAATAAATTTTCAATAACATTGCGGTAATGGGAGATGTTAATATAAATATAACAAATGATTGTGAGGATCATAGATCAGTTCAGTATTTGACTCTTTTGGCAACACATGGTTTATTTCCAGCACACCTTTTCGTAACACGTGATAAAAGTAATTCATGTTTAGATCATGTGATGCTAAAATCTAAGAGTCGAGCCTTAACTATTGTACTTCAATCAACATTAACGGACCATAAAGCAGTGTTACTATGCTTATCATTTAATCAGATTGTAAATGTCTCCGATCCAATTCGTTCAAAATTAAATATGATAAGTTTTAGCAAAAATATAGAAAATCTTGACTTGGAGTCTATTTTTCAAATTACCGATCCAAATGATGCCATTAATTTTTTAATTTCTAATCTACAGTCAATTATTAATAAACACACGACTACGTATAAAGTTCCTAGGTCTAAACGAATCTTAAAACCTTGGATTACTCCTGGTTTACTAAAATGTATAAAGAATAAAGATCAACTACATAGAAAACATAAAAAGTTTCCAGATAATGAAACTATCCGTTTAACTTACCATCGATATCGTAATTTCTGTAATGATATTATAAAGAAGGTTAAAACTGAATATGAAAGACAAGAATTAAGTAAAGCTGGTAATGATAGTAAAAAATTATGGAAAACTTTAAAAAATATAACTCATAGTGCTAAAAATAAACAACCACCTCATGAGCTTATAAATTTAAATGATCCCCAGCTATCAGTTGATGAAATTAATGACTATTATGCAAATGTAGGCCAAAATCTTGCAGGAAAGATACCCCAGACTAGACAAAATTATCTTAATATTCCTTATGTTTCTTCCGGTAATAATTATTTTAATTCTTTTGTTATGCTCAGTACTGACGAAAATGAAATCTCACAATTAATAATGAACCTAAAAAATGATTGTTCAGTTGGATGGGATAACATATCTAATGTAATTCTTAAAAAATTTAAAAATAAATTAATTCCATATTTAACTTACATATTTAATTTATGTCTTAGCCAGGGTGTTTTTCCGGATGCACTAAAAATTTCCCTACTTTATCCAATTCACAAGAGTGGTGATAGAGACCGTGTAATAAATTATAGACCAATTTCAATTCTTCCGTCTCTATCTAAAATATTAGAACGTATTATTAATATTAGACTAATAAAATTTCTTGAGAAAAATAAAATTTTGTCAGATAATCAATTTGGATTTCGTTCAGGAAGGTCCACTGATGATGCAGTGGAAGAGATGTTAAATTTTATATCTAGTAGCCTAGATCAGGGTAAAAAATGCCTGGGGATCTTCTTGGACATTGCTAAGGCTTTTGACACGGTCTCTGTTACTACACTTTTACATAAACTGGAGAAAAGTGGAATAAGGGGTACTCAGCTTGCACTATTTGAGAGTTATCTTTCAAATAGAACACAAATGGTTGCAATAGGCAATTATAGGAGTAAACCTCTTCCCATAACCTATGGTGTCCCTCAGGGCAGTATTCTTGGCCCTACTTTATTTTTAATTTATATAAATAATCTATGTAAACTGAAACCCCTCCATGGTAATATCATATGTTATGCCGATGATACGGCTCTCCTTTTCACTGCAGATACTTGGGAGGAGGTATTTCGTGCTGCAAATGAGGGAATTAATGAAGTCACACAATGGCTTACTAATAATACTCTATCTCTAAATACAGAAAAAACTAAATATCTTGCATTTTCCATCTGGAGTCTACTCAACCGTCTGTTAATTTATGTATTACTGCCCATACTTGTTTACCATTACATCTAAAAAACAATAGAACATGCTCATGTAAATCTTTGGAAAGAACACAGCTAATAAAATATTTAGGTGTATTTATTGATAATAATTTAACATTTAAACAGCATATAAATAAATTAACTTGTAGAATTAGGAAACTTATTTACATTTTCAAACGTCTGAGGCAAGTTGCAGATATGAAAATTCTAAAACTAACTTATACTACATTGTGTCAGTCCCTTTTGACCTACTGTATAGTTGCTTGGGGTGGTGCTCCTAAGACAGTTCTAATAAATCTTGAGATTGCACAGAGAGCTGTTTTAAAGGTTATTAATTTCTATGATTTTCAATATCCCACAAACTTGCTATACCAAAAATGTAATGTTCTTTCTGTCCGTAAATTATATATTCTTAATACTATAAGTAAACAACATTCTATATATCAGTTTGATGCAAATATTTCTGAGCATAAAAGAAGAGTTAATGATGTTCAAGCTTTAAAAAGTTATAATAAATTTCACACATCATTTATTCGGAAGTTTTTATTATTTTTGGGACCATATTTATATAAAAAGGCAAATAAGGAATTATCTATATATTCAAAAACTAAACATATATGCAAAAGAATTGTTAGTAATTGGCTATTAAGTAAGACATATGATGAAACTGAGGATTTGTTATTAGTAGTATGTTAGGTTATGACTGCCATTTTAAAATAACTCATCCATTCCATACATTCACAAATTACACAGTCAAGATTTCATTTACAAAATATTATTTTGGGCAAATTAAATTATTACTGTATTAGTACCTTAACTTGTATTGTTTCTTTATTTATATAATTTTGTGTCATTATGTCGTATAGGGAAGAGCATTGATTATCCTAAAGTACAGGATTTACCTATTTAGGGAGCAGAGATTTACCTATATTTAAAATGTAACATTTATTTTTGAAATAAATTATTATTATTATTATTATTATTATTATTATAATAAAGTAAATAAATTTCACCAGAGGGAGACTTTGTACAAAAGTAGATTGCTTGGGTACCTCTGTCCCATTCGTGTTTCAACCGTGAAGCAGTTGTGTTTTCATGGCTGTGTTTCGGCTTGAAGGGTGGGATATGGCGTGAATTTACTGGGTACAGAGGAATAACACCTGAGTCCTCAGGAATGGCAACGCATGGGGGGTATCATGGACGAAACATGGGCCCACCTGATGGAAAGTGGTAACCGTCGCCTATAGACATGAGCAGTACCATGGACATAACAGAGTATACTGTTTCGCACATGATACCCCCCATGCGTTGCCATTCCTGAGGACTCAGGTGTTATTATGCATTAGTTGCACCGACAAGAGGAAACTCTTGAAGGAAAAGAAGAATTATAACGTTTATAGTAACAAATGCTTCACTAAAAACAGATAAAACTCTTGTATCTATGTGTGCGTGTATAGGGTTACCATAATATACGTTTACTCCCCGGCATATGGGAGAAATAATTATAGTTAGGCTAAATTTAAAAATAATAAAATGATGCAAAATTTAATTGCAAATGGTCGTTATTTCAAATTAATACATGTATTAGTACCTGTTAGATAAAAAGAAGGGTAAAGGACAAACCTGGTCCACTTAGTCCCCGCGTGCAGGTCTTTTCTACGCGTTCTCGTTCTCCCTTCAAATTATCCAACACTTTTTTTTTAAGGAACACCAACAGCATATTGCATTATAACATATAGGTATAACAAACATTAAATATAATACAATATTAATGCACACGCCTATTATAGGTATTCACAGCATTCACTTTAACATAGTTATACAGTGCGAGAAAATGAAGTAAATAATAAAAATAAACATGTAACCTAAGTTGTGAGCAATATCAGAAAATACGATTATCAGTGAATACAATTAAAAAATATAAATATATATATATATATATATATATATATATATATATATATATATATATATATATATATATATATATATATATATATATATATGATAATTAGAGTTAATTTTTATTAGATTGTTGTACAAAGTGCTTCAGCAATTTATTCCTGTAGGAATTCGAATTATAATATACTATATAAATTTTAGATAATTTGGCATTAATAAATTTAACACTTTTGTTGATTTGCATAAGATGTCACTGTATGTCGCGCGGAGATCGCGGCTGATTGAATAATTCGCAACTGGCGGAGATTTGTTCGTGATCTTGGCGGAACTTGATCAGCTCGACGCGCAGTTGGATTATATACTGATTTTGTCCATCTACCCCGCAATGTGATCCCAGATTTGATAGGGAATATGGATAGGAAAGGAGGGTGAAAGGATATTGCGTTCGGAAATGTTTAATGCATATACAAATGATGAGATTATATTTACCAGTAACTAATACAAATATATATATATAGATATATATATAACACACAACCATGAAAACACAACTGCTTCACGGTTGAAACACGAATGGGACAGAGGTACCCAAGCAATCGACTTTTGTACAAAGTCTCCCTCTGGTATATCAAAATAAATAGTTACCAATTCGAATTACAAATATCAATTAGGTCTAGTAAATTTTTAATCTGATTATTTGCAATACAAAATAAATAACGCTCTAGTCTTGATTAAAAAAATATATTTGTCTAATTGAATCAGCCAGATATCAATTTAGCTGATTAAATATTGACACGGCTTTAGCACACAATGCTCTATCTATGTAGATAGATAGTTAATTTATTTACATTACTTACAGCATACAAATTACAATAAAAACATACACATAATACACAGCAAAAGAGATAAAAGAATGAAAATAAAAAAGCACAAATAAAAAAAACAAAAAAACAAAATATATAAACTAACAATCTCCTTTCTTTCCCTATCTTCATGCCATGTAATCTAAGAGTAATACCTAATGTTAAATTATTTCAGATGCACCCGTGTACCTGTCATATCCTCACTTCTACGATGCCGAACCATTCCTGCTTGACGACTTTGAAGGATTGAAACCGGATAAAAAGAAACACGAGACATATTTTATGATTCAGCCAGTGAGTATCCATCAATTCCCGTTTGCCTATTTGTTATCTTTGTTCATATCCAAATAAGGTTTTTTTATATGCGATATTGGAATAGTAACCCCCGCCTGCGCTATCGATATACGCTGGCAGGACACTAGTGAAAGATGATAGGTGGGAATTAAAGTAAGTCAGTTGACCCATAGTGACGAATTCATCAAGAATTAATCAAGATGGTTTCCAAGAGGAACCGCGTGGCGGTCGACCTATGTTATGTATTATATAATTACTTTTATTGAATAAATAAATAAATATTTATTTGCATACAGTTCGATGGAAAAATGTTAGGACACTTGATACGACACGACGAACTTATGAACATTATAATAGAAGATAAGATAGAAGGAAGGAGGGGAAGAGGGAGACCGAGACATAGTTACATCAGGCAGATCAAGGAAGGAGTTGGTGTCGTGTCGTATCAAGAGGTGAAGAGACTTGCTGACAATCGTAGTGAGTGGCAAGAGCTCCACCGACAAGAGCGCAGCTCTTAAATAGATAGATAGATAGATAGACAGTTCGATGTACATTGTTGTAACCACAATAGTTTTAGCAGCTACAGCAGCGCTGTAGTACGCCTTCTAACAGTAGGCGGGCATATGTTTTAACTTTTACATAATACGTTTATAATAAATGCTATACGATCACAACAATTATAATATATTTCAGAAATTGGGAGTTCCACTGGAAGGTTTTGTCAGAGTGCAACTGAATCTAAAAGTGGATCGAGCACCAAACATAATGATCAACAATATAAACAGGTTCCCCGACATCATCTTTCCAATTATGTGGGTTGAAGAGGTAAGAGTTATGTTTCAATCTTCTGTGTTCTGCATTAATCTTCTTTAAATTTAATACTTTTCCTCTTAAAAGGCCGCTAATGATTTCAAATTCAGCCATTGTGAATACTTTATTGCACTTGTAAAAGAATACAACGATTACTATAACAACTTGTTAGCAAGAGTAGACTTATCTCTGAAAGAGATCTCTTCCAACCACCTAATGCAATGAGAGAAAATGATTAGGTATGGTATTCTAGTACAAGAAAAACACATGTTAAAAGTGTTTATATTATATATATATATATATATATATATATATATATATATATATATATATATATATATATATATATATATATATATATATATATATATATATATATATATATATATATATAATAATAATAATAAATAATGTATTGCAGGGCATCCACGAAGTGACTACATCAATTTGGAGATGGATATTCCTAGCAACTACAGTGGGACCGATAGCTGCCCCAGTACTATCCTACTCTATGATATTCTTCGGCTTGTTGACACTATTTATCGTTTTTGTGAAAGCCTACAAAAAGTTTGTCATTGGGCAAAATTCGATAGAAATAGTGGAACTGAGTAGGGAAACTATACGACGAGGTTCAACGCTAATCATGAACGGCTCTCAGAGGCTGTTGCCCTGCAGAGAAACGTCATATCGCTTGTTGAACACTATACCATCGACGCCAAATATAGCGAGAGAAGAGAAAAACGTAGAATTAGATTTCGTACGGAAAGAAGTCAGTCAAAGTCTGGACGAATTGAAGAATGTTATAAGAACTGATTTTGTAACATCTAGTTTCAATGGCACTGAAAGAGAATCTTTAATACGAGCAGACAACTCTTTCATTTTATCTGAACATAATCGACGGTACAGCATGTTTAGGTTACCAGACGTTTAAAACAATATCTATGTATACACATATAGATTGTAAGAAATATACTTTACTAATAAACCGTTTTTCAAACCACCGCTTAGATGCGAACGTATTCAAGCATAAAACGATTAATTACAAATTACAAACAGTTAATTAATTATGTTTAAAAAATATTTAAAAACGATTATTATTATAATATTTAACAGGAAACTTTGAAATCTTGTTTAATGTATTTTTCATCAAATAAACCAAATTTTTTCGGAATATAAACTGCCATTAGGTCATTCATATTTGAGAAACCGTAAAGTATCGTCAATATACATATATATATAGCAACAATGCCGATGTAAACAAAACACAGTTATTAGCTAACTTACTGTGATAAACATGAATGTTTACTCCGAAGTGACGTCTAATTATAAATTATAGAAACTCTATTATGACTACAAATATTAATTTAAGAATTAATAGCTTCACACGTATTTGCCAATATGCTTTCATAAGATCTATTTTAAAAATTTAAGAATTTAAAAATAACAAAACGTGAGGTTTATAAAGTTTACTTAAATGAAAAACGGTTTTATAGTATATATTTAGGTTGTGTTACTGACTGAATGTACAGATTCTGATTATTTTTGGAATCTCATTAGAAGTTAGAAAAAATTTGCTCATTTAATATTGTAACAAGTGGTTGAGACTTCATTGAATTACCAATACACAATTTATAGACTTATCTTGTTGAGAAGGTGATATTTTTATAAGAAATATTTACTATTATTAAACGTTATATTTTATTGTATTTTGACATTAATGGGGTCTCTCTCATTTATGATTCATTTTAATTGGTCAAATTTTATAATGTTGATAGATATTAGTTTCGAATTATGAAGATTCAATCTATAAAAGGCTATAATTGTTTATTTGGTTGACAAAGACTGTGAATTTAGCCATTTTATGTTGTGTATGTAAGTTGATATTTTTAGTGTCTCTCCTTATTTTTACCTTCATATTTAAATACAAATGCCCTTTGTTTTCTCACTGTGATCATTTCTTATATATATATTGTATTTATCATAATTTTGCTATTGTAATCTTTTGAAGGAAATAATAAAGAATATTTATCTATCATCTTCTATCTTATAATTAGAGGTTTTTAGTCTTAAAAAACTAAGATATTCAACTGAAATTAAAATTTGAGGGCAATTTCCCATTTTTGAAAAAAAATACGCTAAAAATATCATTTACATTGAAAAGACACCAAATTAAATACTATGTAAATAAAATAAATTTAATGACAATAATTTGTTAAAATATAAATAAATCCTGGTTGCAATGCTAGTCGTTGATAAATATCTACAGACATTCTTTAAAAACATGCAATGTCTGCAAGTTATGTAGGTAACACGTATATATATTTGCAAATTTCGCTTTGACAACAAAAAAAAAATATATATATATATATAATCATTTTTATTATTTTAATAACGTTACAATAATTAAAATACAAATCTTTAAATTATAAGGAAGTTCTAAAATTAATTATTTTTATACAATTTATAAAACATTTTTTTTGGTTTATTTTTTTTTATTTAAATATTATTTTATTTATACCTCACACACTCTTGGAAATCTTTTGATAGTGTATAAATTCTGCACTATTCTCATTCGTTGCCTATCCGGTAAGGAAAATATGGCGTGAAGGTAGATAGTTACATTGTAAAATTAGTCATTATAATAAAAAATGACTATGTGGTGAAGGTAAAAATTTACCGCGGTACCTACGTGATTGGATTTACGTATGAATTTAGTACCAGGTTATATAGGTACGGTTCGGTTGCGGTGGGGACTTTTTGTTACCTAGTTTTTTATTAAACTTGCTCAAAATTTTTGTTTCAATTCGTTTATAAAACATTTAAAAAAAAAAGCAAAAAAAAAATTGTAAAATTATATTTTTATATAACTTTTCCATTTCTAAAGAAAACATTGCTCAAAAAAAGTAAAAAGATGCCAACAAGTGTTCTTTTAGACCTAGGAAAAAATAATTAGTGACAAATATTTTGAGTATAATGTGATTAGATTTTTTGAAGAATATTTAATTAGATAGATGGAAATTAAGTGTTAACTCGCCTATTTCACATTTGATGTTTAGCTTAGATTTAATGAATACATCTTATTTTAGAAACAGATATAAACCATAGATCAATAACTAAGCATATAGTTCAATATCTTTGACCCACAACCACTTAGTTTGTATCTAAATTCGGTTTACCAATTTTTTTTTCAGTGTTTAAAAATTATTTTCTTAATTCCAGACAATTATCATATTGAAGACTAGGCAGCACGGTCTCCGATCTTAGCCTATTTCACAGCGGAACAAACGTATTAAAAAAAAAATCTGATATAAATTGTTCCTGCTGTACAACAGTTTGAGCATTAGTTATTGGTGACCAAACAAAAAAATGCTGACGAGTTTTTATAAAAACTCAAAAGAAAAACCTTTAAAAAAAAAGATACTATTGTTATTTAAAAAAAAAAAAAACTATTATCATATGTATTATTTTTTACATATTTCCGTACCAAACATTTTGTATAAATATCTATTAGAAAAGATATAGTTAAATATCGCTGTATAGCATTCTCCTGCACCTAATTTACAAAGTATAGTTACATATACCTAATATTTAAGTACTCGTTTACCTAAATGTTATGGTATGTTGCCCATAGAAATGCTTCAAGAAAAACGGGTCAACATTTTCATATAATTTTGCGTGATAAATAGTTACGAGTGATTCCTTTATAACTTCTATATTTATTTTGTCTTATAATTTATATATCTTTTTAATGCGTAAACACTCATTTTATTTATTAAATAATACGTCAAGATCCATTTATACGTAGGTATATAAAATACTGATAAAAAAACGAGTCAGATAATTTGTCAATTAGTTGACAAAAAGTTGACCCGTTTTCGAGACTCGATACTCTATTTATATAATCTAAGGTTTAAAGTATATATAAAAATAAAAACCTCAAATGTGAAATACGCGGATTATCTTTGACATGTTTGTACTTAGTCAATTTTTTTAAGCCTAATAGCTCATGAAAAGCTTTAATATCCAAATGAATTTTCAAATAATATTTTAATTGAATTTATAAATATTAGGGGCAACACGCTTTGCGTATACACGTACACGTGTGTCAATGAAAACATTCCATTTTGTATTTTAGTAGAGGGTTTTAAGGACTATTTTAAGACTACATTATTATAACTGTAAATATTAGCATAAGGAAAATTTGTTTTTAATAAAAAATATTTGTAAAAATTACCGTCTTTTTCTGGAGTATAGCTTTGTATGGATGTGAGACGTGGACATTAACTCAGAAGGAAATGTATAAACTTAGAGCCTTTGAAATGTGGTGCTGGAGAAGAATTGAGAAAATTAACTGGAGGGATCGAATTAGAGAAGGTCTTGCTTAGGGTTAAGGAAAAAAAACAAATTATAAGAACTATTGAGGACAGAAGGAGAAAAATGTTGGGACACTTGATACGACACGACGAACTTATGAACATTATAATAGAAGGTAAGATAGAAGGAAAAAGGGGGAGAGGGAGACCGAGGCATAGTTACATCAGGCAGATCAAGGAAGGAGTTGGTGTCGTGTCGTATCAAGAGGTGAAGAGACTCGCTGAAAATCGTAGTGAGTGGCAAGAGCTCCACCGACAAGAGCGCAGCTCTTAAATAGGATAGATAGAGACCGTCTTTTTATAATAATTTACTAAGTCGTACCAGAGGGGTGTTTTGTACAAAAGTCGTCTGCGTGGCAATCTCTTTCCCGCTCATAGACTTAGTATAACGTACTACGTAAGTACTAAATCTAAGGTCTCACTCGTGATTCTACCGTCAAACAGTTGTTTGCATTTTTTTAATGGGTAATAATCGAATGGGTAATGATCAATTTGACAAGTCAACAAACACCATGAAGCTTTTTTAAATGGATAATAATGGCGGGGCACCAGTGAGGGATAATAGGTGAGAATGAAAAAGCAGGTTAACCCATCGTGTTGAATACACCTGGAATTCAGCTCGATGTTTTACACGGGAAACCACGTGGAGGTGGACCTAACTGGGTATTGCTAGCAATGGGACTAGTAGTCCGCATTTCTAACAATCCCTACCCCTCCCCACCCCCATTGTGTTTGCATTAGGTGCTATTTTTAATCTATGGTTAAAATGGTTATTGCTAGATGGGATATGACTGTAACATTATAAGGTACGGAGGTACACTTTTTTCCTTTGTAGTGATTTGTAAATTAAAGACAAACTTTGTACAAAAGTCGATTACTTCTGTCCCATTCGTGTTTCAACCGTGAAGCAGTTGTGTTTGCGTGGCTGTTTGAAGGGCGGGATATGGCGTGAATTTACTGGGTACAGAGGAATAACACCTGTCCTCAGGAATGGCAACGCATGGGGTGATACACCCCATACGAAACAGTATACTCTGTTATGTCCATGGTACTGCTCATGTCTATAGGCGACGGTTACCACTTTCCATCAGGTGGGCCGTCAGCTTGTTTGCCATTCTAAGTTGTATAAAAAAAAGTAAGGTAACCGAGGCCTCTAGACAAATGGCAAACGAATTCGTCGATGGAGTCGACATCGCTAGCGAGTCCCATGAGATAGAATGAGATAGCAACGCCGGGTGTCTCACTCCAACTCACGCACTCGCTAGCGATGTCGATTCCATCGACGAATTCGCTTGACACTTGTCTAGAGGGCGATATGCGTATATTTATACGCACAATTTAAATATGAACTTAATTAGGTATAAATAAATAAACATATACACATTCAACAATTTATTTCTAAACGACTAAATAACAAGCCCGCGGGGTATGGCACAATTTTTTTAGGAAAACCACTTTTTTATTAAATAAATATTAAAATATTATAATTAATAAAAATTATTATGGTGAATAAACATAATTTTTCATTAATAATATTGTTAGGATTCCCTGTCTTTAAGGAACAAAAAGCATTCAGTGATTCTGGCATATTTGATAATTTCTCAAAATTACTAATTTTCTACTAAATTCAATAATAATCATATTAGGTAGGTACGGAACTATTTGCACACGAGACGCATGTAAATAATAATATATAAAAAAAAAGACTTACATTTTAAGTACTTACCTAAAATATTATTACAATATATAATTTCATTAGGCAATATAAAATACTTAAAAACTAATTTAACAATGTAAAGTATAAATATTTCTGAATATGTTTTAAATAAAGTATCTCGCATACTATGCGTCTCTGAGCATTAACGAAGGATCTCAATAAAATTGTTCGAAAAAGTCGAAAATTTTTAAACAAACTCGATTTAAAAATTTGGCCTTTCATACACTTATACTGCATTAAATATCTATGTTTTAATATTGAAACCTACCCTTGATAAATTATCTAAGTAATTAAAAAAAAATACTGGAATAAATTCTTTCTAGTTTTTTCATAGACTAGCCCTATGATGGAGCTCTGATGTTAAAAAAAAAAAAACATAAAAAATACAACCAAATGGAGAAATCGATTGAAAAAGGAAAAACTTTAAATAAATCGTTGACACATTTTCAAACGAACAATCTTCTATAAAAAGAACTTTAAAGGGCACTGCGATGATTTCAAATTAAATCGACATTTGGTTAGCTAATTTGACATTTGGCTGACTCAATTTGACACATACTTTATTAAATAAAAATACACCTTTTTTGACTGTTGAAAGTAGTAAATTAAAAATTTTCAAACCCAATTCGTTTTTTTTTTTAATTTGAATTTAGAACTATTTCTTCTAATATTATATAAATATACATATCTTCCGTATTATTACAAATTACATAGTATGATTACAAATTAATATATATGTCTTAATCAAAATGGCGGCTATTCAATGACTTTCAAAAGAAAACATACCTACAATAAGTCTATACTTGATATAAATCAAAGTAATCAGAAAAAAAAAGTACCCGTAACCGGCGAGCGTGTATGAAAAGATTGATGAATGTGGAGGAAGCGAAAGAGGTTTGTTTGAATCGAAGCATTTGGCGTTCCATTGTTTCTGCCTACACTAACGGGAGACAGGCGTGACAGATATGTATGTATGTATGTAATCAGAAAAAAATAAGTAAAATATTAATCATAACATATCATTATGCACTGTTTATCTTGTTTTTTGAAATACATTTGCAAGAATTTTGTATAGTTTTTATTTTCCTGTTTAACTAACCTCACAATACAATTTCTCCCATATTAGTAATAAATGTACATTATGGCAACACTATTTACGCACACATGCATGAAAAAAGTTTAGCTGTTTTTAATTAAGCATACAATTTTCACATTCATACAAATGAAGACACTCAAATCTGTATAATCTGAGATCAAAGCCTAGATCCTTCTCTCGTGATACTGACTGTGTATGGGCCAGCTAGTATTTTACTTTTCTATTTGATATAAATAAAAAAAGAAATATTTATACTTTGCATTTAAAATCGTTGGCAGTTACGAGAGCTAATTTAATATTTATTAAAATTAATTATTTTAAGTAGAATACATTTCAGAGTACAAGTACAAATTACAAAAATAATATATTTTTTTATACATCAAATTTTAATATATTTTATATTATTATAATATAATTTTTTTTAAGTGAACAATAAAAGATATTTTGATTATTATTATTTAAAAAAAAGTATTCTTACATACTAATAGGAAATCTGATTTTATTTTATATATTTATAAATTCATATTATATATTTCATCGCCTATTTAAAAAAGCATAATTAATTACCTCACTAAAATCAGACTGTGTTATTTATAAAAAAATGTTAAACCTGTATTTCAATCTAGGTCAATATATATATATATATATATATATATATATATATATATATATATATATATATATATACCCGCGCCTAGGCATGGGTAACACCGATACCTCTGCAGAAAGAAAACAGTCATTACCCATTTCGTTATCGCCCGTACCCTACATCTATATTCTTTTTTTTTTTTTTTACTTTGTTACAAACCAAGAAGTTACTTCAAAAGAAAAACACTTTTGTAACATCTAGAATACGCTTACATATTTGACATCCTCAAGAACAAAGGGTTTTATTTACAAATAAATTTAATGGAAGGCATCATTTCATATCTGACATGGACATAGACGTATTTAGGCAAATTCAAATAGTCGCTTTAGTGAAGACGTAACAAACGAACAGACAATCGTACACACTTAAATAAGTAGAAAAGGGATTGTTATTAGTAACTGAGACTTGCGTCTCTACTAGCAATCTACCCTGTCAGGTCGACCTCTACACGGACTCCCTGAAAACCACCATGATTCTGTTCATCTTGTGGAATTCATCGTGATAGGCCAACCGACCTGATATCATCCTCACCTATAGGCGACGGTTACCACTTTCCATCAGGTGGGCCGTCAGCTTATTTGCCATTCTAAGTTGTACAAAAAAAAATCCTCTATTCTTCCTCCCTGGTGCCCCGACAATGTATACTAATAGTGTAGGCAGTGTTGCCATTCTTTATCAACTATTAAAAAAAACTTAAATTACAAATTTAATATTCCTGTGTAACTTAATTTCATATTAATAAATAAAAAAAAAAATGCTAACAACTTAAAAGTAAATAGATATACAAAAATACATGACTACAACCTACGCCATTAAATTTATTTTATAGGAACGATATAACAGGATAGATTTTTAAAACTAAAATATAGTGATTTGTTAAAAAGACTTAAATAAAATTTTATCTTGGAATTTATCTAATATATTATTATTGCGTTTAAATTTTCATTAAATTTAATATCATGCTTCCATACTTTTACCGACTGAGTTACAATTTTATTTAATAATCTAATGACGTGTCTGTATGTTTAAATCTTATAAATTTTATCAATTTTCATTCATAACATTTATTTTAAAACATTCCCTTCTAATAATAATTAATTAATTAATTAATTACATTCTTATTCAAAATTGCCACTTGGCGATGCAACAATGGCATAAGGCAAGTTGGCAGCACTAGGTTATAACTTTTTTTTGAAACCTGGCATCTCATCATCTTTCTAGATAGCATATTAAGATAAAATATGTCAGATTTAAAGCTAAACATTCAAGAAGGCAACTTTGAAAACCGTATCCAATTTAATGCAAAAAAATTAGTGTGATACCGAAAAAAGCTACAAACAAATAACAGAGTAAACTTTTTAAAATTATTATGTTTGACTTAAAAATTTTCAATGTACAAACATGGTCTAGGTACAATTTTATTATATTAATAACATAAATAGTAAAATAAATTTAAAATAAATAAAATATCTACGCCTTAATTTTTTATAAACCGTCATCATTACTTACGAACATAATGTGACGATATATAATGCGCTAGTGATACAAAACAATAACTATATATGGTGGCACGAGTTCATTATGTGATTTAAAAAAAAAAAACATATTACAACCTCTATGGGCATCTTGTTTGAAACGTTCATTACTGTAGACAAAGAAGAAATGAGTTCCATTTTCAAAAATTTCATAAACATTATACATATTATATTAAAAAAAAAAAACAATTGTTTGCTTTCCGAATATTAAAAGCGTTCATTACTTTTGCTCGCCGAAGTGTGACAATGTCGTAATTATGGTCACTTTCAAAAACAATTGAACAATTTTAAATGTTTCTAATTGATTATTAAAAAAAATACTCTGCCAACTGACTAAAACGTTAATCATAAAATACAAGTACATTGCATATAAATCTATCATTAAAAACTATGCACGTACTTCATACATTACTTCTGATTTCTTCAGACATTCTTTTGTATGAGAACCCTATTTTTAGTGCCAGCATAATAAGAATATTATTACAATATTATATTGCATTTTTAGAAAAATCAAACAGAAACTTTAAAAAATACTCAAATTATTTTTTTAAATTGACAAATAATCGCTTCATTGCCATACTTCGTTACGAACACTCATAAAAAGTAAAAAATGTCCACAGTATAAAACAAAACTCTCTGAAACATGCATAATACTCTGTATAGTAAAATTATTAATAATGGACGTACAATTAGCAGGCAAAGGAATAAACCCATACAGCCTGGTCCTGTAATAAAATTTAAACTCTAAACCAATATAGAAAATAGAAATATAATTAAAATATAAAATCTTTCAATAATTGTTAAAAATAGTATATATCATATATTATATTAATTTTTATCAAAACATATTCTTAAACAATATAAAACCGGCTCGAAGTACGTACGAGAGACGTCACAATGGACATTTCTGTACGCTAAACACTCGTGTGGTCCCGGCATAGAATGGGCCACCCCTTCTTTCGCGTGGGTGTTGTTAAGACGACTAAGGGAACAATGGTCTAGAGACAAGCAACATCGTCTCTTTTAAAACATCACCAAAGCCTTACTAAGCGTTTGCTAACCCACTTGCCAAACGTGGCAACTACTGACAAAACTGCCTTTATGACAGATGTCTATGTCCAGCAGTGGGCAATTAATAAGTGACATGATGGTAATGATGAATAACAATGTTCATTTTCCATTCTTTTTCCATTAAAAGGTTATCGTATAAAGCGACAAGAGGTATGAAGATCAGTATATAAATGCAAAAGAAATCAAAATAAATTCAAATATTTAATAATAGAATACGACGAATGGAATTACCAGCAATATACACTGTCAGGTCGACCTCCACGCGGTTCCTCCTGGAAACTATCTTAGTTATTTTTTGTTAAATTCATTACAGTAAGTCGACTGACTTGACTTCATCCCACCTATCCCATTACAAAATCCCAACACTAAGCTGCCTAGGAACCACAATAATACACTAAGATACGAGAAACCAGTTTCCAATAATGGAATCTTAATACCGACCGTATAACGTTGATCATAAGGACCATTTCATTATAATGGAACTAAAAAGGTTTAATTTATTACTATTACCTATGAATTACTATTATTTATCGCTAATCCTAAGTTCAGCTAATTCCTTCTCCTCATCCACTTCGTCTTCATCATCCGAACCGTGGATAGAAGTTACTGGGGTTGTGCCTCCTATAAAGAAATATAAAATTTAAAATATAATTTAAATATCTTCATGCCAGATTTCTTAGTAAGATTAGATGGGCAGAGGCAAGGACAGATAGGGACAGAAAAGGAGACCAGAGGAAGACTTTGTACAAAAGTCGTTTGCTTGGGCACCTGTGCCCCATTCGTGTTTCTACCGTGCAGCAGTTGTGTTTGCATGGCTGTGTTTTGGTTTGAAGGGTGGGATATGGCAGTGAATTTACTGGGTACAGAGTAATAACACTTGAGTCCTCAGGAATGGCAACGCATGGGGGGGGTATCATGGGCGAAACAGTTGTTATGTCCATGTCCATGTTATGTCCATGGTACTGGTCATGTCTATAGGCGACGGTTATCACTTTCCATCAGGTAGACCGTCAGCTTGTTTCCCATTCTAAGTTGCATAAAAAAGAGAAAACAGGGTTTTTGTTTTGGGATGAAAATGGAATGGTAACCCTGACTACGCTATCGGTACACGCTGGCAGTTGATTAACTACATATCGATAACTGAAGATGAAATTCACTTGAAACAGCGTGATTAATTCACCAGAAAATCAAAGATTGGTTTTCAGGGGAGATCACGTAGAGGTCAACCCGATAGGATATATTTTTGAAGATGGGACCCCATTCGACTAACAGTCCCCTATTCCCCAAAAAACAATATCTACCCTTATATCTCCAACTTAGCTTATCTACTTTCATAACTTGGCTCGATTCCTCTGCCAGACAGTATAGAATCTTGAGGGAGGGCGGCATTGCTAGCAATGTACTTAATCAGGTCGACCTCCACGTGGTCCCCCCTGGAAACCATCGTGCTGAATTCCGAGTGTATTCATCACAATGGGCTAACTGACCTGCCTTTTCATCGCCACCTATCATCCCTCACTGGTGCCCCGCCAGTGTACGAGGTCTGTCCGGAAAGTTCGTATAAAAGTGTTCTGGAATGCGAGAAAGAGGAGTGGGGAGGCCAGGTAAGCGCAGGACCCCTTCCTTATGTCCCTAACAATGCTTCAGTTCTGGTCTGACCGCCGTGCGGTGCGAACTGGCTTGTCACGCCATCTGTGAAGTTACCTCTTAACGAAACCCCGTCGGCATGGAGCCCGCTTCCGTTGAAGAGCAGCGCGTCGTAATCAAGTCTCTCGAAACTCGGCAAGAATGGCCGTGAAAGCAAAGAGTGGAAGACATCCGGGGAACCACGAACAAAAAAATCAAGAAAATCCCGCTCAAATGTCAAGACAATGTTGATTGTTTTTTTCGATGTTCGGGGGATTGTCCATCAAGAATTCGTCCCTCCAGGCCAGACAGTTGATGGAAAATTCTACGTCGATGTGCTCAGACGCCTCAAAGCTCGTGTGGTACGAGTTCGTCCAGAATTGGCGCGAGAGGGGCGTTGGATTCTTCACCACGACAATGCCCCTGCCCACACCTCTCTTGTTGTCCGTGAGTTTTTGAGTAAAAATTCCATTACGGTGACCGAACACCCCCCCTATTCGCCGGATTTGGCCCCGTGTGACTTCTTCTTGTTCCCAAAAACCAAATTGGTACTTCGGGGGCGGCATTTGGGGGACATAAATGAGATAAAAAAAGCTACGACGGGGCAGCTGAGAAACCTACAACCAGAGGACTTTCAAGGAGCCTTCTCACAGTGGAAACGGCGTTGGCACAAGTGCATTATGTCACAGGGGGAGTACTTTGAAGGGGATAAAATTGATTTACCTGAATAATTGTAAAATAAAATTTTTAAAAAACTTTTATACGTACTTTCCGGACAAACCTCGTATACCGTTAGCACAGACGGATTTACCATTACATTATCATCCCATAAAAAAAAAGTATAAAATCTTGGGGGGAAAGGGATTGTTAGTAATGGGGTTTAACAGCCCTATAGCTAGTACTGGTCGACTTACACGCGATTTCCCTTGGAAACCATCCTAGATTTTTTTTTAATTTTTTTTTATATAACTTAGAATGGCAAACAAGCTGACGGCCCACCTGATGGAAAGTGGTAACCGTCGCCTATAAACATGAGCAGTACCATGGACATAACAGAGTGTACTGTTTCGCCCATGATACCCCCCATGCGTTGCCATTCCTGAGGACTCAGATGTTATTCCTCTGTACCCTGTAAATTCACGCCATATCCCACCCTTCAAACTGAAACACAGCCATGCAAACACAGCTGATTTACGGTTAAAACACGAATGGGACAGAGGTACCCAAGCAAACGACTTTTGTGCAAAGTCTCCCTCTGGTACTCCTTATGGAATTCGTCACAATGAACTAACTGACCTGTTTTCATCCTCACCTATCATCTCTCACTAGTACCACGTTAGTGTACACCTACCGATAGCGTAGGCTGGATTACCATTCCGTTTACCTGCTCCAAAACTACATGATTTCTGTATGAAATGAAAAATTTTATTAAAAATCGAGCATTTGCAGATTATTGCTTCCACGAGATACAGGCGTTACGTACGAATCTAAAACAGTAAAAACTATGCTTAAAAATACTTGTGCAATATAGGTGTCATATCTGTATTAAAGTTATCACAAAAACATTATTATACACTACTCGCAAAAATTAAGGGATATTAAAAAAAAATTAAAATTTTTGGATGATTTTCAATAAGGAATAACTTGGAGAGAAATGGTCATAGAGAATGTCAAAAAAAAAAGTAAATTGTAGCTTTGAATGTCTAGTTCTCATATCTAGACAGTAAATTTTTTTAGCATAGGCAGTTCTCAAGTAATCATCGGAAAATCAACGAAGAAAAACTTTTACAAATTTTTGCTCGTCTTTAAAATGGTCTGTGGTCTTCGATTCTTTTTTTCTTTTCATTATGCGACTAGATGACTTTTAGAAAATTTTGTAAACTTTAATTTGAGCTTTGGTTGAGCTTTGTACGATGATTTAGTGTAGAATTATCGTCGATCAAAGTAAAAAAATCCATTTTAAGTTTGACAATCAATTAGTCATTCAAATGTCCACTTGAAGTATGATAAATAATTAATAATATTACTTCTGAGTAGCTCTGGCTACAAATACCTTTTTTTAGATTTTCTGTACGACCATTTCCCTCAGAGTTATCCCTTGTTGAAAATCACTCAAATTTTTGGATTTTTTTTTTTAATATTCCTTAATTTTTTCGAATAATGTATATACTTGCTCATGTTATGTTTGCGAAATGGTATTGATGGAAACATGTGCCAATTAAAAATAATATGTGCCTATACGTCTGTCTACACAAACAAAAATATATTTTATGTACCTATCACATGAATAAAATATGGTATAAATTATGTATGTATAATGAAAATATAGTGTCACAAACAAGTCCTTACTATCTACAAAATCAGTGATTAAAAAAAAAAACAAATTTGAAGTGATAACAAAACGCAATTAAAAACCTAATTGCCGCCATTGTTCCCGCCATTTCGTTCCGTACAGTCATTCAGTTTTGCGATCAGCTGATCTATCTGTTCCACCATTGCCTCGTTCAACGGTTCCAGGAACGTCTCATTCGGCGTTCGGTAATTCTCGTGCTCCGATTCGGAATAGTTCGGCTTCTCGAAAGAGACATCTATACCGTCGGTGTCATCGACAGATATGTCTAATATCTCTAGCGATTTCTGGACGTTGAGAAGATTCTTTCTTTGAACATCAATTCTGTGTTCAGATGTTTGGACTTGTTCATCTTTTGTCTCTTTCGATTCTATCTCTTTCTGATAGGATGTGGTTAGACGATTTGATATGTCGTGGCGACGTACTGTTTTTTTAATAAAATTACAAATGTAACAACGACAATGTTAACTAAAATTAAAACTAAGTTCCAATATCGGCCAGAATCCTCTAATCTATCAAGAAAGTTATTTCCATTTGGGCCCAGTTATTGTAAAATGTCTCAAAAAATTTATAAAAATACCAGGATTACAAAAACAATAGAATATAATTAGTTTTCCAAATAATTTAATAAAACAAAAACATTTTAGGTTATTTTTACGATTGTTACTTTTTATCACGTGCCATGTAAATGTAAAAATGGAATTTAAAATAAAGCGTAAAATAGGAATTTACTATTTACAAAATATTCAATAAGTATTATCTTATAAAACAAAAATAATACCGGAAATAATACGCTCAGGAAATCTTACTTATTTGAGGTTATTTAACAAAATTCACGCGCTATTTCTATAACCACAGACAATTTGTGTTTGAATAATGTTACCATCGTAAAAATATTAAGAAATATTGGCATCAATATTTATACGATACTAAAGTCGCTCAATTGTTTTGCCTCCTCTCCACACTTGAACTTTATGGTACTTTATTACGAATCGTTTGTACAGGGAATATAGAAGTGTTGTTTATAGATTTTTTTAAACAATTTTTTTTTAAATTTTTCTCTCCGTAATAACCATCCTTGTGCTTCAAGGAATATTAAAAAAAAAGAATTAGAGAAATCGGTTCAGCTGTTCTCGAGATTTACGCTTAGCAACACATTCGGCGACTCATTTTTATATTACAGATAGAAGATATCAATCCAAATGGCATTGTTGTATCACCCTGTATAGGTTCGTGTTGCAAATTTTGAATTCTTAATTAATTTGTGCCTAAATTTAACAAATAGTAAAATTGTAAGAGAAGATATGTTAAATTCGAACTAGTTTAGGATTAGAATTCTCTGCATATAGTGTACATTGGCCCCATGTAGTCTAAGCAAATACTTACTGGAATGCGTAGGACTGGGTGGTTCGGAGATGGGACGCGGGTAGTTGAATCGTTTGCCCAACTCCAAGTCCATATGGTCCACATAATCCGGATACACTATTTTCAACGCTTGGGCTCTAGCTTGCCGATAATACTGAAAATATATTGGGGTATTACTATATTGGCCGTGTGCAAATATGCGTATGAGTCTACTGGGAACGGCTTATCCAGAACCAGGGGACTACAGATATCTTAAACCGCGGAATATCGTTAGGGTAACACATAGGATCTATGAAATGATGGTATAAGGCAGGGGAAAGCACAAAAGATCCGTATGGGTCGACGTGCATCGGCTTAGCTGACCCCATATGCGAAAAATAAGATAAGTTATTGGCCGTGTGGTCCCGGCATAGAATAGGCCACCCCTTCCTTTCCCGTGGGTGTCATAAGAGCTGACTAAGGGAGGGCGAGGAATGGGCAGCAGCAGTGTCCCTCTTAAAACATCTCCAAAGTCTAACTGCGGTTGCCAATTTAGCAACTACTGGCAAAATACCCCAATGGGGATTATGTTCAGCAAAGAACAGTTAAAGGCTAATAGAATGAACAGTTTACTAAGTGGAAGGTGACGGTAACCACTAACCAGCAGACGGGCCGTCTGTTTGCGTGTCATTAGTAGTAGAATAAAAAACATACTCACAATGCCTAGATTCCGCCAGTCCATCAAATCAGACAGTCTCTCAGTCCTATTTCTCTGTATGATGCGCTGCCGACGACTTAGTCTGTAACAAACGGAATAGGTCTATAAACTAAAGAGCACAGAAGTTAATTTTAAAATTTCGCGTTGTTTACGCATATTTTAAATACGCAAAAAGGACATAACGGAATGTAAATTTCATTCTCACCCATTAAAAAACGCTTTATGCGGGTACCATACCATAGGATTTACAGGGTACAGAGGAATAACACCTGAGTCCTCAGGAATGGCAACGCATGGGAGGTATCATGGGCGGAGCAGTATACTCTGTTATGTCCATGGTGCTGCTCATGTCTATAGGCGACGGTTACCACTTTCCATCAGGTGGGCCGTCAGCTTGTTTGCCATTCTAAGTCGTATAAAAAAATCTCAGTGTTAACGTGCTTACTTGGTAAAGTCGTACATATACTGAGCAAGTTGCTGCACGGAGCCCTCCAGCGATATGTACCGCCGGTCCACCACATATATGCCGTACGACATCGGGTCCGCTATGTGGTCCTGCATGAAGCAGCCGAACCCTGGAAAGAAGACGGAAGGATTTGTTAGTAATGCGGACTATCAGTCCTATTGCTAGCAATATACCCTATCAGGTGGACCTCCCCGTGGTTAACCCTGGAAACCATCGTGCTAAATTCCAGCTGTATTCATCACGATGGGCTAATTAATCTGCCTTTTCACGGGGCAAAGGGATTATTAGTAATGCTAGCAATACACCCTATCAGGTCGACCTCCACGTGGTTCCCCCTGAAAACCATCGTCGTTAATTTTAGTGGAATTCGTCACGATGGACTAACTAGACCTGCCTTTTCGTTCTCACCTATCATCCTTCACTGGTGCCCCGCCAGCGTATACCGTTAGCACAGGCGGGATTACCATTCCATCTTCACCCATTAAAAAAACCCTATCATCCCTTACTGGTGCCCCGCCAGCGTATACCGTTAGCACAGGCGGGGTTACCATTCCATTCTTACCTATTAAAAAAGAATTAATATCCACCTTTATATTGTTAGTAAGTATAAATTGACCGGAGAAGGGGGAAAGGGATTGTTAGTAATGAGGTCTAATAGCCCAATTGCTAGCAATATACCCTCTCAGGTCGTACTCCAAGCGGTTCCCCCTGGAAACCATCATGGTTAATTCTCACCTATCATTTTACCGACGAGACCAGTGCTTCCACTGGTGCCTCGTCGGTGTATACCGATAGCGCGGGCGGGGTCACCATTCCATTTTCACCCATAAAAAAAAACTGACCGGAGAGGTTGGTGGTGATGCTGGGTATGCCCATGACGGTGCACTCGGCGGGCGTGTAGCCCCACGGCTCGTAGTACGAGGGGAACACGCCCAGGTGGCAGCCGCGCACGAACTCCTCGTAGTCCAGCCCGAACAGCGGGTTGGTCGACGTCAGGAACTCCGGGTGGAAGATCACCTGGGCACGAGTGAAACAGGGGGAAGACGTTAGTATAAGTAAGCTTTGGGGAGAAATCTTTTACTGTGAAAAGAACTAGCAACCCCCTTTTTATTACAAGTGTTCAATAAAAATATATTGCTAAAGTGTCGTTTTTAAATTGATGAGCATTGTCTTTTCCAAAGGAAAAGTGCATCATTTGAAAATCAGATCAGGTCTTATTTAATTTAAAATTAGTTATGCAGACAACAGTGAATATATATATATATATATATATATATATATATATATATATATATATATATATATATATATATATATATATATATATATATATATATATATATATATATATATATATATGGTATATATATATATACATATATAGATAGATAATTTATTTGCATCACTTACAGCACACAAACGCAAAAGACACAAATGCAAAGTGAAAAAAGATAAAAAAAAAAGATAAATGTACAAAAGATTTAAAAAAAAAATCAAAAACAAAATCAGAATGCATAAAATTAGTAAAGTTTTTTTTTCTTCATACGTGTGCCACAGTAATACAAAATGGCCACAACTCAGCTTTTTGCTTTGCCCTACTAAATTGCCGAAATACCACAAAAAAAATAAAGAAATATAGATCAAAAAACATAGTATAAATATATTATATATATATATATATATATATATATATATATATATATATATATATATATATATATATATATATATATATATATATATATATATATATTTATGGAGAGAGAGAGAGAAAGAAAGAGTTCACTGTTGTTTGCATATATATGAAATGTTTATATGACTTTCATACAGAAAGATATGAATTTGCATATTATATTTTGTGTAACATTTTCTCTAATATCAACCGCCACTGTGTGAAATGTATTAATTAATTAATTAATAATTAATTAGTAGTTAATTAAATAATTACCTTGACTTTGTCGTTAACCGTATTGAACAGTTGACACCTTCTGACCGCGTTCAGGACTGGGTCGTTCCAATCATCCACCTAAATATAAAGACAAAATTTTATTTTCTACACAAATTTTTCAAAAAAATAGCCAGCAACATGTAAAAATATAACTATATATGTATTAATGCATATATGACACTGTAAAACTTGTGGAAGACTGGACCCTAAACTAGATCAGAGATCTGTATCTCAGGAATCCAGGCCCCCAACTCGGACACCATGTACAGTTTGCATTAAATAAGGCTAAAATTAAAGTTTTTTTTTTTTATACAACTTAGAATGGCAACCAAGCTGACGGCCCACCTGATGGAAAGCGGTAATCGTCGCCTATAGACATGAGCAGTACCATGGACATAACAGAGTATACTGTTTCGCCCATGATACCACCCATGCGTTGCCACTCCTAAGGACTCAGGTGTTATTCCTCTGTACTCTATAAATTCACTACCATATCCCACCCTTCAAACCGAAACACAGCCATTCAAACACAACTGCTTCACGGTTTAAACACGAATGGGACAGAGGTACATAAGCAAACGACTTTTGTATGAATAAATGAATGAGTATACTTTATTTGCATCATACAATATAGGAAATAAGCAAGGCAATTTACAAACACAACGATACAATTGTATAAGTACAGTAAGGCGGTCTTATTGCTGAGAGCAATCTTTTCACAAAGTCTTCCTTTAGTGAAAGTAAAAATAAATCGGAATAACAGAAAAAAACTTGATAATAATTATAAGCACTCATAGACACGGCCGCTTACCAACAAACGGACCGTATGCTTAATTATCCCTCTTGTATAAAAAAAAGTATTTCATATACTTACAACATTGTGTGTGGTAACCGGTGGTAATCCATCGCGTTGCAGCGCGTATATGCAGCGCTTCAGCCGCACTGTGTCGTCTTTGTGAAGGAGATCTGACGCTTCGGGCAAGTGTCCCCTGCAGCAAACGATATTATTGAGTATGTACTGTTGACACTCATTTCTATACCCACATCGGAAATAACAAACATAAAATTCCCATTATATATATATATATATATATATATATATATATATATATATATATATATATATATATATATATATATATATATATATATATATATATATATATATATATATATGTATTTATTATTTCAGTCGTTAGCTGTCCACTGCTGAACATAAGCCTTCCCCATAAGGGGAGTTTTGCCAGTAGTTGCCACGCTTGGCAGGCGGATTAGCAAACAAGCTGACGTCCCACCTGATGGAAAGTGGTAACCGTCGCCTATAGACATGTGCAGTACCATGGACATAACAGAGTATACTGTTTCACCCATGGTACCTCCCATGCGTTGCCATTCCTGAGGACTCGGGTATTAATGCTCGGTACCCTGTAAATTCACTGACACATCCCGCCCTTGAAACCGAAACCCAGCCATGCAAACGCAACTGGTTCGCGGAAGAAGATTCCTTTGAAACTGCTCTGTACGTGACCATTTTCAAGCGTGTGAGGATAAATTCCCTATCGATTAAGTCGAATAAATCAAACTGCTCACCTTAAACAAATATCATACATCCTCTTGCCGACCTTCTGCTGTATATCTTGTAAGGTGTCCCGCAGGGCCTTGGTGACGGCGTGGCCCCGAAGACTCTCCACGTTGAAGTTGTTGGTCCTCGCCGGGAAGATCAGGAACGCCACCACCGTCATCTCGGACTCGGACGACTGCCGACATGGTTAGGGGAGGAAAGGAATTGTTATTAATGCGAACTACCAGACACATTGCTAGCAAAATACACTGTCAGGTCAATATCCACGTGGTCTCACGTGGAAACTATCATGCTGAATTCCACGTGAATTCATCACGATGGGTTAACTGACCTGCCTTTCATCCTCACCTATCATCTCTCACTGGTGCCCCGCCAGCGTATACTGTTAGCACAGGCGGGGTTACCATTCCATTATCACCCCATAATAAAAGACTGCCGACATAGAGGGGGGGGAAGGAATTGTTATTAATCCTGGTGAATTCATCACTATACTTCGTCTGCGATATCGGTATATGCTGGCGGGGCACCAGTGAGTGATAATAGACAGATGATGATGAGAATGAAGGCATGTCACTTAGCCTGTTATGATTAATTCAGCAGGCAATAACCACCATGGTTTCCAGGCGAGACCGCCGTGACAACCTTGGTTTATGCGGTATCATTCCCGGGGACTAACCTATTATATCTCTGCCTCCTGTCTCCAAAGAGATACATAGATATATACTCTTTATTTACCAGAAGGAGACTTTGTACAAAAGTCATCTACTTGGGTACCTCTGTCCCATCCGTAATTCTTCCATGATGCAGTCTGCTTACATAGCTTAGTTCGTTTTTAAGGGTGGGATATGGCAGTGAATATACAGGGTACAGTGACAACACATTAATCCTCAGGAATGGCAACGCATGGGGGGTATCATGGGCGAAACAGTATACTCTGTTATACCCACGGTACTGCTCATGTCTATAGGCGATGGTTACCAGTTTCCATTAAGCGGACCATCAGCATGTCTGCCATTCTAAATTACATAAAAAAAAAACTTTATTGTTTCCTCCAAAAGATTACAATAGTAAACTTATTATAAATATAAACAATTACAAGAAACAATCACAGTGAGAAAACAATGGGCGACTAAAAGCGATCTTTTCCAGGCAATCTTTGGATGGAGAGGAGTAATTATAAACAGTTTAATTAGAGAGAGACTCATTAAAATCGGTATGTACCTTCAAATAATGATTGAGCCTGGCCAGAGCTTCAATGAAGATATCCGCTCCTTTGTTCCCGTACTCGTATCGACCAGCGATAAAGAAATACAGTGTTTTATCTAAATCAAAGTTGAAATGTCTGCAACAATATATTATTTTGTCATTAGTATATACTTTTTTTTATATACAACTTAGAATGGCAAACAAGCTGACGGCCCACCTGATGGAAAGTGGTAACCGTCGCCTATAGACATGAGCAGTACCATGGATATAACAGAGTATACCGATAGCGCTGACGGGGTTACCATACTATTATCACCCATTAAAAAAAATACCCAAGGGCAAGGCTTATGTTCAGCAAGGGACAATTAAAGGCTGATATCATGATGATGATGAAAGGTTTGATAATTTTCAAGAATAAGATGGATTATTTATGATAATTACCCGTGAAGCAGTTGTGTTTGCATGGCTGCGTTTCAGTTTGAAGGGTGGGATATGGCAGTAAATTTACAAAGTACAGGGGAATAACACCTGAGTCCTCAGGAATGGCAATGCATGGGGGGTATCATGGGCGAAACAGTATACTCTGTTCTGTCCATGGTACTGCTCATGTCTATAGGCGACGGTTGCCACTTTCCATCAGGTGGGCCGTCAGCTTGTTTGCCATTCTAAGTTGTATAAAAAAAATCAGATCAGCACCATCCTGACGAATTCAACTAGAATTAACCACGATGGTTACCAGGGGTAACCACATGGAGGTCGACCTGATAAGGTATATTGCTAGTAATGGGGCTATTTGTCTCCATTGCTAACACTCCCTTTCCCCCTGCCCTTTGGGGGTTGGCCAGTAGTTGCGACAATTAAGTTCCCTCAGTCGTCTCTTACGACATCCACGGGAAAGGAAGAGGTAGCCCATTATATTTATTTATTTATTCATTTAGGCACAGCAACAGTAATACAGTTCACATTACATTGACTATAATAAGCTTTATAACTAAGTAATTGTTTTAAAATTGTATTCCGTTAATTGCTACGCACAGCGCTTTATATCGGGACCACACGGCATATACAACTAATTGTCACCAGTATTTCAGCCATTACCCGTCCACTGCTGGACATAAGCCTCCCCCATAGACTGCCATAAAGAACGACGACTAATACCGAATACTAATTGCAAAAACAATCATTGAAAACGGTTTTGAATCGGCAACGATCTAAACTAATAGATAGATACTCTTTATTGTTTCCTCCAAAAGACTACAATAGTAAACTTATTATAAATATAAACAATTACAAGAAATAATCACAGTGAGAAAACAATGGGCGACCTTATCGCTAAGAGCGATCTCTTGCAGGCAACCTTTGGATGGAGAGGAGTAATTATAAACAGTTTGATCGGAGGCACGATGAAATTCTATTATTTCTAAAATATAGAGATATGATGTATCATATCTCTATATTTTAGAAATAATAGAATTTCATCATTACATGTATGTAATAATGTAAAATATATATTCCTACTCATTATATACTATTATACACACACATACATACATACATAAACATACATACATATACACATATACATACATGCATACATGATATAAACATCTACACAGATACATAAAAATATATAAATACTTCTTACATGTATACATAAAACATTAAATTATAAAAAAACTAATATACGTTTACACAAGAAATTCGGATGAATCCAGAATCTTTTGATGAACAAACTCACCCGTAGAAGTGGCCTCTGGCGAACTCATTGATCTTCTCCTTGGCCAGCGCGTGCAAGTTTTGGAACTCGTGCAGTGCTGAAAACTTCTTCACGTTCAGACCATTGGGCGTGATGATGTCCGGCTTCCGTTTCAAGAGGTGTTCAGCTTCGTATCCTGATAATATTATAAAGATTAAGAGTTATAGCAATATCTATATATTTGGCGTACAATATCTATATATTTGGCAACCAATATCTATATATTTGGTGTACATTATCTATATATTTGGCGTACAATATCAATATATTTGGCAACCAATATCTATATATTTGGTGTACATTATCTATATATTTGGCGTACAATGTCAATATATTTGGCAACCAATATCTATATATTTGGTGTACATTATCTATATATTTGGCGTACAATATCTATATATTTGGCAACCAATATATATATATTTGGTGTACATTATCTATATATTTGGCGTACAATATCAATATATTTGGCAACCAATATATATATATTTGGTGTACATTATCTATATATTTGGCGTACAATATCAATATATTTGGCAACCAATATCTATATATTTGGTGTACATTATCTATATATTTGGCGTACAATATCAATATATTTGGCAACCAATATCAATATATTTGGCAACCAATATCTATATATTTGGCGTACAATATCTATATATTTGGCAACCAATATCTATATATTTGGCGTACAATATCTATAATTATATATTATATTAGTTTTTTTGGTTTTCACCTTCTCGACTTATGTCGGCTTAAAAACATACCCCGTCCTGTAACCCACAGGAAAAAAGGTACGTATGCCCCAGTTTTATTTTTATGTCCGTCTTCTGCCTCGCCTTCTCTTTAGATTGTATACTGAATTTGTGAGTGATTGTGTGTTTGATGTATGAATTGTGTTGGATGAATCTGGTGTGTTTGTTGAGTGTTGTGTGTTAGTTGCCTGTTGGATGTTTGGTGACCGGTGTGTGTCTTGAGTGTGATGATTTTGTGTATTTTGTACAAATACGGTATCTCCCAATACTTTGCTGAGTATGGTTGATGTGTGAATGGCTGCTTGTTTTTGCAAGATTGTGATGTCAATTTTGGCATTTAGCTTATTTATGTAGTTTTTTATATTTTTAGCTACTATTCCTGTTGCGCCTATTACTATCGGGATGATAATCGTTTGTGTGTTCCACAAACGACTGACTTCAGTTTTGAGAAGGTGGTATTTACTTAGCTTTTCAATTTCCTTAGCTCCTATATTGTAATCAGATGGTACAGTTATATCTATTAAGTATGTTTTATTATTATTTTTATCTATATATATTAAATCTGGTCTATTGTATATTATATTGTATAGTATATTGTATATTGGTGTATTGTATGTAGTGTATTGTATGGTCTGGTATATATTATATTATTATATAATTATATATTATATATTATATTAAAATATCTATATATTGGGGGGAAAGGGATTGTTAGTAATCCTATTGCTTGCAATATACCCAACGATATAGGTGATAGGAAAACAAAAACCAGGGCCGGCTTTAGCTTTTTGTCATCCCTGGGGGCGCCATGTTTACCGACTGCTAGTTGATGTACTCCCGTCTAGCAGCACTGCGCAAATGATATTAATGCATGGATCCTAATACCTGATCCTTCTTAAACCGTAAAGCAGATACTGATCAAAATGTGGTAGATTTTGAAGCGCCATTTTCTAATTACATCTCTAAAACTAATACTTCAATTTGATGGGAAAGGGATTGTTAGTAATAGAGACTGAGAATCCCATTACTAGCAATATACCCAACCAGGTCGACCTCCTCGCGGTTCCCCCTGGAAACTATCATGGTTAATTCCTGATGAATTCATCATGATGGGCTAACTGGTCTATTTTCATTCTCATCTATCACCCTTCACTGGTGCTCCGCCAGCGTATCCCGTTAGCGCAGGCGGGGTTACCATACCATTTTCAACCATAAAAAAAAACTATATATTTGATACGATATCTATATATTTGACTTATCATACCAATATATATACCAATATATATATTGGCCCAATAACAAGCAGTAAATTAATACAGATTAGCATCCAAATTGGATGCACTACAACTACTTGCATTATTGCAGCGCCCTCTAGTATAATTGTTTCTTAGTTGCTTTCTTTTTTTTATATCAATCCAGGTCTTCTCATTGCCCGCCAGATGGTGTGGGCGGGCGACATTTTTTTATATACAACTTAGAATAGCAAACAAGCTGACGGTTCACCTGATGGAAAGTGGTAACCGTCGCCTATAGACATGAGCATTTATTTAAGAAAACCACGCCTCACCATATGGAGAGAGCTTACCAGTGACCTGAGGATAGTTGCCTCGAGGATTGCTGGGGCAAAAATCCGCTCCGAGGCTCCCACCTTACTCTTGTACGAGGGTCAAGAAGACCCGGATTGATTTATTTATTCTTTATAGCACAATAAAAATTTGAACAAATAGCGAGCTTAATGCCATATGGCATTCTCTCTTATCTTCTATTGTTTTATTACACATTACACGGCACTCGTGGCACGGCTCAGCATTGGCCCTACTCACCCGTGATGTCAGATACAGTCGTGAATATATGCGCCATGTGCGCGGCGGCACGCTCCATGCAATACCGGTGATATATCTGTCTCTTTCCCGCCTCCTCGTCCACTGAAAACTGTGAAAGAGATAGAATATATTATAATTAACGAAATTGCTAATAACATTATTAGTTCCACTTAAAGCAAATCGCATTATTCATTAAAACTAAAATCAGCTACAAACCAAAATTATCTTATTCCATGTTTTGTCAGTTTCTTGTCTATTAAAAATTTATTTCAACAAGAAAAAAAAACAAATCTAGCTAATAATAAAACCTTTGACATTTAATTTCGTACTCAATATTATAACAATATATACCTTATCTAAGTTGTTATAGAAATCAGTGTTGCCCGCACACAGATATCGGCCGAGGAGCGTCGCGTGCGTCGTAAACACAGTAGCGACATCTATATGGCGGACCCTGAAATTAAAAATACTTAATAAGTTGTAGTAAATAAAATTTCTCCTTCGTAATTCTTCTTTCATCCATCCTTATAATATTACTAGCTTTTACCCGCGACTTCGTCTGCGTAACGGGGATATATTTACTGACCAGGATAAAAAGTAGTCTATAGATAGGTACTCTTTATTGTTTCCTCCATAAGATTACAATAGTAAAGTTAATATAAATACAAACCACCACTCACCAGAGGGAGACTTTGTACAAAAGTCGATTGCTTGGGTACCTCTGTCCCATTCGTGTTTCAACCGTGAAGCAGCTGTGTTTGCATGGCTGTGTTTCGGTTTGATGGGCGGGATATGGCGTGAATTTACTGGGTACAGAGGAATAACACCTGAGTCCTCAGGAATGGCAACGCATGGGAGGTATTATGGGCGAAACAGTATACTCTGTTATGTCCGTGGTACTGCTCATGTCTATAGGCGACGGTTACCACTTTCCATCAGGTGGGCCGTCAGCTTGTTTGCCATTCTAAGTTGTATAAAAAAAACAAACAGTTACAAAAACATATTACACTGAGAAAAAAAATGGGCGACGTTTTCGCTAATAGCGATGTCTTCCAGGCAGCCTTAGCCTATATCCATGTCTATCCCATATATGTCCCATATATCCAATATGTGTATACTAAATTACATAGTGATTGGTTAAGCCGTTGAGGCGCTATAAGATAACAAACAAACACACTTACATATTAATAAGTAATAGTACTAATAGATGGATGAAAGAAGAATTACGAAAGAGATTTATCGAGCAAGAATGAATGGAGATGTCGGTAGGGGCCGCCCTAGTGGACGTATGTCGACCAAATAGGCGACGTGCTGAAGAAGGGCCAAATTAAAAGTACCCGTAACCGGCGAGTGTGTGTGAAAAGATTGATGGATGTGGACGAAGCGAAAGAGGTTTGTTTGAATCGAAGCATTTGGCGTTCCACTGTTTCTGCCTACCCTAATGGGAGACAGGCGTGACAGATATGTATGTATGTAATACTAAAGTACAGTATGGACACTCCCCGCCGCCCGCTGCAACCTGTCCTCACCCGTCTCAAATACGCGTCAGCGCCCAAACTCTATTTACCCGCGCTAATCGTAACCACTAACTAGGCAGAAAAGTTCTTGAGTAGCGACCCCGTAGGGGCAAACGGGCGGTAGGACGCCCCCCTCCCCTCACTAGATGGAATGACGATTTCAAATGCATTGAAAGGAGTCAGTGGATGCAGGTGACTCAGGACCGTTCCTTATAGCAATTTATGGGGGGAGAGAAAGGGATTGTTAGTAATGGAGACTGAGAATCCCATTGCTAGCAATATTGGGTATCTAACAGTTCCATTGCTAGCAATATACCCAACCAGGTTGACCTCCTCGCGGTTCCCAACCAGCGCGGTTCCCCCTGGAAACTATCATGGTTAATTCCTGATGAATTCATCCTGATGGGCTAACTGGCCTGTTTTCATTCTCATCTATCCCTACTATCTACCCTTGGTGCTCCACCAGAGTATCCCGTTAGCGCAGGCGGAGTTACTGTTCCATTTACACCCATAAAAAAAAAGCAATTTATGGGAGAGGCCTATGACCAGCAGTGGACAGGTAACGGCTGAAATGATGACGAAGACGATGCTGAATCGTAACTACACACGCAAACATAGTCACATGTACAAACGTTGTTTCTGTAGTTTTTTTTTTTTTTTATACAACTTAGAATGGCAAACAAGCTGACGGCCCACCTGATGGAAAGTGGTAACCGTCGCCTATAAACATGAGCAATACCGTGGACATAACAGAGTATACTGTTTCGCCCATGATACCCCCCATGCGTTGCCATTCCTAAGGACTCAGGTGTTATTCCTCTGTACCCAGTAAATTCACGCCATATCCCACCCTTCAAACCGAAACACAGCTATGCAAACACAACTGCTTCACGGTTGAAATACGAATGGGACAAAGGTACCCAAGCAATCGACTTTTGTACAAAGTCTCCTTCTGGTGATGAGCGCTGATCGCAGCGTTTCTGTATCAAGCGTCCGCGCTGTGATATTAGTAAGGATTTTCACCTGAGCATGATGAGTCCGACGCCGGCCTGCCACTCGTGGAAGTGGGCGACCACGCGCGGCGGCGTGTCGCTGTAACCCTCCGCCGCCTTACGGAACTGCAACGTCAAACATACAGGGTGTTATTAAGACACGCTGTTCTTATTACGCGCTGTCTATCTGAGAAAAACCAATATATGTTTAACTGAGCCTGGGGAGAGAAAGGATTATTCATAACGAGGATTAGCAGCCCCATTACTAACAAAACACCCTGTCAGGTCGACCTCCACGGGACTCCTCCTGGAAACCATCGCGACTAATTTATCGTTGAATTCTTCACGATGGGCTAACTGACCTGCTTTTTCATTCTCACCTATCATCCCTCATTGGTACCCTGCCAGCGTGTACCGTTAGCGCAGGCGGGGTTAAAAAAAACATACAGTGTTCTTACGGGCGTGCGTGCGTGTGTGCGTGCGTGTGCGTGCGCGCGCGTGCATATACGTAAGTGTGTGCGTGTGCGAGTGTGTGTTTGTAAATAAAATCTGTTGTAAACCAGACTCACCTCTGCGATGAACTGCGCGACCATAAAGCCGAGTATGACGGAGTCATTGGCCTCCACGTCCAGGTGCGGTATGCCCACTGAGCACGTGTCCCACAGCTCCTGCTTGTACGCGTCCAGCTGCCACGCCGCCGAGCCGATGTCGAACAGGATGATCTGCGGGTTGCCGTCCACCAGCCACGTGCCCGTATGTACCTGTGTTGAAAAAAAGTCGAAAAATGCATGACATGGAAAAGTTCCTCTTTTAGAAAACTGCTTAAAAATACCTAACACATACATACATACTTTGTACAAAAGTCGATTGCTTGGGTGCCTCTGTCCCATTCGTGTTTCAACCGTAAAGCAGTTGTGTTTGCATGGCTGTGTTTCGGTTTGAAGGGTGGGATATGGCGTGAATTTACTGGGTACAGAGAATAATACCTGAGTCCTCAGGAATGGCAACGCATGGGGGTATTATGGGCGAAACAGTATACTCTGTTATGTCCATGGTACTGCTCATGTCTATAGGCGACGGTTACCACTTTCCATCAGGTGGGCCGTCAGCTTGTTTGCCATTCTAAGTTGTATAAAAAAATTCGTGATGCAATATCAGTTAATGCATATTTTTGTTTTACTGTTTCAGTCGTTAGCTGTCCACTGCTGGACATAAGCCTTCCCCATAAGGGGAATTTTGCCAGTAGTTGCCACGCTTGACAGGCTTTTAGAAATGTTTTAAGAGGGACGCTGCTGGCCATCCCTCGCCCACCCTTAGTCGCCTCTTACAATAACCAAGGGAAAGGTAGGAGCGGCCCATTCTATGCCGGGGCACACACGGCTAATGCATGTGCATTTAGTTAAATCTTATTTTTATTCGTGAAAACCTATAATTGTTTTTTTTTTTTGTTTTTACTGTCTTTTTTCAATTATGAAATTTTCTGCTGGTTTTTGTTTAATAAAAATAAATAAATATAAACGTTATGCTAGCGTTATAAAATTTTTTTTACACTACTTTTTTTTACGGCCCTTCTGATAGTAAAGGAGGTTACCGTAGTCTATGGACATCTGTAATGTATCAGGCGTGCGTTGCCAACCCTTAAGAAACATTAATACATTTGTAAAGAACTCTTTTCATTTACTTGCGTACCTTAAAGCCGTGGCTTCTCAGGGCGTTGACGGCGGCGGTGAGGGGGGAATTCGGGGGGAAATCCGCCTCCTCCACCTCTGTGCGGGCGCACTGCTCTTTGTAAGGACCTGTGATGTACAATAATATGTCTTGCAGTGTATATAAATATATTTTTTCCTTCGTTTTTTACTTCATTTCAAATTAGAAATACAAGAGATATAAATTTGGAATAACTGATTTATGTTCTATTGCTTATATCTCTCTCTTCTTTTACTTTTATATTCAACCCCTTATAATTGAGGGAAAGGGATTGTTAGTAATGCGTACTACCAGTCCTCGTTGCTAGCAATATACCCTGTCAGGTCGACCTCCACGTGGTCCCCCCTGGAAACCATCGTGCTGAATTCCAGGTGCATTAATCACGATGGGCTAACTGACCTGCCTTATCATCTCACCTATCATCCCTCACTGGTGCCCCGCCAGCGTATACCGTTAGCGCAGGCGGGGTTACCATACCATTATCATCCATTAAAAAATACAAACCCCTTATAAATTTATTATAGTTTCTGCTATAATAACATTACAATACTGCTCTCAATATGGGATCATCATCATATCAGCTTTTAACTGTCCACTGCTGAACATAAGCCTCCCCCTTGGGAGGTTTTACCAGTAGTTGCCACGCTTGGCAGGCGGATTGACAACAGCAGTTAAACTTTAGAGATGTTTTAAGAGGTACGCTGCTGCCCATCCCTCGCCCTCCATTAGTCGCCTCTTACGACACCCCCGGCAAAGGAAGGGGTGGCCTATTTTATGCCGAAACCACACGGGACGATATGGGATAAAAGATACAAATTCAAACCCCACCTGCTTCGAAATTTTTTATCAATATCAATTTATATATATAAATATATATATATATATATATATATATATATATATATATATATATATATATATATATATATACTTTTTAATTAAATTTAAAATAAAATGTATTAATAGAATTAGTTCACTGGGAAAATAATCTCATTTAAAATAGCATAAAAATAAATTAAATTAAATTAAATTATCTTATTAAATATTTTTATTTTATTTTATTTTTTAATATTGTTATAGAATATGATTTTATTCGCTTAACAGATGCTTATATTTTGCGCTGTGGATATGTATTCAATTTTGTAAAAAGCTGTGGTTATTCCAAATAAACTAAATAAAAAACAAATACACACAGAAACAGATTTTTTTATTATTTACAATTAATAAATATAACTCACCCAGCAAGCAGTAGTTTTCACCCATCTCCTCCGTGGAGACATAGGCCTTAGACCTGATCACAGTATAAATACCGCCCACTGGAATACAAACGAAAGGGACCCATTAAAAACCAAGTCGACCTCCACGCGGTCTCCTTATAAACCATCGTAGTTAACTCGTCACGATGGGCCAACTGATCTAACTTTTTTTATACAACTTAGAATGGCAAACAAGCTGACGGCCCATCTGATGGAAACTGGTAACCGTCGCCTATAGACATGAGCAGTACCATGGACATAACAGAGTATACTGTTTCGCCCATGATACCCCCCATGCGTTGCCATTCCTGAGGACTCAGGTGTTATTCCTCTGTACCCAGTAAATTCACGCCATATCCCACCCTTCAAACCGAAACACAGCCATGCAAACACAACTGCTTCACGATTGAAACACAAATGGGACAGAGGTACCCAAGCAATCGACTTTTGTACAAAGTCTCCCTCTGGTAACTTCATCTTCACCTAGTTCCTCCTGGCAACCATCGTGCTGAATTCCAGATGCATTCATCACGATGGACTAACTGACCTGCCTTTTCATTATCACCTATCATCACCCACTGGTGCCCTGCCAGTGTATACCGTTACTGGTACCTCGCCAGTGCGTACCAATAACGCAAGCAGGGTTTCTTACCATTACTTAGGTTTACCATTCCAATTTGCACCCATAAAAAGAGCAATGATTTTCAATATGAGATAGGAACTTTCTTTGAAAAACAATGATTCGCTAAAGACACCGCTTTCTATGTAGTAAGGTGAACCAATTCCTTGCTTCATCATCACCATATCAGTCATCAACTGTCCACTGCTGAACATAGGCCTCCCCCGTAAAGATGGAGTCGTCAACGTGCACCTGACACCTCTAGTGTTACAGGCATCCATAGGCTACAGTGACCGTTTACCATTAGACGGGCTGTATGCTTGTTTGCCACCTTTGTAGTATAAAAAAGGTGTATTTGTCAGTGGTTGCCGCGCTTGGCAGGCCAATTGGCAACCGCAGTTAGGCTTTGGTGATGTTTTAAGAGGGACGCTCTTTCCCATTCCTCGACATTATTATCGATTACAAAAATAATTGTGAAAATCTATTCAGAACCGCGTCGTAATCTCGTAACATCCATTCTATTTTTTTTATGCATTATTTAGCAAAAAAATTTAGACCAATTGAAAATCTTAACGTTTTGAAAATAATAAATTCAACATAAAACAATATATAAATTATGGCTTAAGGTTTTGAATGCCAATATTAATCATAGTTAATTTTTTACTTTCGCGTTGTTTACACATATTTTTAAACATACAATCGGGACTTAACGCGATAAAAACGTCGGCAATAAAGAACGGTAGATAAGTATTTATTTATTTATTATTTGTTTAATTATTTTATTTATTATTTATTTATTTATGTCGGTACAAATTTACCTGTAAAAACTTTTTCATCGCGTTAAGTCAAGATTGTGTATTTAATAATATTAATCATATTTAAATTTAATTCACTTTTTTTTTTATTTTATTTCATTTTAAAAAATTTTATCTTTAACTATTTACATTTATTCCATTAGAAACATTTGTTTAGATAGGTATCTAGTAATATAATATTTAATCATATTTTCTCTTTGATTCTAGAGGTTTGTTTGAATCGAAGCATTTGGCATTCCATTGTTTCTGTCTACCCTAATGGGAGACAGGCGTGACAGATATGTTTGTATGTATTCTCTTAAAAATATTTATTTATTATCTGCAGGGAACCCATCCGATTCAGTGGACGTAGCTTGACCTAGTTGGTCGAGACCAACACGAGCGTAAGAGCAGCCATGAGGCTAGCGTGGCCTATTTAATCAAAACTGGTAGGTAAATGATATGTATTGTGCGTGCTCACGAAGCGAAGATGAGTCTTGACAGGCGAGAATTACTGGTTTACTTAATACACTGCTTATTGTATTTTCTTATCAACCGACTTTAAAAAGGTGGCTCTTGATTTTTTTTTTTTAAATGAAGCAGGTCAGTTAGTCCATCGTGACGAATCCAACAAGAATTGTTCACGATAGTTTCCGGGGGGAACCACGTGGAAGTCAACCTATTAGGGCATATTACTAGCAATGGGGCTGTCAAACTCCATTGCTAACAATTCCTTTCCCCCTGATTTGGCCTTTGTCTTTAGACAAGAGAGGGGTGACAGAACACTTACTGATTGAATATTAATTTTATTGAATTGTTTATTATGTTACTTCTTATAATAAAAGCTTATATTATTATTATATACTTACAGATTGGTCCCATAGAAATCTTATCAAAATCGGTTAAATATTTTAATTCACGATTGTGGGTACCGAAAAATCCCGAAAGTAGTCGAGCTGTCCCGACCTAATTACACGTAAGTAAAACCGGTATTTATTACATTAAAATGCAAGTTTAATTTCTGTTAATACGTGAGAAGGTTGATTTTCAAGGAAATGGTAGACTCCCACCTTTATTAGCAGCTTCCCACGCGGTCTCGAAGGTCCACCGGTTCTCGTCGATGGCTGCCTGCCCCCGGTCCAGATAGGAGGTTAGGTCGTGGGTCGACTCCGCCCTGTAAAACCGCCGTGATGTCCTGTCGCGCGACATTGTTACCTGTGGTCAACACGATAAGGATTGATTTAAGTCTAAAATAGCGTTTTTTGAACTTATTTATTTATGTAACTTTTTTATGCAACTTAGAATGGCAAAATGATGGAAGTGGTTTCCGTCGCCTAAAGACATGAGCAGTACCATGGACATAACAGAGTATACTGTTTCGCCCACGATACTTCCCATGTGTTGCTATTCCTGAGGATTCAGTTGTTATTCCTCCGTACCCTGTATATGCACTGCAATATCTCACCTTTAAACCGAAACACAACTATACAAACACAACTAATTCACGGTAGAAACACGAATGGGACAGAGGTACCCAAGCAAACTACTATTATACAAAATCTCCCTCTGGTAATGATATGGAGGATCCATATCGTTGTGGAACTTCTGGTAGTGGTGGTCAACCTTTGAGTGTTGCCAGTCACACACACACGAATATTAGCGGAATTATAATAATTCTAGCGATAGTAAAATAATTCTAATTAAATAACCAGAATTTACTAGTTTAAAAGCACTAATTAATGTCTTCTGTGCTTCTCGATCTAGTTCACATAGCACCAGATGCTACATAATAAATCAGATTGACCTATCTATATATTTTACGGCCTAAATGAGCTAAGCTAATAATATAATAATAATGGGCTAAGCGCGGAAAATAGAGTCTTTTTCACATTCACATTCACCTATCTATATATTTTGCTGGACAATATATGCTTGTAGTAAGCCTACCATTTATATATCATGATAGGTCAGGTCAGTACCATATCTGGTATTTGTGCCCATTCGCTTGAATCTATTTTTTTTTTTTTTTTTGTATAGACTCTTATCTGGCATTTTTAATGTGAGTGATTTACAAGTTATTTTGTTATCTGATATAATGTTGCACGTCTTACTATAAATAACATAAACAAATGTCTAAAGTAGATTAAGGTTTCAACAGCAAAATATGTTATGCCCATTGTACTAAACCTGAATAGCGGGAGAGGGATTGTTAGTAATGGAGACTGAGAATCCCATTGCTAACAATATACCCAACCAGGTCGACCTCCTCACGGTTCACCCTGGAAACTATCATGGTTAATTCCTGATGAATTCATCGTGATGGCCCAACTGGCCTGTTTTCATTCTCATCTATCACCCTTCACTGGTGCTCCGCCAGCGTATCCCGTTAGCGCAGGCGGGGTTACCATACCATTGTCATCCATTAAAAATAAAATCTGAATAGCGGTTGCCAAACCGTCTGCCAAGCGTGGCAACTACTAGCAATACCTGCCAATAGTGGGACACCTATGTTTAACAGTAAACAGCTGATATGATGATGTTGATGATGATGCTAAAATATATTTAAGTATATATTTTTTTTTATACGACTTAGAATGGCAAACAAGCTGAAGGCCCACCTGATGGTAACCGTCGCCTATAGACATGAGCAGTACCATGGACATAACAGAGTATACTGTTTCACCCGTGATACCCCCCATGTGTTGCCATTCCTGAGGACTCAGGTGTTATTCATCTGTACCCTGTAACTTCACGCCATATCCCACCCTTCAAACTGAAACACAGCCATGTAAACACAACTGCTTTACGGTTGAAACACGAATGGGACAGAGGTAGCCAAGCAAAGGAATTTGTACAAAGTCTCCCTCTGGTTTTTAATTTGAAGTGAATTAATTTTATTCTGATGAATTATTTTCATTCTTTTTCATCCTTCAACTACCGATTACCTCAAAATGTGCTTTGAGTTTCATGTCGATTCTCAGGGTCGTACATTGCGCAGCGCGAGATCCCTTCGTTTAGTAACTCCTATTCATTCTTCTAAATTCTACTCCTATTCTTTCACTATCCAAGCTATCCATCTCTGGAACTCCTTACCTCTTTCTATTAGATCAGCGCAATCTCTTGCCTCATTCAAGAGGCAGGTAAAATCTCATTACCTATCTCTCTAATTTGCTTTGACATTTACTATGTGTGATTTATCTTGATCTATTTAGTATATTTATGTTTATGTATTATTATTTATATTATATATGTATATTTATGTTATGTAATCTTATTTTCATATTTAGAATTTTTTGCATTTTGTCTGATTCCTTTTATGCATTTACTGTGTCTAATTTGCGCCATCTACCTTTCTCTCTGTACTTATCCATTCTTTATGCCAGGCTGTCTGTAAGAGATTGCTTTTAGCGATAAGGCCGCCTTCTGTATATGCACATTCTGTATAAATACTCCTTGTATACATCTCTACTGTGCGCAATAAAGAGTTTATTATTATTATTATTATTATTTTCATAGTGCATTTATTTTTCTCAGTTCATAGTTAACCTACTGATTTGAGTTTCCATGTATTTTAGTTTAATGAGTGTTATTGATTAGTAAGGCTGATGCCAAAATTCAAATCTCTTTTAAGGACAAAGCAATAAACTGAGTTATGACCATTTTATGTTACATATGCATAAAGGAAGGGAAAGGAAGGAAATTGTTAGTTTATATATTTTGTATTTTTTTTTTTTTTGTTTTGTGCTTTTTTATTTTCATTCTTTTATCTCTTTGTGTATTATATGTATGTTATTTTTATTATTGTAATTTGTGTGCTGTAAGTAATGTAAATAAATTATCTATCTATCAAATCTAAAAAATATATCTACAAGAGACATATAGTGCCTCAATATCCCATTATAGGAATAGCATAGGTATTTTTATTGTTTATGTGTCATAATAATATATAGTTTTCTGGATTTATTTTATTTATTAAAGAGTTTTTATATATTAATTCTTTACAAAATATCATTTTATATAAATGAAGTTATTAAACTAAATTAAACAATTAATAAACAGTTTATGTATAGTAAAAGAGATAATTGTCTAATTTTATAATATTTTCAATGGGTATCAGTAACTAATTGATTGACAAAAAAAAAAATATTAATTTTTTATTTTGTACAATTTTTTTGTTTGAAGATTTTATACATTAATAAAGAAAATGAGGAATTAAATGAGTGTAACAGATGATTTGGATGATGAACATGATAATCTCATAAAAGATTATTAGATTATTTTATATGTAACTTACAAGTGCAATAAAGAATATATATATATATATATATATATATACATATATATATATATATATATATATATCTGTTATATATATATTCTGGATAAAAATGCCGATTTTGATAATGGATATAAAAGTCTATTGCAAAATTTGTCAAAAATCCATACCTAGTCAAAGCTACATTTTTAAAAAGCAAATATAGGCAATTTGTGATTCTTGCCTAATAAACAGATATAAAAAAAAGTAAAATAACATTCCATAAGTTATTTTTTTTATACATCAAATCTCTGAAAATGCTGAAACTAATATTAAAATTTAGATTTAAGGACTGATATATGACCAATAGTTTCATATTAAAAAAAATTGTTTTAGTAATTAGATTTTATATAATAAATTACATTTAATTTAATATAGGGTACCCCAGCATTCTGTGTAAAAATAACTACCATGCCAGACTGTGTAGGGATCTGGAGTTAATAAATTTTACATAAATAAATAGACAATAAATATTTTAAAAAGTTTAACATGTAAAAAGCCTGGGGTAATAACTGACAATACACTTGAAATAAAATCCTATCAATTTGAAAAGAAATGTACTTATTTTTTTATATGTTTTTTTACAAAAAAAAGTGTTTTAAAAATAAACATTTCATAGTTTATGTACAACATTCTAAAAGATTTTTAATTTTTTACTTAGAACATGACAAAAAATATTTTTAAAATGTTCGTAACACCAAATAAATAAGTACACAGCGATGTTGATATATAAATACCTATATCTTGTTTAGGTAAAGGTGATAATTTCTATTATTGATAGAATTTATGAAGATTAAACAGACAATGTTGTTACTAAAATTTTACACGACCCTGTATAAACCCGGCTATTTTTAACCAACGCTGGTTCAATGAGAAAACGTAAGAAGCAAATAAAAAGTTGAGTGAAAACTTACCAATTAGAAAACAGACAGCCAAAAGTATACCGACCACTAACTTGAAAAGTACGGTATTTTATCACAGAAATATTCTCCACACTAGTATTAAATCGTTTTTATTGGTCTTATAACTACTTCAGTAATTATTTACAAAGACATCGCGACACAATACCGGTCTACGCGGGTAGAACATTCAAATTAAAATAGTTTTCTTGTACTTTTGTAGGTTATGAAACGTCAAATACGTATGTCCAAGGTCACCTTGAAATGACAGCTAGAGTTGCAAGCATTTAAAAACAATATAATTTTTTATGTCAGTAAGACCAAAATAAAATTTATTTAATTATTTATTTGAAATAATGTATGCAAAGGTAAAATTATCTCTAAAAGAAATCTCTTCCAGTCAACTAACCAACGGATTCATAAATAATTTTGTTATGTGATTACCGGTGATACAGTTGCGAAAAAATGATAAAAATATATCCACGGTTATACGGGAGGGAAAGGAATTGTTAGAAATGAAGATTAGTAACCCTATTACTAGCAATATACCCTATCAGGTCGACCTCCTCGCGGTTCCCCCTGGAAACCATCGTGATTGATTCATTAGTGAATTGATCATGATGGGCTAATTGACGTGCTTCATTCTCACCAGTCATCCCTCACTGGTGGCCCGCCAGCGATAACCAATAGCGCAGGCGAGATTACTGTTTCATTTTATCCCATTAAAAAAAAATATATTAGGTAGATAGTCATAGTTACCGTTTTAATGTCTACATTCCTCATTGCCGCCAGTTTCGCTACCGTACGCACAAAACGAGACAGCAACATCCGCAGTATTATTCTTTTTCAGGCGGTATCAAAAATGTATCTATCATTTATCTAGATGAATATATCAAATGTATCCGGCCTGTAGTATACAATTTAACGCCATTGTAACTTTACGCTTGTAAGATAATACCAATGGTAGGGGGAAAGGGATTGTTACTAATGGAGACTAAGAATCCCATTGTTAGCAATATACCCAACCAGGTCGACCTCCTCGCGGTTCTCCCTGGAAACTATCATGGTTAATTCCTGATGAATTCATCATGGTGAGCTAACTGGCCTGTTTTCATTTTCATCGATCACCCTTCACTGGTGCCCCGCCAGCATATACCGTTGCCGTAGGCGGGGTTACCATTCCATTTTCACCCATCAAAAAAAATACCAATAGTAAGTACCTTTTAATCATTATCAGCCTTGAGTTGGTAAGGCTAATTCTAAGGTGTCATTTCACTAAACTTATAAATAACTATAATCTAGCTCATAACTTAATAGCTTAATTTGATAATTTTGCCAAATCATTGCTTTATGTACAATTATAAACTAAAATTATAATAATTTTGACTTAAATCTATTATAAAATTAGTACATAGTGGTGCTTACAATAAAGATTTAGCTGTAATCAAATTCAAATTTTAATTCAAAGAATCAATCGTAATGTCACTATAATTATTGATTTGATTCTCTCGGACTTCAACCCAAAGCAACAATGACGCGTGCTACAATGGTGCGTGGTACATTGCTGCTTCATAGCTCTGTTATCTCGCACTGAACAATTTTTACATAAACACGTATATGTCAGTCAACTCGTGCTAATTTCACCTCTTTACGATTACATTACATACAGTTTATCATTTACGTATGATAGTGTTATTCACCTTGCGTGTACCGTGTAGGCCTATGTGACCCTGGTAGATAAAGTCTGCCAGACGAGACAAAAATAAAAGTAACAAGGCATTATCATTCAGCTAGTTTTAGTCTTTTTTTTTTTTTGATGGGTGCAAATGATATGGTAACCCCGCCTGCGCTAACGTGATACGATGGCGGAGCACCAGTGAATGGTGATAGATGAGAATGAAAACAGGCCAGTTAGCCTATCATGATGAATTTATCAGGAATTAACCATGGTAGTTTCCAGGGGAAACCGCGAGAAGGTCGACCTGGTTGGGTATATTGCTAGCAATGGGATTCTCAGTCTCCATTACTAACAATCCCTTTCCCCCCATATTTTTAGTGTTAGACAGTCGTGTATAGGCGAAGGTTATCTCTAACTTTTCGTAGTGTTTGAGAGCCAAAAGTCCAGGCTTCTAACCAGCTTGCTTGCATGCTGTAACAGTTTGAAGGTTGTGATATGGCAGTAACATTAGTAGGTACTTATTTTTTAATGGATGATAATGGAATGGTAGGGGGGAAAGGGATTGTTAGTAATGGAGACTGAGAATCCCATTGCTAGCAATATATCCAACCAGCGCGGTTCTCCCTGGAAACTATCATGGTTAATTCCTGATGAAATCATCATGATGGGCTAACTGGCCTGTTTTCATTCTCATCTATCACCCTTCACTGGTGCTTCGCCAGTGTATCCCGTTAGCGCAGGTAGAGTTACCATACCATTCTCACCCATCAAAAAAAATATTAGACGGAAGGGATTGTTAACAATGGAGTTTGACAGCCCCATGGCTAGCAATATGCCCTATTAGGTCGACCTCAACGTGGTTCCCCCCGGAAACCATCGTGAACAATTCTTGTTGAATTCGTCACGATGGGCTAACTGACCTGCTTCATCCTCATCTTTCATCCTTCACTGGTGCCCCGCCAGTGTATACCGATAGTGCGGGTGAGGGTACCATTACATTATTACCCAATAAAAAAATGCTTAGACGAGGACGGAAACCCCATTGTTAGCATATTTTTTTTAATTGATGAAGATGAAATAAAAACCCCGCCTGCGATATCGGTAAACGCCGGCGAGGAACCAGTGCGTGATAATAGGTGAGGAGTGAAATCAGGTCAGTCGGCAGATCATGAAGAATTCATCGAATTAATCACGACAGTTTTCAGGAGGAATCGTGGGGAAGTCGTTCCCCATTAAAAAAATATGCATAGACTGAGTATTCACATAAATAAGTCGGAATTTACTTTATTTATTTTATACTTTATTGTACACAGAATTTGTTATCGATAAAGCTATTTTCTTACCAAGAAAAAGTGTCAAACAAGCTGACGATTCACTTAATAGAAAGTGACACGATCAATAGACACGAAAAGCACCATGGATATCACGGAATACACTGTGACACCTACAGTACTACTTATGCCTTGCATGTTACACTTATGCGATGTTTTTTTATGCAACATATAATAACAAACGGGCTGACGCCCCACTTAATAAACAGTGGTAAACGTCGCCTGTCGACATGAACACCAGCATAGAAGACACAGTATACACTGTGACGTCCATGTTATTTCACTGTTACATGCCATCTTTCAAGCGTAAAAGTTTTACAAGCACAAACATGAGTGAGATAGAGGTATCTTTCCAATTTATCAGATAGAAATTAAGAAAAAAAAAAACAAATACACAAATAATAAATATTTAATTAATGTAACAAAATACACTCCTCGCAAAAATTAAGGGAACATAAAATTTTTTGAAATTTTTGGGTGATTTTCAACAGGCTGTATTTCAGTGAAAAATAATCGTACAGGAAATTTAAAAAAAGGGTTTTGAAGCTTGAAAACTCTAGTTTTCAGATTTTTTGGTGAAAAAATTTTTTGAGCTCCGGTTTTCATGCAATTCTTAAACAAAGCTGAAAATATTTTTTTTCTAAATTTTCTAGGTTTCGTTTTTCACTCTATGGGCATGGAAAAATTTTTTCGAGCTACTCCATTGTATAGGTCTCTTAGCGTGTTTATTTAGCTTCAAAAATCGCTTTGGATGGCTCAATTACGACCATTTGTCTCCGAGATATCGAACTTTGAATGCAAAAGCATCCTTTTCCATTCAACTGCTAATACTACTGGTCGCACAGCAAGCGGGCGCCGAGTTTCTTTATCTGCATAAAATTTCCAATTAAGCACAGTCAAGGGTTAGTGAAGAAAAAATTTTTTTCCACCTCTAACATTGAATTGAAAAAAGTGGAAAAAAGTGACTTTTTCTCCTTTTTTGGTTACTTGGCTGTATCTTCGCTAATATGGGCGGGAAAGCTAAGGTTTGAGGAAAATTTTACAGTCTATTTTTCCTTAAAGAACCCACTAAATCCCTGGAGCGATCGGTTCAACGGTTTTTCCCGGACCAATTGATTGAAATTTTGGAAAAAATAAGGGAACAAGGTTTTTGTCCCCTAAACTCACCCTAATCCATTCAAAAATCAATAATTTCATTTGTTTTTCACTTTTTACTCAATTTTTTGTTTTTTTAAAAATTCATTATCTAAAAAAATCGAAAAAAATCAAGAAAATTTTTAAGAAAAATTTTTTTTTGAAAAGTCGAAAAAAGTTTACAAAAAATTTTTTTTTTGTTTTTAAGGAAATCAAAGTTTTTGACAAAAACTTTGATTGATGATCGATTTACCGTCGGCATTAGCGTTACCCAAAGCATACCACGTGGAGGTTGCACGGTCGGATTTACGTGCGTAAGCACAAAAGAAGCGTAAATGCCGGCGGTAAATCGATCATCAATCAAAGTTTTTGTCAAAAACTTTGATTTCCTTAAAAACAAAAAAAAAATTTTGTAAACTTTTTTCGACTTTTCAAAAAAAAATTTTTCTTAAAAATTTTCTTGATTTTTTTCGATTTTTTTAGATAATGAATTTTTAAAAAACAAAAAATTGAGTAAAAAGTGAAAAACAAATGAAATTATTGATTTTTGAATGGATTAGGGTGAGTTTAGGGGACAAAAACCTTGTTCCCTTATTTATTCTAAAATTTCAATCAATTGGTCCGGGAAAAACCGTTGAACCGATCGCTCCAGGGATTTAGGGGGTTCTTTAAGGAAAAATAGACTGTAAAATTTTCCTCAAACCTTAGCTTTCCCGCCCATATTAGCGAAGATATAGCCAAGTAACCAAAAAAGGAGAAAAAGTCACTTTTTCCACTTTTTTCAATTCAATGTTAGAGGTGGAAAAAAATTTTTTCTTCACTAACTCTTGACTGTGCTTAATTGGAAATTTTATGCAGATAAAGAAACTCGGCGCCCGCTTGCTGTGCGACCAGTAGTTCCAGAGATATTAGCAGTTGAATGGAAAAGGATGCTTTTGCATTCAAAGTTCGATATCTCGGAGACAAATGGTCGTAATTGAGCCATCCAAAGCGATTTTTGAAGCTGAATAAACACGCTAAGAGACCTATACAATGGAGTAGCTCGAAAAAATTTTCCATGCCCATAGAGTGAAAAACGAAACCTAGAAAATTTAGAAAAAAATTATTTTCAGCTTTGTTTAAGAATTGCATGGAAATCGGAGTTAAAAAAATTTTTTCACCAAAAAATCTGAAAACTAGAGTTTTCAAGCTTCAAAACCCTTTTTTTAAATTTCCTGTACGATTATTTTTCACTGAAATACAGCCTGTTGAAAATCACCCAAAAATTTCAAAAATTTTTATGTTCCCTTAATTTTTGCGAGGAGTGTACATATACTATTTAAGAATATTACAAATATAACAACATGTTTATAGGCACATATATGTGTATATATTTATACATATCTAGTGTAGTGGTACCATTAGAATTTGGCGTTTACCCTTTAATTTTTTTTAATTATGCCTCCATTGGGTTTCTGACGATTTTGCCAATGTGAAGGTTGGAAAAGACACGAAGTTTATAGAAAATAACATGCAGTTAATTACAATCACAGACGAATACAGATGACCTATCATTTTACACTTGGCGTCATTGCGACATAACGGGGAAATGCTATAATTAGCATAAGAAATCATCAAGTTTATTCGGTTGCCATGAAAAACATACATGAATGGTAAAAGTTATTCAAAAATCAATCTAAACTCAGCGGAGGACTCCCATTAAACTCTCCCTCGAATTCATCATTACTTAATTTACTTTCATCAGTGGCAACACTATTGAAATTTAATTTCACTGGATTAACATTTCTAAATGTTTTCTTAATTGACAACACTGGACTGCAACTAATGTTTTGATTAAAACTATTTATTGCCGTATTTTCTGTATTGGCAACTCTTGGCGTTTGTTTTATGTTGGCAACATTAGTAACGTCACTTTTTAATAATGGACTTCTGTAGGATTTTGCCGCGTTTTTCGATTTATTTATTATATTTAAAGGACATAATGGAGGCGGTTCGCCATACTGTTTTAGTTTGTTGATCTTTTCGTTGACTTTCTTCTTTCTTTCTAATGTCCTTGGAGATAATTCTTGTGTTTCTGTTTGTTTGAATGTCGACTCAAAATCTAAGCCGGTAAGATTGAAATCTTCTTGTTTCATTCTCGTCGCCAATGGACTGTCTACATATTTTCTACTATCATGGTTTTCAAATCTGTATGGCGTTACATTATTTTCATTTTTACGAGAACTTAATAATTTATTATCCTTAATTTTAACACAATCATCAATAAAATCTTTATTCACACCAATATTATTTACCAAGTCTTCCATTAATTTTCTAGTGGCAACACTTTTGGGAGTTTTTGTGAAATAAGTGAATTCGGTAGCTCGGTACTGGGGCACACCCCGCCTAGTGTTGCCAGTTCGTCTCTGCAAATTTACACATGAAATAATTTGTCCAGTGTCCAACACGTTCTCAAAACCAAACTTTTTAATACCACCCCAGAAATTTACACAGATTATATTTTTATTCTCGTCCGCAATGTAAACATTTTGGAATTGATTATTCGATTTGAAGTCTCGATTCTGTGGATCGATTTGGATAATCATTCCAACTGTGTCGACTTCATTGTAATTGGTAATCATGGACGGATTGTTAGCCAGCTGTGTAATGGAATAACAAGTTCGAACCATCGACGTTATGTAGGGTTTAAGTTTTTCAGTATGCTTGATCGTTATTTGCTTAAACGTTGTTTGTCTACCGGCCGATAACTGAAGTTCTGAGTACCTGAAAACAAATTTGATTACATTTTTGCGTGCTGTCCGAGGAATAAATCAAGTCTTTTGCGAGCAAGACGAATTTGAATACGAACGATGTAAGAGTTGTAAGTAATAAGATAATTAATTTATTAAAATAAAAGATTTTTTCATTAATATATAAAAAAAATTATATTTTGATAAACATACTTTGTTCTTGTAAATAAATTTTGACTCTACATACCTCACGGCTGTAGGCACAACATTCAACACTTCGATCCAAGCGCCCTCTGTTATCATTTCCGATAGCGCATCATTTGGTTTCCATATTGAAAGTAGTGCTGGAAAATAACAAACTCGTTTTCACAAACACTTTTAAATTGTTACTTCTAAATTTAAAATATTTTAAAATGCGTAAACCATTCGGGAATCTTAAATAATCTATGGGTAGACTTGTACCTTTCAAATGAATTAAAAAAGGCGGTGTAAATTCAAATAAAACTTTATTCATATACATCTGTAAGCTTGAGCGTGAGCTTTATAAATTACCTTTGGTGACTTCCACATTTCCATTCCTGTCTTCGACATCAGCTATTCTGACCTTCAGCAGCGGTACTGTATTCCTTGCAACGGTGATACCAGCACTATCCATCTTACTCTTCACCCTATCATGTATATCTTGCAGGAGCTTATCACGCTTTCTTGCGTTATATTCCTCTAGAATATTCCTTTGAGATTCCGTTAAGTTTGTCTGTAATTACAAAGAATAGATAGATAGATAGATAAACTTTTTATTTGAGCCATTTATGACACACTTAAATTTACAAATGAGTTTATACAATCAAATTATTTACACTTTTTAAAATATACAACAAAAGATAAAATATGAAAATATGTTTTCGCCACGTGTGTCGCAGTGACCCAAATAGGCTACAGCTCAGTGATAGTTTTGCTTAAAAGCAAAGCACTGATTTTCAGCTGCAGCCTGAAGTTAGGCTACACGGACGCGTACAACAAACCCAGAGTGTAACCTGTGTAACCAATTTAACAGTCAAAGATAAAATTGTATTATATAGATACATACTTATATAAATGATGCATAAATAATATATTTAATTAATTAATTAAATATACAATATAAATAATTCACCACAATAATTATTATGTTGAAAGCAGTCGCTACCAGGCGACCAACCTCAAGTTTTTGCTTATTTAATAAATGCTGTTTTAATAATTACAAAAGAGATTTATCGAGCAAGAATGAATAGAGATGTCGGTAGGGGCCGCCCTAGACGGACGTATGTCGACCAAATAGGCGACGTGCTGAAGAAGGGCCAAATTAAAAATACTCGTAACCGGCGAGCCTGTATGAAAAGATTGATGAATGTGGAGGAAGAAAAAGAGGTTTGTTTGAATCGAAGCATTTGGCGTTCCATTGTTTCTGTCTACCCTAATGGGAGACAGGCATGACAGATATGTATGTATGTATGTTTTAATAACTTTTTAAAAATTTATTCGGATGCAGCTAGTCTCATTGCTCATCATCTCATGCTATTTTATATTTATATATCAACTGACTTCATAAAGAAGGAGATACTCAATTCAATTGTATTTTTTTCTTATTTTTGTTACCTTGTAACTCTGTTAGTTTTAAACCGATTTGGAAAATTCTTTTTTTATCTGAAAGAATATACTTACAAATTGATTCCATTCAAATTTTATCAAAATCTGTTCAGTAGTTTAGTTATAAAATCAAAATAACTGGTTTATCTCAGTTGAAACTGATTTTTTTGTGGGGCACACTCTTTATATTTTTTTTTATACGACTTAGAATGGCAAACAAGCTGACGGCCCACCTGATGGAAAGTGGTAACCGTCGCCTATACACATGAGCAGTAGCATGGACATAACAGAGTATACTGTTTTGCCCATGAAACCCCCCATGCGTTGCCATTCCTGTAAATTCACTGCCATATCCCACCTCTGAAACCGAAACACAGCCATGCAAACAATACTGCTTCGCGGTAGAAACACGAATGAGACGGAGGTGGCCAAACAAATTACTTTTATACGAAGTCTCCCTCTGGAACCTTAGTCGCCTATTACGATACCCACAGAATAGGAAGGGGTAGCCTGTTTTATGCCGGAACCACACGGCCACGGCTCATCATACCCTCCTCTTTTGTATATCCATGACTATTTTGGTAACTAAGATTCGTAAGCTGTTGTCACCATTGAAAAAGTTTTGACGACCACCTTATCTTGCGGCTTACCTTAAACTCTGAGGGGTCCTTGCTGTGTTTTAGTTGTCTAGCAATTTGAGATCCACTGTCCATCGATTTCTTACTCGAGTCTATGTCCAGCGACTCTGGAGACTCCTAGAGAGAGGCCACAAATTGAGTGAATTCCTTCTGAATGAACATAAAACTAATTTCCTACTTTCATCACGTCTTGGTCATGACAGGACTAAATAAATGAAGAATAAATATAATAAATGCAATAAAGAAGCCGGTATGTAGGTACTATTTACCTTTTGCATCGCGTTAAGTCACGATTGTGTATTTAAAATATGTGTAAACTAGCGGCCCGTCTCGGCTTCGCACGGGTGGTCATTTTTACAACATATTAAAAAAGTGGTTATTGTAACATAACGATAATAGTTGGACATACAGTATCGCCAAGTTTTTTGTAGTTATCGATATTTTCTTCAATATTGTAGAACATTCTTTTGTTCTATCACCAATAGTATCCGCAGCGCACGCGACGAAAGATATTTTATAGCATTTTTTACACCTTAAGTTACTTTACTAAAATTTTAGTAAGGATCCCTAATCTTTTCTAGCAATAAATATAGCCTATGTTACTCAGGGTGAATGTAGCTTTATAATGGTGAAAGAATTTTTGAAATCGGCAAAGTAGTTTTTGAGTTTATTCATTACAAACATACACACAAAAATACAAATCTTTCCTCTTTATAATATTAGTGTAGATGTAGATGTAGACAATGCGAAAGTTTAAAATTGAAATTAAAAGACACAAATAATAATAATAGCAGTAAAAAGATATCAGATTTATTAGAGAAAACTTAACTAATGTATAAATATTCAAGAATAACATACCTCCTTAGATTATATAAATAGAGCATCTTCTAAATGGTCGCGTACAACGCGGTTTCAGAGATGTTTTCTCCCACGAACACTCAGGTTATGGAATGAGCTCCCTGCCGAGGTTTTCCCAAGAGACTACGGCATGGGGTTCTTCAAAAGGGGGATAAAGAGGTTACTTCAGGGTCGGCAACGCGCGCGTAATACCTCTGGTATTGCAGGCGTTCATAGGCTACGGTAACCGCTTACCATCAGGTGGGCCGTATGCTTGTTTGCCACCTCAGTGGTATAAAAAAAGCATCGAGCCTCAAAAACGGGTCAACTTTTTGCCAGCTAATTGTCAAATTAGCTGACTCGTTTTTTTATCAATGTTCTAATATACTTATTCATAAAATGTGTCTTGATATATTATTTAATAAATAAAATGAGTATTTACTCATTAAAAGATGCAGAAATTATAAGACAAAATAAATATAGAAGTTGTAAAGGAATCACTCGTAACTATTTATCAAGCAAAATTGTATGGAAAAGTTGACCCGTTTTTCTCGAAGCATTTGTATGGAGACACTCTATCTATATAATCTAAACATACCTCATCTGAAAGTTTCTTCTCCACCTCTTCATACAACTTCTCCATCAAGGCTTGTCTGTCCGCCTCGTGCTTCATTTGATGAATGTATTCGAGACGCTCCGACCTCGTCACTGCAACGTATTTTAAATACAAATGAATGGAAGCTTCATTCTCCCTGTTTATTATGTAATTTAGTTCTAAAATAAAATTAAATAAATCTATTGAAGAAACATCTAAAGAATAAATCTAGTGAAGCTACTGAAGTGTTTTTTTGCAGCAATTTGCATTTGAACAAAAGATACAGCGATTAGTTTAATATCTTGGTAGTAAGAGTGGGCTTATCTCTAAAAGAGATCTCTTCCAGCCAACACAATGCAGTTAGAGAGAAAGTGTTTTGTAGCGTGCGAGATGAGAAGCTTTGACGCAAAGCGCCAAACGCCCCTTGAAATAGGCTTCCGGATGAAGTCAAAACAATTGTCGGAAACGACAAAAACAGTGATTTTGGAATAGGTTTTAATTTTTTTTATTAATACGAGGTTAACACTATATGCGGACAAAGCCACAGGATGCAGTAAGTATGAAATATTACTCACAAGTACTGCCATCTTCAAACTTTTCAACATAAAGAGGAGGATACACTCTCGTTACTAAAACTCGAATCCGGCCAACTTTCCCGCCATCTGGCGCCACTGTTGACAATCGGGACAAAATGGCGCCGTTGCCATGGTAACCGAGACGCGCGTCCCAGCGAGCCCGCCGTGTTGAGTTGCCGTAGATTTTTAAACGGACTGCCGATGTGTCCTGTAATATGCACAATGTAATCGTATAATAAAGAATTTGTATATATATTTATTTATATTTTATTAACCAATAAAATGTGGTACAAAAGCGGACTTAATGCTATGGACATTCTCAACCATTTTACTTATTTATTTAATTATTACTCGTAATATATTCTATAGCTGACAACGTCCATGGTACTGGTCATGTCTATAGGCGACGGTTACAATTTTCCATCAGGTGGACCGTCAGTTTGTTTGCCATTTTGTTGTATAAAAAAAAACAATAAAGTAAAATTGGGTTCCTTACACTCATTCATTTTCATTCACATTAATACGCAATCAATCAACGTGGACTTAACGCTAAATATGGCATGTCACCCGAAAAAACGCACATTAACTTATCTTCTAATGCAAGACCAAAGATTAGCACGCCGACGAGAAAGTAGATGGTGGGAATAAGAATTTTATAGGTTAAATAATTAAATTATAATTACCTCCCATGGTGCCACTCCTTGTTCGCAGTTGAGTAACTCAGCTCCATAAGTCATTAATTTGGTGCCAATTTTAATTTTACCATTTCTCAAGTATTTTATTAATATTTTGTCTACACACGCCCTTATGCAGTACCAACCGTCAGACAACAGCAGTTCGGTATTTGTGCATACCTCGCTGAAATATATGGGCAGCTTTATTAGTTATAGAGCACATAATAACAGAATATCACTTAATATGTATTTTTGGTACTTTACCAGAGGGAGACTTTGTACAAAAGTCGATTGCTTGGCTACCTCTGTTCCATTCGTGTTTCAACCGTGAAGCAGTTGTGATTGCATGGCTGTGTTTCGGTTTGAAGGGTGGAATATGGCGTGAATTTACTAGGTACGGAGGACTAACACCTGAGTCCTGCCAATCCTAGCAACGCATGGGAGGTATCATGGGCGAAACAGTATACTCTGTTATGTCCATGGTACTGCTTATGTCTATAGGCGACGGTTACCACTTTCCATCAGGTGGGCCGTCAACTTGTTTGTCATTCTAAGTTGTATAAAAAAAATCTTTTAATTTGTTTAAATTCTAAATTTTAGATGATTTTAACTTTTATAAAGTTAGAAGTCACAAAAGTAAACACCAGACTACTGTAATCATCAATCAACTACACGGTATCATAGTACAGATTCTGTTCCCTTTCTTTTTCATTTAAGAGTTTCCTCTTGTCGGTGCAACTAATTCATGCATCTTTTTTTTTTTTTTTTTTTACAACACAGGGGGCAAACGAGCATGCGGCTCACCTGATGGTAAGTGACTACCGCCGCCCATGGTCACCCACAACACCTACGGCATTGCAGGTGTGCTGCCGGCCTTTTAAAAAGGAATATGCTCTTTTCTTGAAGGTTATGTTGTCGTATCGGTTCGGAAATACTGCTGCTGGAAGTTGATTCCAAAGAGTGGTTGTGCGTGGGAGAAAGTGCCTTGAAAAACGCACGGTGGAGGACCGCCACTTGTCCAGATGGTTGGGATGAAATTTTAATGGCGGGTTGTAATGGTGAAAATCTGCAGCAGGTATCAATCCGAACAATTCTTCAGAGCACTCCCCATGATAAATTCGGTAGAAAATGCACAGAGATGCAACATCTCTACGCAGTTCCAGTGGGTCGAGCCGGACAGTAAGACGCCGATCGTCAACAATTCGAGCTGCCCGACTTTGAATGCGGTCTAACGGAAGGAGTTGGTACTGTGGCGCTCCTGCCCACAGGTGAGAACAGTATTCCATGTGTGGCCTCACTTGAGCTTTATATAGTTTCAGGCGGTTTTCTGGCGTGAAATACCGTCTCACCCTATTGAGCACCCCCAACTTTTTGGAAGCTATCTTAGCTTTTTTCTCCAGATGACCGCAAAACTGGACGTCGCTAGATATATCGACGCCAAGAATCCCCAGACTCGACTTATTATCGAGGGAAGTGCCCTGAAAGTGAGGAGATACGACAAACGGTGTCTTTTTTGCGGTGAACGCGCAGACTTGTGTCTTCTTAGGGTTAAAGTGAACAAGATTGCGTTCACCCCAGATTGAAACTTTATCGAGCGAAGTTTCGATTTTAGACACAAGTCTGTTCCGGAGCTCATCGGTATGTGCCCGCGAGATCTTTGCATGACCTGTGTATAATGCATCTCCTGTACTGTCGTCCGCATAACAATGAATATCACTGATCTGTAACATATCATTGATATGCAGAAGAAACAGTGTCGGAGATAGTACACAGCCTTGCGGGACACCAGCATTCACAGGTTTTAAGTCAGAGCATGCTCCGTCGACTAAATGCTACGTTCCTTAAGAAAACTGGCGACCCAATTGCACAATCTCGCAGGCAACCCAAACGAAGGTAGTTTTGAGATTAGTGCCCTATGCCACACCCGATCAAAGGCTTTCGCAATATCCAGACTAACAGCTAAGGCCTCTCCCTTATTCTCGATTGCCACCGCCCATCGGTGTGTTAAATAAACTAAAAGATCACCAGCCGAGCGCCCCCGTCGAAAGCCGTACTGGCGATCTGAGATCAGCTGGCGATCCTCTAGGTACCGGAGCAGTTGATGGTTAACAACTGATTCCATGACTTTCGAGAATAAGGAGGTGATAGCTATGGGCCTATAGTTAGCTGGATCTGAGCGGTCTCCTTTTTTAGGGATCGGATGCACCAAAGCAGTCTTCCAAAACTTTGGGACTATACCTGATGAGTAACAGAGCCGAAAAAGACGCGTAAGAACCGGAGCCAACTCTGGTGCGCACGTCCTAAGCACAATTGGAGGAATGCCATCGGGCCCACTCGACTTATGGATTTCAAGGGAGAGAAGTGCTCTACGCACTGATCTTTGCGTGAATTTAACATCCGGCATAGAGCTCTTACAACGCGGGATGGTCGGCGGTGGTTTCTCCCCGTCATCCAACGTCGAGTTTGATGCAAAGAGAGATTCAAGGAGATCGGCCTTCTCTTTGGCGTTCAGAGCCAACGAGTTATCCTCCCTGCGCAATGGTGGAAAAGATGACTGACAGAAATTCCCTTGTGCAGCTTTGGTAAGAGACCAGAAAGCTCGAGACCCCGAAGGTAAACTAGCCAATCTCTTGCCAATTCTACCAATATGCTCTGACTTCGCTGTGGCCAAAACTCTTTTGAAGGACCTAGAGGCAAAGTTATACTTCTTTTTAAGGGCACTGATGTTAGGATCTCGCGACGCCACACCTTTGGCCCAGGCTAGGAAGCACTCCTGTTTTAGGCGAGATGCTATTCTACAAGAGGCTCCATACCAGGGCTGGGATTCTTCTTCCAGCCAGCTTATTCCCTTACAATATCTAATTAATTTTTTAAACTAAATAGTACTAGGATAAAAAAAAATGGATAAAATAAGATAGATAAAAAAAATAAAGAAACATAGTTGCAAATTCTCGAAATTAATTTATTTGAAAACTTTTTTTTTACCTTATAAGATATTTATGTATTAAGTACTCTTGTACTTAATATGTTTCTATTTAAAGCACTTTCGACACAAGACATTGAAAATTACCAGCACCAATTAAATGTAAAAAATCTCAAGTACATTAAAAAAAAAAACTAAAAACACCTACCTTTTGTTTTTACCATCAATGATATCCACAACGCACAGCACTAAACATTTAGCTGCAGTGTCGTCTCTTTCTAAAATCTTCCTGAGCGCCGGTCTTTCGGCATTATACAGCTCTCTTTGATATCTATATTGCAACTGTTTCAATACATTACCAGCTGTACACGATCTGATCATGACATTAGGAAACTTCACTTCATAACTTATCAATTTCCATAATATTAATTTTAAATGGTTATCTAACCATTTGTCCGGTATTAACTTTTTGCTTACATCCTTCAAAAAATAATTTTTCAAAGATTGCATATCCATTTTCGTATCTGTCAACTCGTTTCTATCGCCGGAAAATTCAAACTCCAACAATGTGTTAAATGTAAATTTTAGAAAGTATGGATCTATATTATCTTTTTTATCACCAGTTTCTAATACTTTAATATCTTTTAGAGTGATATTTTTAATTTTCTTGTAATTGTAATCAGATTTTAAATTCAGCTGTTCATGCTTTCCTGTGTTTACTTCTGGAGTTTGTAGTGTTACGCTTTTATCATTTCTATATGGTGTAACAAATTGTTTTCTTTTTTTAGGCTTTGGACACGAAAGTATAGGACTGCCTGGTCTCTTTGATTGTTTCGGTGTTTCTAAAAAGTCCTCTGTATATAACGTCTCATCAAAATTGTTAATAACTTGCGTGTTTATCAGTTTTTCTAAACTAATATTATGATTTTTAGTAACATTTTCTTTATTACCCTCAACTGTTTGAATATCTAGAACTGTACTATCTTTTTCTAAATCAGCAAATATTTTTCTAGACTTTTTCAATGCGTCTTTAGATACTTTGATATGTTTATTGTTAGCCGTTTTAAAACCAAATCCTTGAAAATTATTTTTTTCTGCATCGCTAAATTTCTTTATATCATTAATATTCACAGATCCTGAAAAGTTGATTTGATCAATCTTGACATCTAGATCACTTTCTTTCAGCAATTTACTACTTTTTTCTAAAGCATTCTCCGAAATAATGACCTTCTTATTACTAGCAGTTTCAAAACCTAGAAAAGGCAGAGCGTTTTGTTCGATATCAAACTGATTAGGCAAATTATCATTATCTTTGTTGATATCTTGAAAAATATGTTTGCTTTTTGCTAAAGCCTCGGTAGAAATATTTACCGATTTATTATTAGCCGTCAGAAGTCCAATATCTTCTTGTTCAATTTTATTTTTACAATGTAATTTTCATTATAAGCTGAAGTAATGTCTTCAAACATACCCAAGTTATCACAATTCGTAATTACTGCTTCTTTATTATCTAATTTATTTTGCTGATTTAATGATTTTTGTGAAAGAGCAATATTGAATTCTTCAATATGTGAATTGTCTACCAACTTTTTTATCTTTTCTAATGCTTGATTGGAAGTATTAATAGTTATATTTTGTACACAGTTTAAATGTTTGTCACTAATACTCTCTTTATGACTATCTTGTAATACATTTTCATGGTAATTTCATTTTTATTACTAGTTCAACAGTTGTTCAACTTATTCAGATCATTAATAACTTTGCACGATAGATCTTCAGCATCAGAATAATTAATATCTTGAAATATAGTTTTAGTTTTAGCTAATGCTTGTTTCGATATTGGAATGTTCTTATTGTTAGCTGTTTGGAAACCAACAAACTTTAAATTGTTAATTTGAGCCCGTTTTTCAAAATTTACTTCATAAATTTTTTCAGGTGCCCTCTTACTAATTCCAACTTCAGAATTATCAATGTCATTGAATATCTTTTTAGTTTTTATTAACGCGTCTTCAGATATTTCTATTATTTTATTACTCGCTGTCCTAAAGCCTAAAGAATTTATTTGTTCATTATTCTTATCCGTCTCAATTTTTATTTGATTTGTTTTATTAGAATCTTTTGAAAAACCATCATGTGTTGTTTCTTTTATGTGTGCTAAAATATCATTACATAAATAACCAGAGGCATTTTCTCTTTTTACTTCATTTATTAAATTTTTAACTTCTGTTTCAGCACTTTTAACTTCAGTAGCATATTTGTCAATTTCGATATCTCTAAGTAAGCTTTTACTTTTAGCCAAAGCTTCTTCGGAAATAGGAATATGTTTATTACTAGCTGTTTTGAAACCTGTGAAGCTAGATAAAGTATGATTTATATTCTGAGTTTGATCCAAAATTTTAGCATTGTTTTGAATATCACAATTTTGTTTAGTATTGACAAAATAGTCATTTAATTTATCACAGAAATTAATGTCTTCAAATATTTTTCGAGACTTTGCCATAGCCGTCTCAGATATTTTAATATCTCCATTGTTTGCAGTTTTAAATCCAATAAAATCTTTATTAATGTGTTGATTGCCATTTTTCTCTATATATAACATTTCAGTTTCAAAATCTTGTAAAATATTATTTATCATAACATCATCATCTAGCCTTTTATAAACACTTCGATGGTCTGCTTTCAAATTCAAATCTAGCACATTCATTTGGTGTTCAGTAAACTTAATATTGTCAGATGTTTTATATTTGTCTGCCATTTTCCTCGTATTGATCATATTTATTTTTAAATCTTTATTTTCAACATTAAAGTCTTTGCTTAAATCAATGTCTTGGAAAACTCTTCTGCACATTTTTAAAGCTTTATCTGATAATTTTATCTTTTTGTTACTTGCAGTTATAAAACTACCATACTTGCGTTTTTCTGGGAAAACAGCCGTTTCAAATAATCCTCTCGAATTATCAGTATTTCCGTTGTCTATACTATCAATATCCTGACATATTTTATTGATTTTATTTTTATCGTTGTTACCTATAAACTTTTCATTATCGATTTCTACATCCATATTTACATTTTCAAATTCTTTACTGATATCACAAATTTTACAGTCAGCTTTCATCTTAGATTCATCTGATTGATTCTTCGATATTTCAGTTCTTTTCACATTCAATACACTAGTTTTATCGTGTTTAGGACTAAAGCTATCGCACATTTCGACTAATTCTGATAATGTAGGATTATTTATACTATTTCTCTGGTCAACGCCATCTAAAAGACTTTTAGCTTTCGTGAAAGAGGCAGTTGATATTTGTATAGACTTATTACTTGCAGTTTGAAAACCAACATACATTGTCTTATCTAAAATATCAGATTGATCATAAAATGATGTTTGTACAACACATGTGAAAGGCAAATCTTGCTTATTTTCATGTATACATTCAATTTCTTCATCACTACTAAACAATAGTTCATCTTCTACCTTACTGTTTAAATCTTTAATATTTTCTTTTGATATAAAATCATTTGCACTTAAAGCTAGTGGCATATCCACTCTTATTTCTGATAAATTACAAGACTCGTCCGATTGTACATCAATATTTACATCTGAATCACACATTTTAGATGTTTTCAATTTATTATTTTTAAATTTTATTACAGGACTCAGCTCTTGACTTACTTCAAGTTTTGTTTCAAAATTAGTTTGTATAACTAACTCTTTTCCAACTATTTGTGAGTTAATTAAATGTTTTACTGATGTTACATCTGAATTTTGTTCAATAATGGGATATGCTATTCTCTCAAATTTTTCAAAACAGTCTAGATTGTAGATCAATGGAGATGTACTTTTTGACCTTGTATTTAAATTTTTAGTAATATTTAGAACTGGACTTGCATTACGTTCTGGTGAGTCTTGTCTGTTTATATTTGACTCAATCTCCATACATTTATCAATTAATTCAGTACAATTTTCTTCTAATTGTAAATTTGTTTGATCTACTAAATATTTTTCTTTGAAATGTATGTCACACTGATTCATATCTTGTAATAAGTTATGAATACTATTAGAATCATCTTCATTTGAATTATCTTTTTTAAAACTATCTACACTTTTAGTATTGAGACAATGTATGCCTATATTATCAAGTACATTTTGATTACTTATTTGATCAGTATTTTTTATATTACTCTCATTATTGTATTTTTGATACTTATCACTGATAATACCATTAAAGGGTTCTATAGGGATTTTATTAAAAAAAGTTTTGAATTCTTCTGTTTTAACCTCCTCATTATTATTATTTTCAGCTTTATCAATAAATTCTATTAACTGAGTGTCCAAAACAAACTGGGTCTCAAATTTACTAGCCTTATTTTCTTGTTGTGGTAACTAGAAAATAATTTTGTTTTTATACATTTATAACATGAATATTACAAATATTAAAATGCAAACTTATCATACAGTTAGTGTATGTTTACTTATATAGATAAGATTAAAAACTTTCCTATGTATCAACCTAAGATATGATACAAATTCTATTCAAAACTATTCAGCCGTTTAAGAATGATGGATTCACCTATTAACAAGAACAGCATCATCAACACAGCAGAAAAGATAATGACACAGTATTATTCCTGTATAAACTGTACTTTCACAATCATATCTCACACTTCAATCAGAAACACAAGTTTCAAGCACAGTAGCTTCATAAGTATGGTAGCCTGACCTTCAAAACACAGGATTTTCCTAGCATGGAGGCCAGAGACCCTTATTGAGAATCAATATGTAATATTTATGTTTCTTGTAATTGCATCTGTATATTTTTGTTGAATAAATTATATTATTATATATTCTAACATAGAAACACAAGTTTATAAGAAGTACATACATATGCACATGAGTTTGCCAAAGGGAGATTTTGTACAAAAGTTGTTTGCTTATTCGTGTTCTTACCGTAAAGCAGTTGTGATTACATAGTTGTGTTTCGGTTTAAAAGGTGGGATATGGTGTGAATTTACAGGGTACAGAGGAATAAAACCCGAGTCCTCAGGAATGGCAACGCAGTATCATGGGTGAAACAGTATACTCTATTATGTCCATGGTACTGCTCATGTCTATAGGTGACGGTTACCACTTTCCATCAGGTGGGCCATCAGCCTATTTGCCATTCTAAGTTGTATAAAAAAAAAGTTTCAATCAATATTTCTCCTAGTAAAATGTTTTATTTATAAGAAAGTAAGGGCAAAGGTATATGAATCGTATAAATAATGTTTTTAACAAGAAGAAAGAAACAATAAGTGGAAATTAATCACAAACGAGGATCGTAAACAATTAGAAAAACATAATTTACATTAAGACATGTATAAATGGACTTTAAACATTTACATTTACTTTTTAAATAGGTTTTTTCTTAATTGTATTCTAAACTAAGAACAGAGAACTATATGGTGTATCCTTACTTACCTCATCATCTAACGGCAACATATTCACAGGTACTAAATGTGTATTATTACATTTCTCCATTTTCTTCTTATCTCTATCCCTTTTTATGCAATCTGCAGTTTGCAATGCCTGTATTTGAGATGAAATATGGGATAGAATACTTTTAGGATTATTATACTGATGTGTGGTAACAGTAGAATTATCATCTTTGCTGCTGTTGTAAATTAGAGGTTTCCTTCTACTAGCATGCCTCTTTAAACTCTCTTGAAAACTATTAATAACCTCAGAATTGTCCATTTTTGCTTCCAAGTATTGTAAGTAAAACAAGTATTGCCTTTTTTTAATTTACTTAATAAGTACGTATAAAAAGAGATTTCTTTAGAAACATTGATCACTGAACACCCTTAAGGACCTTCTATTTATCTTTCTACAATAATTAGTCTTTGTTTATATTTTGTAAATAACAAAAAAAAAAAACAGAAATCACTAGTACAAAATATGAAAAGCGATAATACTAAATGATCATTTTATAAAAAAAATATTAAGACAGAAAACAAACGACTAATATTAAAGTAATAAAAAAAAACAAACAAATTGAATAAACCAGATAATACAACAAATTGTACGACATTTACTGTCAAACTTCATGTTTGACATTTTTAACATTTCATAGATGCTTTTTTTTTAATGGATGATAATGAAATGGTAACCCTGCCTGCGCTATCGGTATACGCTGGCGGGGCCTTTTTGATGGGTGAAATTGGAGTGGTAACCCGCCTGCGCTAACGGGAAACGCTGGCGGAGCACCAGTGAAGGGTGATCGATGTGTTCGAAAACAGGCCAATTAGCCCATCATGACGAATTCACAAGGAAATTAACCATGATAGTTTCCAGGGAGAACTGCGAGGAGGTCGACCTGGCTGGGTTTATTGGATTGGATTGGTAAAAACGTCAAACCTCTGATAAACTTATTTTAGCTATAGAACTGTTTTGGTCTCTTTGTTTTGTGCTAAATTCTCAGTTTGAATAAAAGTGAAAAAACAGTGTAATAATTAAAATAGATTACTGGAAACCATGATGCGGAATTACAGGTGTATTCATCACGATAGACGAAATGTGAATAGGACTTTATTTTCCGCGCTTAGCCTCTCATTTGGGCCGTTGTGCGTATGAGTCGTGGCTAATACAGCCAACCTAGCTTCTCCCAGAAGCGCAGAAGCACACAGGTCTCACGGAGCGACCTCACCGTTCCGAGGATTTCTAAACGTTGATGGGCCACAACCTCTCATTCCAGGATTACGTGAGCAGCCGAGACTTAATGATATTATAATTATCTTTAACCTTGACCTTTTCATTCTCACTTATCATTCCTTACTGGTGCCCCACCAGCGTATAGCTGCTACATATGCCATAGCATAAGCGGGGTTATTATTTCATTATCATCCATTAAAAAATCCTATTATCCTGTTTTTTTTTTTTGATGGGTGAAAATGATATAGTAACCCCGCCTGCGCTGACGGGATACGCTAGCGGAGCACCAGTGAAGGGTGATAGATGAGAATGAAAACAGGCCAGTTAGCCCATCATGATGAATACATCAGAAATTAACCATGATAGTTTCCAGGGAGAACCGCAAGGAGATCGACCTGGTTGGGTATATTGCTAGCAATGGGATTCTCAGTGTCCATTACTAACAATCCCTTCCCCCCCCCCCCCTCCTATTATCCTATTATAAATGCGTAAATTTTAACGATGGATGGATGTTTCTTATTATTTCACATTAAAACTACGAATGTATTTGAATGAAATTTGATACAAAGGTAGGTTATATTTTTAATATGTAGTACATTATACTAAATTTATAGGATATACTAGCGACCCGCCCCGGCTTCGCGCGGGGTACTCATTACATCACGTCACATTAGAAACCTCTAAATTTATCAGTGTTTCTCTACAATATTATGCATGTATTATACATATAAACCTTCCTCTTGAATAACTTTATCTATTAAAAAAACCGCTTCAAAATCCGTTGCGTAGTTTTAAAGATTTAAGCATACATAGGGACGGACAAACAGCAACAGCGACTTTGTTTTATACTATGTTAGTGATACGAGAATCAGAGGGCCTACCATGAAATATTTTCCGAAAATTAAAAAAGGGGACGAACGAAACAGAAATATGATGTTAAAATTACATAATACATGCCGTTTAAAATTATAAAAAATGTTAAAATATCGTTCCTCTGGACTATTAGGGTAGAATTTATGATGAACGAAATGTTAAGCTTCATTTACTATGTCGATTTCGGTACGAACAAAAACACGAAATTGAGTCCGAAAATTCAGAATTTCATTTCATAGTAGACTACCAACTACTTACAGTACTGATTCACGCGGCTTAACCCGCACGATACAGTTAGATTAGATAAATAGATACTCTTTATTTTTTCCTCTAGAAGATTACAATAATAAACTTATAGATACAAACATTTACAAGAAATAATTATAGTGAGAAAAGCGATCTCTTCCAGGTAACCTTGGATGGAAAAGAGTATATAAACAATTTGATCTCCGATCAAATCACGATCACGATAAAAATTCTATCTAAAAAACTACCTACCTAGAAATTTCCGAATTTCTAAACGCAAGCTTCATTTTTTTTTTTTTTTTTTAGTACGTTTGTTCCGTTTGGAACAGGCTAAGGTCGGAGACCATGCTGCCTAGTCTTCAAAGAGATAAATTGTCTGGAATTTTATTTTTCTAATGTCGCTTCAATTATTGTCATAATCTTCAATATTTCATTTGTCAAATCCGGTAAGTACATTTTCATAAATATCTTTTCTTGAGTTTTCTTAAACCAGTGGATTTATCAAATTAAAAATAAATAATTATAAAAAATCATTGTCTTGCAATTCAATAAAAGTATTCTTATAGCTCCTTGAATGTTGTAGTAATATAAGTGAAAATAGCTTTGAAACAAGAAGGAAATCTTAAGAGAAGCGGGATTGAGTGCGGGATATTTTCGGGTTTTTTGAAGATAATCCTAAGTTCGTCAAACATAATGTGTCTTTGAATGACAAATTCAGAGCAATCAAAAAAAAAGGTGATGTAGAGATTGGGCTGTATTTGAGTTACACCATGTGCATGATGGGGAAGCGATCATGCCCATTCGGTGCAGGTGTTCGTTGAAATGTCCGTGGCCGATTCGTAATCTACAAATATTGGTGTAAAATTTTCTGTTTGTGTCCTTTCCTTTGCAGAACCACGGTTTTCCAATACGCCAATTAATTTTGCGGTACCATTTGCCTTTAGTCTGTAACATTTGAGTCCAATGCTCCTCCCATTTAGTTGTAACGATTTTATGTATTCCAATACTACAATCTGAATAACAAAGGGGTAAATCTTGAACACGAGCAGCACTTGAATTAATAATTTTAGCCAAAGTGTCTACTTGTTCATTCCCAAACACTCCAATATGTGAAGGGGTCCAGATGAAGATAATATCTTTTCCATATATAGTACAGAGATGATAATATTTATTACGAATTTCTTGAATTAAGTAGTTTGATGATGAAATGAATGTGTTATTTTTTAATGCCATAAGAACACTCATACTATCTGTAATTATAATCCATTTCGAATATAGTACCTGTTTTTCTATGTATTCTAATGCTAAAAATATAGCTTTTGCTTCTGCTGTGTAAATACTAGCCAAAGTTGAAATTTTATAACCGTGACCAAATCTATTTGACAAATCGTAAAAAGCCACTGAAGTGCTAAGTGCATTTTTGGAACCATCTGTATATATCTGCCTGTAGTCAATAAATTCTGATAAAGTCTCATACATATCGTGCTTTTCTTTTATGTCTTTACGTATAACAATTTTGATCTTACAGAACTTACTCTCATAAAGGCCATTATAACAAGGAAGTATCTTACTACTATAGATGTTATATTCATCTCGTAAATTCAAATCATTGACAATAGTTTTATTCAAAAACATAGAAATGGGGCAATTTAATAATTTGAGTATGAGTGGGTTATTGGAAACTGAAAAAACTTTGAAGAGAAATTTGAGTTTTAGGTATTCGAAACGAAGAAGGATAGGAGGCAAATTACATTCTACTTGCATTGAGATAATTGGAGAAGTATACATAGCACCTAAAATAAGTCTTAAATTCATATTTTGAATTTTTTCGAGTTTTTCTACTAATTTATGTTCTGAGGCATAACAAAAGAAAGCGTAATCAAAATTACTTCTAACAAGAGATTTGTAAAGTAAAAGGATAATTTTAGGATCAGCTCCCCAGTTACGACCAATTACAGATCTTATTATATTAGTGGCTCTTAAAGCACGATCTACTAAGCAATCAACGTATAGATCCCATTTTAAATTTTGATGAAAAATTACCCCCAGAAATTTAACGCTACAGTCTGTTGGAAGAGTTTGATTATTATATATAATATTCATTAATGGAACATATTTATGAACTTGATGAAAAACAACTACTTTACTTTTGGTTAAACTAATATCGAGGGAAAGAAGAGAAAAATATTTCTCAAGTCTTTTTAATGACTCATTTAACACTAATTGCATATCAATAATATTCTTTCCTTTTATATAAATTAATAAATCATCGGCAAATTGCAAGTTGTTCACACTGTTTCCTAAAATTGAATTAAGTTTATAGATATATAAAATATATAGTAGCGGGCTTAGAATACCACCTTGACATACTCCTTTAGAGCTTAACCTAGGTCCTATTAATTTACTATTTACTTTAACATACACTTCTCTATTACTAAGAAAATTATAAATCCATTCGATAAGTTTCATTGGAAGAAATGAGGATAAAATCGAAGATAGAACTGTTAAATTTACATTGTTAAAAGCTCCTACGACATCTAAAAAAACAGATAGAACATATTCATCGTTATTCAAAGCAGTACTAAGGTCGACATAGAAGTTCGCTAAACTTTCGCGCGCTGAATATCCACGGCGAAAACCAAATTGATTCGATGGTAATATACTATTACTTTCAATAAAGAACTCTAAACGCTGTTTAATTAATTGTTCGAATAATTTGCCTGCACAGGACGTCAATGTTATAGGTCTATAGGAGTCGAAATTTGTAGGATCTTTACCGGGTTTAATTACTGGAATCAAACAATCCATTTTCCATTCTGGTGGGATAATACAGTCCTTCCATAAATCGTTAAAAATTTGTAAGAGTTTAGTAAGGTTTATTTTATTCAGCAATCGAAACATATTGTATGTTAAGCGATCAAGGCCACTAGCTGTATCTTTTCTAGATTTTACTGCACTGGATATTTCATCAATTGAGAATGGGTCAGTGAGAAATTTTGGGCATGAATTAACAGAATTAAACTGTTTGTCATCAAAAGATGAGTGTACAAAATCAGGAGTATATTTGCGTAAAAAATCATTGACCCATGATATATCTTTAAAATGATTTTGACGATGTTTTGAATTTAGTTTTCTCATATTTTGCCAAACAGTGGAAATTGGTGTTAATCTATTAAATTTGGAACAAAATTCCTGCCACCCCTGTTGTCTTACTTGCTTAATTACTAACTTTTTAACAGCTTGAACTCTTTTAAAATTTATGTAATTATCGAGAGTTGGATTTTGTTTAAACCTAAGGTAAGCCGCTTTACTATCATTGACAGCTGTCGCACACCTGTTATTCCACCAAGGTACTGCAATATGTTTGTGCCTCTTTGAAGTATTTGCACCGCTATTTGATAAGTTCCTACGTGGAACGGAACGTTCCACAGCTGTCAAAATAATTTTACAGAACCTATTGTAATTGTTTAAGGGTTCATTGACATCATACTCGAAATCCAAAAGTAATTGATTAACAGTTTCAGAATAAAGATCCCAATTAACGAGACGTAGGTTTATACGATTTAACAAAAGTTTATTAACTTCATCTATAGGAGCATGTTGTTCACCTGACGGAGTTGATGAAGAGTTCTTTGTGTTTATTTTAGTAAAAGTCGGCAGGTGATAACTTCCTAACGGATCATCATGAACCGACCACTCGCATTTTAATGATATGGATGGGGATACCATAGTTAAATCAAGGCCATTGGGTCTCCAAATATGAGAGCCAACAGTAGTAACTTGCTTATCATTTAATAGTACCAAATTACATTCATCTAAACAATCAAGAATGTCTTTACCTCTTGTATTAGTGGAGGTACAACCCCACATAGTATGATGTGCATTTAAATCTCCAGATATGATAGTGGGTTTAGGAAGAGACTCCAAAAAGAACTTAAATTTGGCTTTAGTAAAACTAGGTGTACTATTGGTAGGACAGTAAATACTGGCAACTGAATACCAAGAATTATTAACTTCAATACTAATAGCTATAGTTTGCAAAGAATTGTCGAAAAAAGAGTGAAGTTTTTTATATCTAATACTATTATGTATAATAATCGCTACTCCATTGTGGTTATTACCACAATCATTTCGTTCTATACAATAATCTTTAATTTTTAATTTGTAATGTGGTTTTAGCCAAGTTTCTGAGATGAGAGCAATGTGAATATGATGTTCATTTAAAAATTGTGTAAAAATATGTCGATTGCTCAGTAGGCTCTGAGCGTTCCACTGTATGATAGTTAATTGGTCTCGATTGAATTTTGTGAAATAGGTCTATTACCAAAAGTATCATATAACACATTCAAAACACTTTTAGTGTTAATAGATGTGTTCTTTGTGTTATGTAGTGAAATAAGTTTGATTATGCTTTCTATTAAAAGTGATAAACTCTTGTTATCAGAATTTAGAATTGAAATTAGGTCTACATTTTTTTTAGGTTTGTTACCCAGTTTAGGAAATATTTCAGTGCTAAGTATATCTCCAAAAGAAGCAGGTCTGAATTTAGATCTATTTTCAGCAATTTTCTTTTGTTTAACAGGGCATTGCGGTGATACACTTGTGTGATTTCCATTGCAGTGTACACAAATAGCGTTTTCCATTCCAGTTGTACAAGTTTTATAATTATGCTCACCTTTGCAGATGCTGCAACGCTCAGAATTCTTACAGAATTTAGCTAAATGTCCATACCTCAAGCACCGGTAGCATTGTTTAACTGGTGGTATATATGGAGTGACATTGTGGCGCCAACCTCCAATATCCAGATATTCAGGTAATACAGATGCAGCAAAAGTAATTGTCACGGTTAGAGTTGGCTGTAACACATATCCATGAGTCAAGGTATTTTTTCTTAAAATTCTTTTAATAGCAATAATTTTCTTAGAACTCGATATCATAGTATATATTTTTTTATTAGATATATTTGTAGGTACATTTCTAATAACGCCTGTAACTTCTGTTGAAGAAGCAGGAATACTGGCCTTAAAATGGTAGTCATTTAAAAAAGTTTTATTATTTAAAAAAGCATTGGCTAAGTCTGGCTTTTGAAAGTATACTCCGATTTTGAATTTATTTATAGATCTAAGATAAGTTACCCCTTTATTAAATCGTTTTAAACAGGAGGAGAGTGAGAGCAAGTCTCTGGATCCAATGGTTTTCTGACTATCTGAGGATTCTACAAAGACAACAAATTCTGTCCCAGGGGATTCCTCGGGATATCTTCTAATATAATCTGTGACATAGTAAGGTTTATACTTATCGGCCTTATCAATTTCAGATTCTGAGTCAGTAGAAGTATCTTCCGAATATATATCCTTGTCATTACAAGGTTCATGGTCTACATCACCTGAATCGTCATCTTTTTTTTTCCTTTTTCTACAACTGCGCTTCCCCATGAATGCTAATTATATTACTGTCGCTGAATTTAGTGAAAATATAATATTTTATTAAATAATAAGAATTGATAGAGATAGTTTTAATAAATTAATAAAAAAAATTTAAAAAACCCGCTTGTTCTTATTCGAGTTTCCCGCCTTTTTTTCGCTTATTTTCACGCAAGCTTCATTTATCATGTCATTATTCTGAAAGGTTGCCAGATTGGATAACTTTTGCTTATTAGGCTACTGAGAATCTAGAAAAAAAGTAAAAAATTCTCAAAAAAATCTGTATCCAAGGCACTACATAATAATACTCTTATTAGAGATAAGCCCGCCTGTGTACATTATGTTTATAATGAATTGTAATTAACAGTATGTTTTGTGTAGAATAAAGAATAAACATCTTGTTCTAGTAAGTCTATTTTAAAGTTTCAAGCATTATTCTTGAAATTTGCATAGATCTCATAATAAAGAAAATAAAAATATTTCTCAATTTATTTACTTTTACAAAATATGTGAACCATATTATATAAAAACTTTACGGTTCTATAATAATTCTCACTTAATTGTTAATACGTGGGCAAAGTCACAGCGAATACTAGTTTATCCAAGTGTCTGGGATGTGTTCATTGACCGGAATAAAAAATAGCTTATGTTCTCCACCCAAATAATAATTGTATACCAAATTTCATGAGGTAGCAAACAAACTCACTTTTGAATTTATATTACTAGTTAAGATTAAAGATAAACCTGTTTACATATTATATACAGAATGTTTGGTGTGCGAGTTAAACTCACATTGGCTAGTTTTATTATTAGCTAAAATAAATTTGGAATCATAGCCTCGTAAGTATCTGGTAACCCTGTTACGCTGTCACTTCAATCGTTTATCCGTGCCGTTTGCCTAGATCTTTCATAGATATTTCTCGAAAACATTGATAATTTATATATCTGAACTACCAAAGCTTGTAAACAATAAATTTTAATATCTATAATTTATATACAAAATGGTAAGTGATATATCAAGATGTGAACGAGTCTTTCATTTTTAAAAATATGGCGGTAACATAGGTTATGTATTTTTCTTTTTTAGTCACATACGATTTTATTAGTGCAACCTGGCCCGAGGCCCGAAACTAGAACATATTCTGATTACGAGAGCGTCAATGACTGCATGGAAGGTGTTTGTAAGATTTACGAAGAGCATTTGAAAAGACGGAATCCAAATACACCAACTATCACTTACGACATTTCACAATTGTTCGATTTTGTTGATCAGGTATGTATGTTTATATTGTTAAAAGTAATTCAACACGACCACTAATCATTGTTGTTCTCGAAGATAGGTCGCTAATCAGCAGCAATACAGCAAATCAACTACACTTAGTTTTTTTTCAGTACCCTCTTTACTTATTAATGCACACGAACGGCGTCGGGAGCAGAGCTAGTCGTAAATAAAGGGTTAAAAAGCCAAAGTGAAGACAAACATGCTTGGTGATAGTTGATCATTTATATCTTTTCCAATATATTCAATATGTCTAACAAACACCTACCCTCAAATAAAAAAAATTGTTAATTTGAAAAAAATAGCAATTGATCTTGCAGTTCCTCTGGGCATTAAATGCTTCCTGAATTGAATGGTAGATTAAAAAAATACAACCTCTAAACATGTTTTTTTTTAATGGGTCAAAATGGTAACCCCGCCTGTGCTATCTGTATATACTGTTGGGGTACCAGTGAGAAGTGATAGGTGAGGATGAAAAGGCAGGTTAGTAAGCCCATCATTATGAATTCAGTGATAAATTAGTCACAATAGTTTCCAGGGGAAACCGCATGGAGGTCGATCTGATAGGGTATATTGATAGCAATGGGGACTAACCTCCCCATTACTAACAATCCCTTCCCCTCACTCTAAACATGTTAGTAATTTCATAATTATTGTTTAACAGCAGTTAAGTGACAAGAGATGACAACAAATTCACATTTACATTTATAATATGAAGTTCCATTAAAAAGCCAACTCAAACAATGAATTTGAATGTTACAGTTGGCGGATTTAAGTTGTTTAGTGTACCAGAAGTCAACAAATACATACGCCCCATACAACAAGGATTGGATAAAAGAGAAAATATATATACTACTGCGTCAGGCGGCGGGACAGAGTGACTGAATGTAGGTAGTGTAAGTTATGCTAGTGTGAGGTTGATTATAATATAACATTTATCTATTTTTGTTTAGCCGTTTTAATTTATTACTATTTGTCCATTATTTAGCTATGATATATTAAGCCTGTTACAGGGTTCAAAATAAACTAAACTCATGTATAAAAATGTGAAAAACTTCTTTTTTGTATTTATTGTAAAAATAAATATGAAAGTTGTTCTTTTACATATGTGAAACTCAAAGCTAGACTTATAGAGTACCATAGGTGTCACAGTATAAACTACAATTTCATACTACTGTTCATGTCAATAAGTGACAGTTATCACACCATCAGCTTGGTTGTCAACAATGCCATTCTAATTTGCATTAAAATTGTATAACCCATGGTTTATGTAAGAACCTTCTATTTGGAAAACAATCTTTAAAATGAGTTCAATAGTTTCAAATATCACCCTTTACAGATAAACCAGCCATACCTATACCTCATATAATATATATATATATATATATATATATATATTGCATGTATATTTATTACAGATTCCATAATTTTGTTAAAGATTACATACCAGTATAATATAATGACAATGGTGGAGGGCAGTGCAATTAATAAAAAACACATTAGCAGCTATTCAGAGGGAGAGACGTTAATTTTGTTTTAAAAATTAATTGTTATAATTTATGCTGTATTCATTGAGCATAGATATTTTCCGTTATTTGTCATTGTATCAATGACTACGTTTTTTATTTTCATGTCTGCTCCTCTGCCATAATTGTCTAATATTATATAAATACATAAAATAATAATCTCTAAACTTGATTAACTTTGGAATCTGGAATGTTTTTTGATTATAAACTAAATCTAAATGTTTAAATTCCAAATTTTCAAAAGTTTTTCTTTATACACTTAGAATGGCAAAAAAGCTGATGACCCATCTGAGAGAAAGTGGTAACCATGGTCTATAGACATGGACAGTACCTTAAACCTAATGGACTATACTATATAGTTGTATAATAAAAAGGTTACATACAATAGTATCTTGATTGCTAATCAATGCGCTAAACAAAACATATTGGCAATAGTGGAGTGGATCGCTTTTACAAAAATTTTTATCTAATATCTTAAATGTAGATTTAATAACTTGATTAGTGTTTGTCTTGGTTTCATTTAATTTTTAAAAATACTTAACTCTATCTGTTTGATTGACGGCAACCACAAAATTAAACAATTTATTGTAATAATAATAATACTATGGCTTAAATAATGGACAAGTTAAATAAAGTTTTGACTTCAATTAAATGAATAATACAACAGTGACTTTGAAAAATGAGCAATTTTGTTTTATTATTTATGTATATAGAGATCAGACTTGAATGGGAATTTGCGATTGAGGTAGAATCTGTAATTGTAAAATAATACGATTTGTTTTAAATTTCTCTTCTCTGACACTATTGATATAAGTAAAAGCATGAAACATTTAAAAGTAACATAAAAAATACATTTATATTGTATTTTATGAGAAAATGTTACATTTTACCTGCAAACAGATGGACATATTTGTTTACTCATTTTGATTTTAGTTTTAGTAAGCCCCCTTCTTAATAACTAGGTTCTTTTTTCTTTTTATTTATAAAGTGATAGCCACGTAAAATATGTGAGTTCTTCAAATTAATGATTTGTCTTTGTTGAGAACATTTACAGAGCCAAATTTCTGACACAACAAGCAATATTGTAGTGATTGTTTAAACTTGATTCATTGTCGCGTAATAAGATTTAGTAACTATACTGTGTCTAAAAAGTAGTTTGTAAGATTTGAACGAAGTGTTCAAAGAGAAATTGCTAAAAGCGGCTGACCAAATATGAAACTACAAAATCTGTAATAATTGTGTAAAATTGTAAAAAAAAAAATCGAAGAAATGTTCTCTCTATCTCAATATATGGGTATTTTACATTAAAAAAATGATATGTGTTCAGTAAAGCTTAATTCCAGTAATGGGAAATAGCAACCAATTTTATTTTGTTACCAAACTTGGTAGACACTTTCATAATTATTTATAAAGTTGTTGTATTAGAGACGTGCTGTGTAATAAGGTTCTTTAGCTTGCTACAACAAATTGCACCATGAGAATCAGTATTTATTCATCTTTCAACTAGATTTACTAGTGTGGACGTGCTTTAGCACACAATGCTATCGGAGAAAATTCATTCTTATTTATATACGTTTAAGAATAAATTTTGTCTATCTTGTTGTTTTGGCGGTTGTATCTCCCGCTTGCGGGATCTGACTCACTTGTAACTCAAATATTGTAAGGTATACTGTATACATATATTAGTACTTATATTGCTTATAAGATAGGGTTGCTATCTCTAAAATTCGGCAACCAGAACAAGACGTGTGAAAACCCCGGATTTTAAAGCCCTGAACCCGGATATATCAACAGGTTTTTAACATTGTTAGTTATGCCCGTCCGGACGCCCCCTGGATGCCCACTAAACTAGGACAAATCCGGGGAAACCCGGACGGATGGCAACCCTACTTATAGAGAATATATAGCACAGCGCCATCTAGTTCCACATTAAGTTTGTAGTTGTACAAAAATCGTGAAGTTACTAATTCTTTTAATAACTGTACGTTACCACTACCACTCGTGTACGGATGTCGTCCTCTAGTGTTTAACGTTTCTAATTTGCCTTCGTGTATAACTAAGATGGTCGACGACGATATACAAGACTATTATGGGTACTGAACAACTAAAAAAAAATTACGTACTTTTTTCATTTATACTCGATAATATATTAAAAAATTAACACTGATTCAAGTGGTATAATTGATTCAATTTATTTTAGTAAGTTATATTTTATAAAGAAATTCAACCGTTTTCTTCTTAGAAATTATTGATGTTAAAGAAGTATCATTTTTATATATTTTTTTTCTCGTACAAAACCTTTGTCTTTTTTGTTGTTAATTTTTCTAATAAGATACTGTGTAAGTATAAGAATAAAGATTAAATTATAATTATTAGTTTAATTTCTAACTATATCTCCTGGTTACATGTATGTAAATGTACAGACGTCAAACAATCGACGTACTTATTTTTTCCTTGAAATTTTGCCTTTGAAATGTACATGTACAGGTAATTTTTTTATAATAATTTGTAATTAGGGCTTATCATCATATCAGCCTTTTACTGTCCACTGTTGAACATAAACCTCGCCCTTGGGGGGATTTGCCAGTAGTTGCCACGCTTGGCAGGCGGATTGACAACAGCGTTTAGACTTTAGAGATGTTTTTAGAGGGACGCTGCTGCCCATCCCTCGCCCTCCCTAGGTTGCCTCTTATGACACCCATGAACAGAAGGATAGCCTATTCTATGCCCGGACCACACAACGTATTAGGGCATATAATTTATACATAATAATATATAATCTATCTTAACTATCTATTTAACTGTTTCAGCCGTGAAGCAGTTGTGTTTGCATGGCTGTGTTTCGGTTTGAAGGGTGGGATATGGTGTGAATTTACAGGGTACAGAGGAATAACACTAGTCCTCAGGAATGGCAACGCATAGGGGATATCATGGGCGAAACAGTATCCTCTGTTATGTCCATAGTACTGCTCATGTCTATAGGCGACGGTTACCACTTTCCATCAGGTGGGCCGTTAGCTTGTTCATTTTTCAATTCACTGCTATGTCCCACCCTTCAAACCGAAACACAGCCATGCAAACACAACTGCTTTACGGTTGAAACACGAATGGGACAGAGGTACCCAAGCAATCGACTTTTGTAGAGTCTCCCTCTGGTGTTAAGTTAGGGGGAAGGGATTATTAGTAGTATGGACTGCCAATTCTATTGTTAGTAAATACCCTGTCAGGTCCTTCTTCCCCCCACCCCTGTAACTATCATGATGAATTCCAGATGTATTTATCACGGTGGCCTACCTGACCTACCTTTTCATTCACACCTATCGTCCTTCACTGGTGGCCCGCTAACGGCATGAGATATCTATCATGCCTCACATGATAGGGAAAGATAAATCAATGTTTCACCCTTTTAAGGGCAAAGCAATAAACTGAGTTTTGGCCATTTTATGTTACTGTGGCATAGACACGAAAAGAAAAATTCTTTTACAAATTTTACTTTTTTTTTTCTCTTTTTGTGAATGTCTATGTGAGTCTGTTGTAATTTGTGTGCTCTAAGTGGTGTAAATCAATCCGTCTGCCAAACTGAAAGAACTCCCAAGGAGGAAGCTTATGTTCAGCAGTTAAAGGCTGATAGGATGATGATGATGAAGTGATGCAAATAAATTTATCAATTATAACACCTTAATCCTCAAGAAGAGGTAACGTGTGAGGAGTGCCATGGGCGGCACAGTATTTTTCGGTTGGGATATTAATAATTGGTAATAAAGAGATCATAGTGACCAAGTACATTTTATTTCTCTACTTTGCATCTTATTATACATTACATTTGAGGACTCGTTTGTATAGACATTTTTCTGCTAACTGTACTTTATACATAATTTGTTTATTCGATTTTCAAAATACGAATAAAAACAACAACGACCGCCACGCCCTCTGTCAAAGTGGCGTTAAAAATTATAATTCTAAATTTAAGGTACTTGTAAAAATTTTTGTGACTAATTCTCGAGAAATTACATTTATATTTTTATAGTAACAACTTCAACGACTGTCTTTTCATTACAAAATTTCTCTAATGGCTCTTTTTGTCAAACTAGTGACTATAAAATACGTCAAACAGTTTTTCTCGTCTCATTATAGAAATTATGAAAAATAAATTCCATATTTGAAAGAAATTAAAAAAAAAATACGTAATAGAAACATCTACCACCATTAATATATCCATTTGAGTTATTTCGATCACACAAAATTATAGGAAAATAAATTCATAATTACATATATACACATATATCGTTATGTTAATACAGTTTAATTTTTTAAAAATTATAATCCACCTTGTCTTTCTAGTAAAGAGAACATTTTAAACTAATTTATAGAAGAAATATGACTAATCCTTTAATCAATAATATAATATTTTTCTCTTGCCTTACACGCTACAATAAAATTTAAGTCTATTTTACACGTGTAAAATTTAATATCTGACGTAAATTACACATTAATACTAGTTTAATTATTTACAAATATATTTCTATATTGGGTAACATGTATGAATAATACACTCGCGTGCAAAATATTGTACTATATTGTAGAAATAATATAATTTCCCTAAAGGCAGCGTGGTCTTGGCAACAAATAGGCCACCGCTTCCTTTCACAAGGGTGTCGTAAGAGGCGACTAAGGACGAGACGAAGGAAGGAGAATAAAAGGAATATACAATTTTCTATATATTTGAAAACATGTCTATATCACGTGTTTATGTCTCACACCTGGTCTCTTGCAGGGTAAGCAGAGTAAAATAGTGCTAAAACCCTTTATATTATCATATAAAAGACTGCCTCTATTTGAATCTTACCCTATTTCCTTTCATAACTGACTGCATACATACTGCAGCTAAAGGCCTGCAACTTCTGCCCTGGACAGTATATCTTAGTTTTGTTTCATTATGATAGGTCAAGGGATAGCGAGAGGTGGGCAGAAGCATCCCTCTTAAAACATCTCAAAAGCCTAACTGCGGCTGTTAATCCGCCTGCCAAACGTGCCAGCTACTGGCAAAACACCCCAAGGGGGAGCTTATCATCAGCAGTGGACAGTTTAAGGCGGATATGATGGTGTAAACAATTTATGAACAATTTTTTGAACAATATTTTTTATATAATTACACCGCATAGAAAATTTACAAATATTACCAGCAGAATAAGATTTAAAATTACTGCCTACATAGGTTACATTTCATTATTATCTCAGCCATTATCTGTCTAAACATAGGCCTTGCCCATAGACTGCCATAAGGAACTGTCCTAAGCCACCTACTTAGGTTACATTTATGTTACATATATATATATATATATATATATATATATATATATATATATATATATATATATATATATATATAATATTTTTTTAATGGTTAATTAACAAAATAGTAATATTTTTGCACGCGAGTGTAATCCATTTCACAGATTAAAACTGCTAATACGATAAAATATTACATTATATTTATCAACTACGTAATATGTTTAATATGTATGTACAATATTTATATATTTCAATTCAACTCTGATATCCCAAATTAATTTAGTTCTAATTTAATTTTTAATATTTTATTTATATAATAAATACTCGTCTTACTAAAAAAATAATAATAATATTTAGAATTCGGTATTTTGTTAAAATTGTATATGTATATATATATATATTTTAAATTACAACTGAATTCAGAGATGAATTAAAATTGGCTATAATAAATTTTTAATACATCAATTAATAATTATTTTACAAAGTTATAGTTATATTATACAAATCAGAAATTAGAAAGATTAATTTAAATTAAAATTCGAGCTCATTGCAGTTGGATTGTATAATTTTTTTTTTAATTAAAATAATTGATAAAATCTGTATAAAATAAATAACAAATTTGTGAAGATTTTTATTTTTTTAAAACCACTGAGGTGGCCAACAAGCGTCCGGCTCACCTGATGGTAAGCGGTTACTGTAGCCTATGAACGCCTATAATTTTAATATAGGCGTTCATAGGCTATTAAAATACTATAATTACAATGCATTCAAATTCTTTGTAGCACAAAACAAAGTCTCGTTGTTTTTGGATGAGAATATATGGCCAGAAGGGATAATTTTTCGACGGTTTATTAATTTTAAACTAAAAAAATCGACTGGAAACGCACATATTTCCATTGACGGCATTACACACCAAAATTATGGATAGTGGGATCTACAACTTTGTTACCTTCAATTGTAAGAATGTGAAGCGCTCTGTAGAAGGGATACGGGAATTATGTAAAAGATCGGATATCATAGCCCTGCAAGAAACGTGGTTGTTGCCGAGTGACCTATCATATTTGTGCAGCATAGATTGCGAGTTTACCTCTACGGGAACGTCGGCGATCGATACAACGGAGGGAATACTGCGCGGGCGACCGCACGGTATATATATATATATATATATATATATAAGAATAATGTTAATATATATATACAAACTATATATATATATATATATATTGTGTTTATATTATATATATATATATATATATATATATATATATATATATATATATATATATATATATATAATATGACATACTCTGGTCAGACCATTTTCCGCTGATTCTTGAGTGTAATTTAGACGTAGTTCCACCTAAGATAGAAGAAGTAAAATGTGAACGTAACAATGTTTTGTGGGGTGACAGAGGCATAGAACAAATCGACTCATATTATAATGAGTGTCATTCTCATTTCAAACTTCTTAAGTTTCCATCCGAGTTCCATAACTATCAGACTTGTAATGTTATACAACATAGACAGGTCATTGATAAGTTGTATAATGATATAATAAATGTACTAAAGAGAGCGGCTGTAGCTAAGAAATAACACACATTGTAAGCGTAAGAAAAAGAAAATTGTAATAGGTTGGAATAAACATGTTAATGAGGCACACAGGAATGCCAGGCAGAAATTTCATGTTTGGTGTGATTATGGTAAACCTAGAGTTGGCTCCATCTATAATGATATGTGTGAGGCTAGAAGATACTTTAAGAAACGTCTAAAGTGGTGTCAAGACCACGAAGAACAAATAAAGATGGATATTCTAGCTTCACATCATTCTAATAATGACTTTCGGTCTTTTTGGAAGGCTACGAGGAAGCTAAGTACAAAGTCTGCCCTTCCTGTGTCTATTGAAGGCGTAAGTAATGCCGAGAACATAGCTGATCTTTTTAAGGATCATTTTACTGTTAAATCCCCTTTGGGGCCATCGCGTGCGGAGTTGAATGTTGAGACTGGACGTGTGGTGGAAATTAGATGTACTGCTAGTGAAGTAGATCGAATTATAAAATCTATGAGTAGAGGTAAATCTCCAGGACACGACAGTCTCAGTATTGAACATCTAAAACATGCTGGGCCACACTTGGCGAGACTGTTGGCAATGCTCTTTAACTTTTGTATAAGTCACTCGTACATGCCGGAGGAGATGATTAGAACAGTGGTGATACCTGTAGTTAAGAATAAAATTTCTGATATAACAGACAAAAATAATTATATATATATATATATATATATATATATATATATATATATATATATATATATATATATATATATATATATATCTGCAAATATTGGTATGGAAATCAGCTGAATAGCGTGCGATGGGCGGGGACTATGTCGCAGTCATACAGATTGGAGTGTGGTGTGAGGCAGAGGGTTGTCTTCGCCGGTACTATTTAATCTGTATATTAATGATCTGATTGTTGCTTTGAGTGGTACCCGTGTCGGCTGTCACATAGACGGCATTAATGTTAATAATATAAGTTATGCTGATGACATGGTGCTGCTCAGCGCGTCGATATGTGGGCTTAAAAAACTCGTGGCTATTTGCGAGTCATATGCTGCATGCCACGGACTGATATACAATGCTGTATATGGTCTTTGAGAGCAGAGGCAAAAACTCAATAGGCTTTCCAGATATTAAACTTAAGGGTATAGCGCTGAAGAGGGTGTATAAATTTAAATATTTAGGACATCAATTGGCCTCGGATCTCAAAGATGATGATGACATTGAACGGGAGCGGAGGGCGCTGGCGGTGAGGGCGAATATGATAGCACGCAGGTTTGCGCGGTGCTCTGGACAAGTTAAAATTACGTTATTTAGATCACATTGCACATCTTTCTATGCATGCAACCTGTGGGCTGTATATACTCAAAAATCCTACAGCGACCTCCGTATCCAATATAATAACGCGTTCAGGGTGTTGATGGGGCTGCCACGATTCTGCAGCGCGTCAGGGATGTTCGCTGAGCATCGTGTAGATTGTTTTTATGCCACGATGCGAAAAAGGTGTGCATCCCTGGTGCGCAGAGTACGTGCCAGCACCAACAGCATCCTGAGTATGATAGCAAGCAGGCTGGACTGTGTGTACGTTAATCACTGCTGCGCAATTTCCAATGGAATTGTGCAGCGGTGATTATCTGTATACTGCTTAATATATTGTATGTGTGTATGTGTGTGTATGTGTATTGTGTATGTAAATTTACTAACATTAGTTTTTAAGAATATTGTTACTAATAAATATTTAATGGACCAAAAAGTCTGAAATAAAAATTATTATTATTATTATTATTATTATAATACCAGAGGTATTACGCGCGCGTTGCCGACTCTGAAGAAACCTCTTTACCCCCTTTTGAAGAACTCCATGCTGTAGTCTCTTGGGAAAACCTCGGCAGTGAACTCATTCCATAATCTGAGTGTTCGTGGGAGAAAACATTTCTGAAACTGCGTTGTACGCGACCGTCTAGGCTGTAGGGCATGAGGGTGAACTCCCTGCCGATGGTGAACCGTACGATGGTAGAAATTGGCCGTGGGTATCATATTGAACAATTCCTCTAAGCGCAATCCGTTGTACAAGCGGTAGAACACGCAGAGTAAGGCAAAATCTCACATAAAACTTAAGGGTACGATACCGCTTGCAAGCCTGGGATCATCGACAATTCTCATAGCTCGTCGATGCACTGAGTCGAAGGGTTTAATCTAGGTACTCTCGCTCATAAGTGACAGCATTTGGTTATTCCTTTTTACTTTTGCATTGATCTTATGAATGTTTCTTATACAATTTATATTGGCAAATAAGCTAGGTGTCCACCTCATGGAAAATCACATAATTTTGTCATGATTGCTTCGACATGTTTGACATGATAAATATGGTAGTTTGAGTTGAATATGTATTATTAATTAACTAATTTCATTAATTATGTATTCTGAATATGTATTAAAACAAAAACAAAATAGGGATTTACAAAATTTACATGTCGAAATAGATTTAAAGCAAATATTGTAAAGATATATAATGAAAAAATATTTTTTCTAATTAATTCCAATGGCAAAATTCATCATCATATATGTGAATGACTGTCTTTTACATATTACAATAATTTACAATTATTCCTTTACTTTTTCCCACATAAAACATCTAAATTCCTACAGATATGTAGATATACTCTGTAAATTATATCTTACATTATAAATTTCACAACACAGCATCCATTTACAAGCGTTTTTATACAATCAATAAACTAAAACTAAATTATTTTGTGAGATAAACTAAAATAATTTAGTTTTACAGTTTGTTGAACAAACGTTTGGTTGTTTGTATTAAGACTTTTATTATACTCTTAAGTGGCCTCTCCCTTGTCAAGAATAACACAATAACCGTGATTCATGACCCCGCTCTTAACGTCTACGTTATGGTACACTACAAAATTTTGACATTTAAAATTGAAACTTACTGTATAGAGCACTAAGTGCTTTTTTTTTATAGTTTAATATAATTATTTTCTGAATCACACTTATTTATTCCGACCTTCAACTACATTTCAGATATAACTATCTACGGACATTACTTGATACAACTCCTTCTAGGTTTTTGGTTCTGTGTTATCGTAAATTGCGCTTTATCCCGTTGTGTTAAGACTTTACTCCGTGTCGCTTTTGTCCTTCTTCTTTCTCTTACCCTTTGGGTGAACTTTGTAAACGTGTTTCTGAAGATCTTTGAGTTTTAAATATCTGAAAAAGAAAAAAAAAAGATTATGTAAGTTTATTTGTAACATTTTCTGTGTGGTTCCGGCATTGAAAAAGCCACCCCTTCCTCTCCCATGGGTGTCGTCAGAAGCGACTAAGGGAGGGCGTGGGATAGGCAGCAGCGTCCGTCTTAAAACATCTCCAAAGCCTCATTGCGATTGCCAATTTGCCTGCCAAGCGTGGCAACTACAAAGAAAACCTCCCAAGGGGCAAGCTTATGTTCAGCAGTGGACAATTAAGCCTGATATTTGATGATGATGAAAAAGGTATAGGCAAGTGTATGTAGAGCGAGGAAGCTAAACTGACCTGCAAGGGCACTGGCTGCAGACGAACTTGAAGTCCTCGGGGTCCCCGTGGGCGCGGCGCTCGTGCCGCTCGAGGATCAGCGCCGACACGAACGAGCGGTGGCACGTCGGGCACGCGTGCGGTTTCGACGTGCTATGCGACTGCCGGCCACACGCACGATAAATAAATAACATTGCATATACACACAGCGCCATCTAGTTACAAACTGAGCTAAGTTTGTACAAGGCACTTTGTTTTTAATGGGTGATAATAGAATGGTAACCCCGCCTGTGCTTACGGTATACGCTGGCGGGGCACCAGTGAGAGATGACAGATGAAGTTGAAAGCAGATCAGTTAGCCCATTGTGAAGAATTCCACGAGAACTAACCACGATGGTTTCCAGGGGGAACCACGTGGTGGTCGACCTGATTAGTAACTGGGATGGATTCTGAGGCATCATTTTTCTAAACCTATTTCTAAAATTAGAATTTTAATTTCAAACAATGTAACAACTGTTATTAATTATTTTATTACAAAAAAAAAAAAAACAAATATTGTTAAAAAAATCTTGCACGCAAAAACTACTTAACAAATTCGAATCAAATTTACTACACGGATCAGTTGTGACGGATTAAGAGGCCTCTTAGTCCGGGGGAAGGAGGAGATTTGTCGGAAGGCACGGCTCGCTGTGGAGCCACAAGATACTAACAAGATTTTAACTGAATAAATATAAAAACATACAAATGTGAACTAAATAAAAAACTTTTAAAATTACATTAAAATGCCATTGTGGATAGTTTATATTCCAACTTAGCATAGAATATTTTATGTAATTGATAAAAAAATAATAACACTTACCACTTTAATATGCCGTTTGAGACTGGAGTTTGTGCCGAAACTGGTGTTACATATATCACAGTGGAATGGCCGCTCGTTTCTGTGTGTGCGCTCGTGCACCTGTGTATGTATTTACTGTTATTTATTAGCTGTAAATAGGTAATATAAAATAGGTGTTCTAGCTTTTTCAAACTGCTATATTGACTGGCGTCGGGCATTCGTCTTGCACCATTGACGTGGCATAGTAAACACAAATGCAGAAAGAATTGTGAATTTCGGTTCAGCTTTTGCTAGACCGAGACTTTGTACAAAAGTCGTTTACTTAGACACATCTGTCCCATTCGTGTTTCAACCGTGAAACAGTTGTGTTTGCATGGCTGTGTTTCGGTTTGAAGGGTGGGATATGGTAGTAAATTTTCAGGGTACAGAGAAATATAATATAAAAATGGCGGCGGTAGTCACTTACCATCAGGTGAGCCGCATGCTCGTTTGCCCCCTGTGTTGTAAAAAAAAAAAAAAAATAACACCGGAGTCCTCAGGAATGGTAACGCATGGGGGGTATCATGGGCGAAACAGTATACTCTGTTATGTCTATGGTACTGCTCATGTTTATAGGCGACAGTTACCACTTTCTATCAGGTGGACCGTCAGCTTGTTTGCCATTCTAAGTTGTATAAAAAAAAAAACTTACGATGTAATCGCCTAACATATTCCCAAAAAAATTTTTCAGACTGTTTCAAGCAATTAAAAAATATTCTATGTACATTTTGTATTAAGTGCTTTGCTATAGATTTAAAGAATTCGAGTGTTACAGGTACCCATGGCATATGAAGTCTCATATTTACTCTTTCGATTCTACTACAAATGACCATACCTGCAAATTGTATGATTCGAAGAAACCCTTCCCGCAATAAGTACACCGGAAGGTGGCTCCTCGCAGCACCCTCTCGTGGCACTTCATGTGCATTTTAAGCAGTGCTTGTGAACCGAACTTCTTTGGACATTCTTGACAGGCGTGAGTTTTTTCCTACAAAAAAAATGTTTTAAAAAAATTAATAATTTTATTATATATATTTTAATCAAGTTTTTGAGAACCTAGGAAGCTAATGGTACTCATAATGTTAGGTACATTATTTATATATTTTTTAATGTGAACGCCTTACAACTTAGTGACGTTACCGCTAGATGGCGTTGTATAAAAGTTCAAAATTATTCAGAAATAGATTCAAAACTAAGTAATGAAATATTTATAGTTGCGAGAGTTTTTATTTTTGTCTTCATTCCTGTCGTGAAAAAATATGTTAAGATTTTTCAGTTAGTAATGTCGACAAAAAACGAAAAAAATGAACCTATTTTAAATACACTATCGGGACTTAACGCGATTAAAGATTTTTACAGATAAATAGTAAAAGAGACAGGCGTGACAGATATGAATATATGTAAATAGTAACTACATAACTACTACTTTATTGCGGACGTTTCGACGTGGATTGCACCACATGGTGGTCACGACAGGACTTTATGTCTGATAGTGTATTTAAAATATGCATAAACAATGAGAAAGTTCAAAATTAACAAAAAAAAAAAAAAAAAAAACTAATCATAATTACGTTAGCAATTACAAACATTGTCTTCTTATTTAGCTATTTATAGAGAATCAATTAATTACCAAATGCGTGTCCCTGTGCTTGGCCAGCGAGTGTGGATACTTGAACTTCTTTGGGCACTCGCTGCACTGATACCCGGACACGCCCGTGTGCGTGGCGAGGTGGGCGCGGTGCGCCATCCAGCCCAGTACCGTCTTACGGCATATCTTACACTCCCGGGCTCGAGTCGCGTGGTACCTGGATTTAATTATTTTCTATAGATAAGCGTGCACAGTTGCTTTATTCATGTGTTTGTTTGAAAGTGAGGTACAGTGAATTTTCAGAAGAAAAACTTAATATTTTTTTAATGATATAACTAAATACTCCTATTAATGCAAATAAATGATTGATTCATTGTTAACTTCCCTGTTATATGTATTATTATTATATATTGTATATCTATTTTTTTTCATAAAACAATTTAAAATTTTTTACAACCACCTTTTGTATCAAACATTTTTCATAATATGGTGAATCAAGAATAAATCAATAAAATAAAAATAAACAATATTAAATTTAACTATGAATCAATAATTTATTTCTCTAATTATCATAGTCTTTGGAATTGTAATGCATGAGGGATCTTAGGTGACACAGTATATTTTGTGAGATCCACAATACTGTTCATATCTATAGATGATGGTTACAACTTTTTATCATCTATGTGTCGTATTCATCATCTATTTGTCTTATGTGTTTGACTTCTTTTGGGGAAAAATTTATATGTAAACCCTACCAACACCAAAATAACTTATTAAATTCGGTTCAGAAGAAAATACTTAGGAACTCAATCCTTTTGATATCACTTAGAAAAACCTCAAAAAATTTAAATTTGACTCTTGAAATTAGTATATTCTCTTTACAGACAGAGGGGGGGAAGAGAGAGAGAGATAGTGAGGGAGTGGGAGAGAGGGGGAGATGGGGGATGGAAAGAAGGAGAGGGGCTAGAGGGAGGGAGAGTCAGAGGGAGGAAGAGATGGCGACAGAGGCAGGGAGAGGGCAAGAGGGAGGAGAGGGAGAGAGAGGTACAAATGTAAAATCAATTATCTTTGAAAATTGCTTCGGTCATAAATGCCTCTGGCTAACTCATGAAGAACTGTATACATTAACATCTTTACTTTTTTTATTAATATTATAAATGTGAAAGTGAGTTGGTTTATTGTTTACTACTACATAGAGCCTCAAGGTTGGTCACTAAACGAAATTGAATACGAAACTAGATGGCGCTAGTCGAAACTTGTGGTTCTCGTTGTTATTTTGTAATTTCTAAATTAGCATGTAGTTTTTAATATTATATATGAATATGAAGTGACAAATAATATGCAATATTTTCCTAAATGAATTATAATGACACAATATTAATGTTTTACTAATATGTGTTTTTTTACAAAGTTGTATGACACAAGAGAATAAAAACAAAAATTATAATAAATTACTACTATGTCAATAAATAAAAGCACGCATCTATTTAGAAATTTTGCCTCAAATTATCTTTAATTTCAAAATAATTAACAAAAACCAGAAGTCTTGATTCCAGCGCCATCTAGTTTCATGTACAATTTTGTTTAGTGACTTCATACTATCACTCTGCACACGGACAAAGTCAGAGGTATTTTTTTTTTTTTTATTCTAATTTTTGTTGAGGCTTTAGTACACCGGAGTGACTATGCCAGCCTCATAGGGATTGTCTGAAAGTCAGTCTGTCAGTCCGTCAGGGACACCTTTACCCACAGATATAGCCGTCTTGCATTGCGACTGCCAGGTTGACTCAGTATTACATTGACATTACCGTTATATAATGGCATATCGCCCAGAATCCGCTGTTTCAGGTTACAATTCCGGCCACATTCCACCAGCAAATGTAGAAGATCTTCCACTTTGTCACAATACATACAATTTGGTGATTGTTTCATTCCTATAAGATGATAAAATTTGTTGAGTGGAACATGACCAGATCGCATCCTGAACGCTATCACTAAATACGGTCTTGAAAGACTTGTTGTTTGAAACCAGGGTATTAATGAAGGCATTTGCTGTATAGTTTTATACCATATCCCCTTTGAACCTGAACAGTTTTCAAAGTGGTTTCTCCATTTCGTGACACAATCACTCTTAATTCTACCAATGAATTCATTTGCATAAGGGTTACAAACAATTTCTGTTCCATCCTCAATAGCCTGTTTGGCTGCCTGATCTACTGTTTCATTCCCTGGCACTCCTATATGTGATGGTATCCATTGAAGTTTTACGGCTACATTTCTTTGTTGTAATATACATACCAGCTTTAAGACCTCATAGGCTATCGGCATACCTCGTGTACCCGAGACACACCGAGCCAAATGGTGGAGGGCACTCTTTGAATCAGTCAGTATAACAATTTTTTGTATATTTAAGGTGACAGCGTATGCCAATGCTTTAGTAATTGCTATCAATTCAGCTCTCATTATACAGATATTTTTATTAAGTTTCCAAAACATAGTTTTTCCAAACTTCGAATCAAATAGTGCCGCCCCTACACCTCGAGAATCTTTTGATCCATCTGTATATATTTTATGAAATTCCTCATAGTCCGTCTTTAACATATACGTAGTGAGACATTTCAAAACAGAACCATTAATATTACGTTTTGCATTGTTGACATCTTTAACATTTAAACACAAACAGGACTTCACATCAATGGATGTAACCCAGCTATTTAAACTATACATGTCAAGTAAAGGACTTCTGTGGATATCCTCCTCTTTAAGGCTATTGTGTACATCAATTAAGATAGGCTTTGTTTTACTATACCAATAGTTACAGTTATTTGACGATAAGTTCACTACCGATTGCATGGTTTGGTTATTGGAGACAGAAGCCACTCTCAACCAAAATTTGTACCCCAGCCAATGCCTACGCACAAACAGGGGAGGGAGAGCAAGTTCGGTCTCCATTACATGAATGGGAGTGCTTTTAATAAAGCTGCCACATATTCTTAAAGCCTTATTCTGTACAATGTTTAATTTATTAAGATGAGTTTTGGCGCCAGTTGCATACAGAAAGCTAGCATAATCTATACGGCTTCTAATGAGCGAAATGTAAAGTTTACGCAGATGTATTGGATGAACCCCCCATGAGCTTCCTGCAAGCACCTTTAGAATGTTCAATAATTTGTAGCTTTTTTCACAAATTTCATTTATGTGTGTACCCCATCTTAGAGATGAATCCATCCACATACCTAGATATTTAACTTTTTTTAATAACTGAAGAGGCTTTCCATTAATATCAATGGTAATATTAGGTGTCTTTCGAGATCTACTAAAAATACATACGAGGTCTGTCCGGAAAGTTCGTATAAAAGTGTTCTGGAATGCGAGAAAGAGGAGTGGGGAGGCCAGGTAAGCGCAGGACCCCTTCCTTATGTCCCTAACAATGCTTCAGTTCTGGTCTGACCGCCGTGCGGTGCGAACTGGCTTGTCACGCCATCTGTGAAGTTACCTCTTAACGAAACCCCGTCGGCATGGAGCCCGCTTCCGTTGAAGAGCAGCGCGTCGTAATCAAGTTTCTCTCGAAACTCGGCAAGAATGGCCGTGAAATTTTTGCCGATCTCAGAACAGTTTATGGGGATGATGCTGTGAAGGAACCAACCGTCCACAAGTGGCTAAAAAGATTTAGAGAGGGCCGAGAAAGCATCAAGAATTCGTCCCTCCAGGCCAGACAGTTGATGGAAAATTCTACGTCGATGTGCTCAGACGCCTCAAAGCTCGTGTGGCACGAGTTCGTCCAGAATTGGCGCGAGAGGGGCGTTGGATTCTTCACCACGACAATGCCCCTGCCCACACCTCTCTTGTTGTCCGTGAGTTTTTGAGTAAAAATTCCATTACGGTGACCGAACACCCCCCTATTCGCCGGATTTGGCCCCGTGTGACTTCTTCTTGTTCCCAAAAACCAAATTGGTACTTCGGGGGCGGCATTTGGGGGACATAAATGAGATAAAAAAAGCTACGACGGGGCAGCTGAGAAACCTACAACCAGAGGACTTTCAAGGAGCCTTCTCACAGTGGAAACGGCGTTGGCACAAGTGCATTATGTCACAGGGGGAGTACTTTGAAGGGGATAAAATTGATTTACCTGAATAATTGTAAAATAAAATTTTTAAAAAACTTTTATACGTACTTTCCGGACAAACCTCGTACATTGCTTTTTGATTCAGACAGCCACAAACCTATCCCTTCCAAGTAACTGGTCGCTTGTGCGAGACTGTCTTTGATATCGTTTTCGGTATTATGAATCTCCTTATTCTCACTGGTTTTATACAGTACAAAGTCATCAGCGTATTGGCTAACAGTTACTTTGTCAATATTTTTACTCATTTCCATAGTAATGATATTGAAAAGCAGTGGTGATAATGGATCTCCTTGCGCGAGACCTTTTCCTGTATAACGTACGAGGCCTTCATTACTTTCATTTGCTATGACTTTACAACGTCTACTAGATAGGAAATTCCATAGATATTTACAAATTTTGCTGCCAATCCCGATTCTTTTCAATATCATTATCATGGAACGAATGTTTACATTATTATAAGCATTATCGATATCTATAAAGCACGCAACAGTTGACTTATTATTCGTAAATCCAACCTGAATATCATTTACTAGTCTGGTAAGGTTGTCTAAACAAGATTGTGCTCGTCTGAATCCCACTGTAGACTGTGGAAAAAGATAGTTATTTTCTACATACCATTCCATCCTTTTCATTAGAATCAAGTGAAATATTTTGCAAGGACAGACCATTAAGGATATAGGCCGTAATGACGAAGGATGGTCAGGATTGCGGCCTGGCTTCAAGATTGGTATTATACTTATATCTCGCCATTGGTGAGGGACTATGCCGGTCTGTAATATCTGATTATATATATGAAGCAGCACAAATTTTCCAGATAGCGGTAGATTATAAAGCATGGAGTATGATATATTATCCATTCCAGGTGATGTGTCTTTACGTTTTAGTAAATTGTTCAACTCAGCTATGCTAATCTCTTGTTCCACGTATCCAGTGGATGCGTTAGGAATACTTGGAGGTTCTTCCGGAACATAATCTGGTGTTATGGAGTAAAGAAGATTTCTAGCATGGGCATTATTCACTGGAGCATTTCCACCATATCCTCCTTTCATCCATCTCATTTTCCTCCACATATCTACGGGTGATGACTGCATGTCTAATTCTGAACAAAATTTAGCCCAACCTTTACATCTTTCTTTTTTTATTAGTTTGCTAGCTTTATATATTTTTTCTTTGTATTGAAGATAATTATCAGGGGTCGGGTTACTTCTTAATTTTGCTAATGCCAGTCTTCTTTCTGCTACTACCCGGGAAAGATTCGAATTCCAATAGGGCTTGGGTTTAAAGCTAGATATAGGGCTGTAATTAATTTTTCTCCATGGAATTGTCTTCTCAGCAACTGACTCCAAGGCATGTATAAATGCATCATAATGTAATTGAATATTATTGAAGGGCGGAAAATTGGTGAAAGCTTCCTCCAATTTATTTTTATAATCTTGCCAATGAGCTTCTTTTAAGTTGCGCTTTTTATAATAGTTACTGGATTTCTCAAATCCATTATCAATTTTAACAATGACATGGTCACTTCCCAAGGATTCGTTTGTTGTATGCCATGTCAGTTTTACTGCAATGTCTGTTGTTGCAAAACAAATATCAGGAGCTGATTGTTGTAAGAAGCCATTAACCATTTTAATTCTTGTCGGGTTACCATCATTCAAACAAATATAATCGTTCTCAAACATAGACTTGTAAATAATATCTCCTCTTCTATCATTTTTGTATGACCACAATGAGTGATGAGCATTCATGTCTCCGACAATAATGGTTTCAGAGCTAAATAACTCAAAGATATAGTCCCAGTCCTGTTGATTAGTATTTGCAGATGGTGGACAATATATAGAAATTATATTTCTTATGTTTGGGACGTTGAGAATTTCAAGAATCAAAATCTCAATTTCAGAGTTAGGAATGTTATAGTTTTTAGGGATTATTTTAATTGAATTATGTGACAGAATACATATGCCACCATATGAGTCACCTCTATCCTGTCTCGTAATGTTATAATTTGGTATTCGGACAGTATCCTCTTCAGGTAGCCAACTTTCAGTTATTGAAGCCAGGTGTATTTTCTCTTGAATTAATAATGCTTCCAAGTTTTTCAATTTAGGTTTTAAACTATTTGCATTCCACTGTATAATTCTTACATTATTTATTTTATTGTGTCTGGTCATTTTGGTTTAGTCCTAGAAGTCGTAATGTTAAATCAAGAATAGGATGACTTTCTAAAAATGTTAATATTTCTTGTAATATATATTTTAAAAAGGTCTCCAATTTACTTTTGAATGTATTATTTGAAAATATGATATCCTTTGTACGTTCTAGAATTCTTTTTATAGGGAATCTTTTCTTCATTTTCTTTTCAACCTCTACTTCAGAGTCATTACTATTATCCATGTAATTTAAGTTATTAGTGTTGTTGGAATCATTGTCTGGGAGCTTATCAAACTGTCCACATATTTTCTTGGATTTCTTTTTACACATTTTCTTTTTCTTGCTCTCATTGATAATAGGTTGTATTGTTTCTTGGTCGCTGCTTATTTCTTTACTTTCTTCATTAATGTAATTTTCCTTCATCCCAGCTACCACGTTAGCATAACTTTTTTTTTGACTGAATACCGGCTCTGAACTTGCATTCTTACTGTTATTTGTGTAAGGTTGAGCCAACAGCCCAGTGTTTCTGTGCATTGCTTTGGCTTCATTAATTTTATTTAGTGCGACTTTATATGTGCAGTTGTTTTCAGTCATGACTTCTCGTATTTCTCGTTCTCTATGAAATGTTGGACATAATGTTTTCACTATTGACATATGGTTACCTTTACAGTTCACACATATGTAGTTTGTTGTTTCACAGTTTTCATGATCTTTGGCACATTTAGGGCATATTTGTATTTTAGATGGACAGTAGTTCTTTATATGACCATATTTCCAACATTTAGAACATTGTGTCACTGGAAAAGTGAAAGGGTCCACCTTAATGCGGCAGCCATATGCATGTACATATGGAGGCAAGACAGAACCTCTGAAACATACCCGAACTGTCTCACTTTTAATCCATTTACCAACCTCGTCTTTTTTGTTCAGTCTTTTTACAGCTAGTATCTCCGTTTCACTTTCTAATATATTTTTAATATCATTTTCTTCCATTTCCATATCTATTTCCCTAATTAACCCATAAGAATAAGTGACCTCACTGGTTTTCCTACAAGCCCAAGCCCTTTTTTCCATATTTTTACAGTTTACAAGAGTGTTTGCAGCCATCTCCGATTTGAACCTAACCAAAACTTTATAGGGGCTTTTATATGTAACTTTTAATATATCTTGAATCTGTTCTGTTTTGAGTATTTTTGCTAAACCTATCTGTTTGGGTAATATATCCTTGGATGTAATTGATACTTCATGCATGTATATATCATTTTTCTTTACAGAGGGTAGGTTCAAATTAATATTGGGTGGTGACTTACTCAAATTTAATTTCTTGCTCCTACTAACAGTAATGAAACCATCTGAATCATCTTCCAAATAGGACTCCCTTCTTACTCTCTTATTTCTAGAACTAACCCTTTCTTCTGTTATCTCTGAATTTATGTCATTACTATCCCATTCCAACTCCGATCCATAAACCACTCTGTGTATGTCTGCTTGAGTGTAAGTATCTTGAGATAGAGACTGTTGTTCTTCTTCTTCATCATCCATCCTTTTATTTTATTAATACACCACTATAATTTCACAAAATATTTCGGAGGTAGATAAAAGTTTTTGTTAAATTCTTCCCAAAATATTTTAAACCACAACTAAATACCACATAATAAATATCACACTATATTATCTTAAAGTTAAAATGACTTTTATGATTATGTAATTTAACTAACTTCAACTTAAAAGTTTAAAAAATATTTAATTATTAGCACACACAAGATTACGTCTATACCTTGCAAATTCTTGACAAGCACTGATATATCAAATTGATCCTATCCATTTATCATTTAACAAATTTTACAGTAATAAATATTACAATTTCTTCACAAAATTAAAATATGAAGTCAGAGGTAAAAGCTAGTATTTATATATTTATGTAACTACAAAAAAATTACCTTTGTCTATGGTTCTTCAAGCTACTTTTAACACTGAATATCTTATCACAGTCTTTACACGGAAACACTTTCCCAACACTACTCGGATCCGTTACTTCCTTAGCATTCATTCTCTCAATAACACGAGCCTCTTTCCTCATGTGCTTACGCTCCTCCTTCTCTCGTGCCATTTCCATCCGTTTCTCATTGGTTAAACCGAATGAATGCCATTTCACATGGATCAAGAATCTTTTACAATGTTTAAATACAAGTTCACAGTGAGGACATTCCAAGTATGCCTCAGTATTTGAACCTGAAACAAATTTTATTGAAATAAGTATTACTGTAAATATGAATGATGCAAAATTCCCAATTTGAATTTAAAATTTACTACACACTAGCTTTTATTTAAGCAGACAGCAAAATTAAAATAGGTATAAGTACAATATTAAAAATTTACCATTTTTTATCATTTCTGTTGCTTCAGCAACACTTATTTCACTTTCAATAATACTGTTGCCTGTTACGTCCTCTTTTGAGACCCCATTTACATCCCGATGATACGGCTGTATGTTGTCCAAATCCACCCAACTCGATAACTGCTCAACTTTCACAGTCACATCAGGTTCGATTTCAATCCGTGTTATATTTACTGTTTCGCCTACATTTATTGATGGTTTCACATCATCCTCTGATTCTGATGACTCCTCTTGTTCCATTTCTGTGGCAGACATATTACCCTCGTCATCAACATCCTCCTGCTCTTCTGAACCTTGTGTATCATTTTCACTGATGTTAGTTTTTGTTATATTCACATTTACTGTTGATTCATCCTGTTTCTCCATGTTATCATTACTTTTCTGATTCAATTTCATTTCTCTATTTTTGGTTGTATTTATTAATATATTTTCAATCAATTTAACCGTGTTCTCTAGACTTTTACGCCTTGTGTTGTCCATTTCGAGACGTTCCTGTGTTTTGACACTTAAATCTATATTGTAATCAACATGTTGCCTGCTGTTGTCATTGTACATAAAACTATTGTAATCATTGTTGAAGCCAGAATGTTTGTGATACGCTTTGGTTGGAACTTGAGGTATGTTAATTGGCGCTTTTCGGTATTGGCTCATATCTTTGTAATCATTGATTGAAGGTCTTTTATCGAAATTGGTGTAACTACCCATGGCTTCAGCTTGATCATTCTGAATATTCAAGTTCATAGGCAACATACCGTTTTGCCAACCAGATTCATGAAGGATATTGCTGTTTGGCGCAATATAACTATTTTGGAAAGGTGGCGAATGATAATTAGGAAACTGATTCATTTGTGGAGCCATATTCATTGGAGCATGTGCGTATGGAGAAAAATTAGGAATGCTGTAACTTCCTGCAGCCGACTGAGGCGTTTGTTGTGGCATTTTACTCAAATTATTTATGTTATGCGACATATTCATCGCACTAATTTGAGACATGTTTAGCGGTGCTCCCATATTTGCTGGCGTGTCATTCGGCCCGTAAGGACCGGTATTATGCAACATGATCACTTTAGCACTATAACAATGGTCTAACACAGTTTAAACGGTTTTATTTCATTAGAATTTACTAAATAAACATGGGCTGGGAAAGCCATTTTGACATTACAATGTACCTACTTAGGTAGGTAAATACCGAAGGTACTATGTTTAATCTATGGCAAATGTAAATACCTATCAAACCAAAATAAAATCCACCAATCCGCCCGTAACAGTATAGCCTAACCATATAATTTTTTTGTTGGAATCTAATGAGTTTCATAAATGGTTAAATAAAAATATATACATATATTTACATATATATTGCTCCATTTAGGATAGATATGGCTTTGCTAGCTTTTTTTATCGATAATGTGCATGATTTAAGCCCTTAACCTATACGAAGAAGAAGTTGACCGTAAATGACCATAGGTATTTTTACAATGACAGTTGTTTAATCTGTGAACCGTTGACATATGACAGTTGAGGTCATTGATGTTTTTTGACGACAATTTGATTTTATTGGATTGGTCGTAAAATTAGTAAATAAATTTGTATTTCTCCTTAATTTGCTCGTCTCACGTCGTTTTGTATTTATTTTTATTTGTTTGTTACCTTACATCTTTGTTGCATTCTCCTATATTGTAGCTAAAAGTATTTTTAATTTAAAAGAATTCCATTCCATTCAGGAAATGGACGTGCGTGTGGCCGAGCTGAGTCATAATTTTAATCAACGCCCTAATGAGTCTCTTTAATGAAGTGTTGTTTAAATAAAAAGTTCATTATTAATTAACTGCTAAATAATAAAACCTACTTTAAAATCCTGAGACAATGGCGTTGAGCGCCGTCGCCGAGGAATACTTTCGCAATCTGAATCCTATCGCTACTAAAATACATGAAGATATCGTTGAAGCGAAAACTTCCTATGAAAATATATGGGAAACGTTAACCGAGAAGGAAAAGGTTTGTGTCAATATACTGGTAATTATTTTAAAAACTGTGAGTATTATGTAGTATGAAGTTAATTCATCCTTACTGTCCAGACATGTGGTGGCGTGGTGAGTCGGGGTATTGAGTTCCCTAAAATATGATTGAATATAATCATGGCTGGCTCATCCTTCATACTCGTGAATTTACAAGAAACAGAGAAATAACACCTGAGTGCTCAGGAATGGCAACGCATGGGGGGTATCATGGGCGAAACAGTATACTCTGTTATGTCCATGGTATTGCTCATGTTTATAGGCGACAGTTACCACTTTCCATCAGGTGGGCCGCTAGCTTGTTTGTCATTCTAAGTTGTATAAAAAAAAACACTTTCCATCAGTTGGGCCGTCAGCTTGTTTGCCATTCCAAGTTGAATAAAAAAAAAACTAAAATTCATAATTTATATTATTAAATTAAAAAAAAAGCAACAATTGAGTTTCCCGCCCATTCTTCTCAGCTGAAATGGCATTCCAAATGGTGGGAAAATAATGTAGAAATGATTATTCAAAATGCTTATATCTATATTTACTTGTATAAAAGTATTTTGTTCTTATAATTTTAGGATTTTTCACATACATTTGTATCTTGTATATGTATTTGACTTGCTTAGTGTGTTATAGGTTATAATCACTACACTATTATAATGTAAGCTAAGGTTAATTAATAATACTGTTATGCAAGATCTAGATATACAGTCCTTAATTGTTTGTGGTGAGAAATAATAATAAATTAATAAAATAAATACTGTTAGAATTTTCAATCTGCTTCAAAGTACTCTACACCTCTAACTGGCCACAACCTAATGTTTCTAAATATTACTACTCTATGATTTGCTATTTAAAACTGTTAGACAACAATAAATCTATACTGTAATTGATACAGGATTTATGAGTTTCATTTTGTTGAAAATTAGCTAAAACTTTAATTAACTTAAATTTCTAGGTGGAAATAATAAATGAATCCATAATAAAGCCGGAGATTGCCCTCAAATATGCTCTACTGGACACATTAGAGTTTGATTTGAATGATCCACCAGTCAGGAAAGATGACCTCATGTCATTTTTTGGTAAAGAGCACGGACAACGACTGATACAGGATGAAAATACATCATATAGGTAAGTGTAATATTTTTTAGGGATTACATAGATAGATCATTCATAGCCCTACAACTACCTGCAATGCCGCTGGTGTTGTGGGTGATCATGGGCGGCGGTAGTCACTTACCATCAGGTGAGCCGCATGCTCGTATGCCCCCTGTGTTGTAAAAAAAAAAAAAAACCTCTTTCAAGAACAGGTTGAAGTTACATTTTCTTTCCCTTGAGTCATAATCTTAATTTTTCATTTTTATAATTGAACTGTCAAACCTTAAAATCATTTAACTAAATTTCTATTGTAGGTAGTATATTCATTTATTTTAACATCTATTGTAAGTAGGTATTATATTTATTTATAGTATATCTATTTATGTAATATTTTATTATATATATTAATAATTTATTGAATATTTGATTATGTACTCTAAATATTAATAGTTGTACCATGTCAGCTACATGCTAACAACATGCTTTCTAACTGCATTGGGTTGACTGGAAGAGATCTCAGTCAGAGATAAGTTCACCTTTGCTCACAATATTTATAAATGCATTAACAATATAATTTACAAGTGCAATAAAAAATATATATCATTAGAAGTCTTGTATTCAAGAAGTAACAAACTGAATTCATGCTCATAGTCTTCAGCTACACACAGTATGTTTAACAACTTATCTTCAATACTCAGACTACAGAATGGGGTACTTCAATAAGGGCATATCAAAGTTTCTTAAGGATCGGCAATGTGCACATGGCATCCCTGGTGGTGCAGGTGTCCATAGGTTACATTAACCCTGTTTACCATCAGACGGGCCGTAAGCTTGTTTGCCACCATAGTTATATAAAAAAAATGCTAAGTGTGCTTCAAGTTATGCATATTTTATATTATAAGGAAATGTAAGTAAAAATTCAAAGAAGCCTATGCATTGTATTTGAAATAAGCCCGGAAGATATAAATAAACTATATTATTGATCCCCAGTTATAAAATTAATTTAACATTCTCCATTATAATTGAGTAGGTATTAAATAATAATCATAAAGCCTTCATTGCTGGAACTATTACATTCTTTTTTTTCCCTTAACCCTACAAATACTAATCTACATATCCAGCTTACTCTTTGATATAGACCTCCTTAAGATCCTTCTTTTTTCCTCTATCTTTCATTAACCTGTACCATAATTTTCCTGCTGTTCTTTTTATATTCTCCTTTCATCCTTTTTTCTGGCATCCTTTCTTTTGTGTACCATATCTTGAATACCAGTCTATGACTGATTTGTCCATGTATTATTTTTTTACTTTATAATATGTATCATGAGTAGGTATTAGCACAACTTTAAGACATATGTATGTACCGTTATTTTTTTTTATTAGAATAGATCAAGGAATCGAGATATGCTTTGTGAGGATAAAGAGAAAAAAGTGAACAGGCCATAGTACAAAATTTACAAAAAAAAATTAAATAAAAAAAATCTACTGATTCAATAGTATAAGATGTATTATTATAGAAATAATCATATTTTTCAAATTATTTAATTATTTTTAACTACCTCATGAGCACAGTCACTTATCTGTAATTATATCTTGTTTTAGGGACGAACACTCAGCCCCTTTCATCTATCAAACCAAAAGTCAACTCGATCTTTGCGTTTTGAGCGAACATCGCTCATCAAAGGACATTAAACCTACATCACCATTGCCTGTTATGTCCGAACTGGCAATGTCTCATTCCAAAGTGGTGTCGGAACTGAAAAACGCGTTAAAATCACACGATGTACTAAAGAATTACAAAGAACAAGACAGTGGGATTACATCGCCAGGTTTTATAAGTAAATTCATAGGAAACTTCAAGAGCAGAGATGAGGAGAAAGAATGTTTGGTGCCTTCGGAAGTGCAGACCCAGATAGTGGCTTCATCAGACAATTTCTTTAGAACAAACTTCAAAAGTCCATCGAGCAATGTGAAGTTTGATAAGGACTACAGGAGCAGCGTTATTAAGTCTAACAGTGGTGAGTATTGTCGATTTTTAATCAACTTCGTGGAAGTAGCAGGTTCAGTTTGTTTGTGTTTTTCACTGTAACTGTCTTTATGATAATATAATATTTCTAAATGCTCCTAAGATGGATACAATCATTATTCAATGTATGGCATATACATTTTAAATCTACAGTATTTTTAATTATATAAACGTTTCTGCAAGCAATTATTTCTTATTTATATTTACCAAAGAGAGGCTTTGTATAAAAGTCGTTTGCTTCGCCACCTCTGTCCCATTCATGTTTCTACTGTGAAGCAGTTGTGTTTGCATGACTGTGTTTTGGTTTGAAATGTGGGATATGGCAGTGAATTTACAGGATACAGAGGAATAAGACCTGAGTCCTCAGAAATGGCAATGCATGGGAGGTATGGCCAAAACAGTATACTAGTATACAGTGGGCTAACTGGCCTGTTTTCATTCTCATCTTTCACCCTTCACTAGTGTTCCGCCAGCGTATCCCATTAGCGCAGGCGGAGTTACCGTTACCATACCATTTTCATCCATAAAAAAAAACCCTATAAGGGACCTAGCGAGAAGATAGCTAAATAATACACATAACAAAACGTGTCTCAATCAATACAGAACGTGCTATATCACTTTGATTACAACTATTGTTTTAATTAGTCACGTATTTAGTACATTTAAGGTAAATATCGGTAATACAATAGATTATGGTCATAGCTCATGCAAGCTTAGGACCGATTAATTTATTGAACATATATTAATCATAATATTTTTTTTTATACAACTTAGAATGGCAAACAAGCTGACGGTCCACCTGATGGAAAGTGGTCACCGTCACCTATACACATGAGCAGTACCATGGACGTAACAGAGTATACTGTAATTGTTGTTTATTATTAAAAGTAGACATAGGTAATGTTGATACCGGAAGGTGGAGGAATTGTTAGTAATGGGGTATAATACCCCCATTACTAGCAATATACCCAACCAGGTCGAGCTCCCTATGGTCCCCCCTAGAAACCATCGTGTTGAATTCCAAGTGTATTCATCACGATGGGCTGACTGACCTGCTTTCATCCTCACCTGTTAACTCTCACTGGTGCCCCACTAGCGTATACCGTTAGCGCAGGTGGGGTTACCATTACATTTTTTTTTTAATTGATGATAATGGAATGGTAAAACTCGCGCTATCGGTATACACCGGCGGGGCATCAGTGAAGGATGATAGGTGAGAATGAAGTAGGTCAGTTAGCCCATCGTGACAAATTCAACTAGAATTGTTCACAATGGTTTCCAGGGGGAACCACGTGGAGGTCGACCTAATAAGGCATATTGCTAACAATGGGGCTGTCAAACTCCATTACTAACAATCCCTTTCCCCCCGTTACCATTACATTATCATTCATTAAAAAAAAAAGCGTTATCACTTTAAGAGTCATTATTGTATGTACATAGTTGATACAGCCAGTCTCGCAACAACTCACTTTATGAATAATTCAACGATATGTCAATTGCAGTAATACACATACATATAGTCATGTCTCACTCACAGATATACAAAGGAAGTGGACTTGTTTATAATGCTTACTAGTAATTATTTGTGACTTTTTTAAGCAACTTTCAAAAATAGAGGTGTTCAGACCAGACAGATTACCAGAGGGAGACTTTGTACAAAAGTCGATTGCTTGGGTACCTCTGTCCCATTCGTGTTTCAACCGTGAAGCAGTTGTGTTTGCATGGTTGTGTTTCGGTTTGAAGGGTGGGATATGGCGTCAATTTACAGGGTACAGAGGAATAACAACTGAGTCCTCAGGAGTGGCAACGCATGGGGGGTATCATGGGCGAAACAGCTCATCAGCTCATGTCTATAGGCGACGGTTACCACTTTCCATCAAGTGGACCGTCAGCTTGTTTGCCATTCTAAGTGGTATAAAAAAAAGTTCAATATGCCTATAATATTATGTAGGTATCATACACAATTATATGGCCAGTTCTGAACTGAACCGATTTTGATGGTTCTTTTTTATGTAAATAGGGTTTACTCTCTTGTTGGTCTTATTTTAGTTTTGTGAGCGTGACACCTTTAAAGTCGCAGTCCAACAGGAAATTATTAGTATTTTTTCAAGCGAGTGAATTTAAATATTATTTCCAAAGAAACATACTTTTTTATGCAACATAGAATGGCAAATAAACTGATGGCCCACCTGATAGAAAATGCTGACCGTCTACGGACATGAATAGTACCATATCACATAACAATTTTCGCCCATGATACCCTTTAACCACGGGCGGACTAACGGGTGGCGGGAGGGGCGGCCCACCCGGACCTATGGTCCTGGGGGCACTCCATTTTCCTCATTCATATATCCATAAGAGGAGTTTTGCCTGTAGTTATCACGCTTTTTAAACGGGTTAGCGACCGCAGTTAAGCTTTTAGTGATGTTTTAATGTTAAGATCGGTTCAATTGTTTAGTTTTTAAATCAAAATAAGTATATACGATTGAAGCTTTTTGTGATACAAAAACTTAATTATTGTATTAAATTTAAAATTAGTTTAACATTATTTCATCTATTATTCCAGATCTATCAGAAGAGAATCGCGGTCTCTTGTCATCAAGCCAGGCATCCTCTGGAACTGAATTCCAATCAACGGAAACATTGACCGACAGCGCACTACCAAAAACAGGTTATGACTTTTTAGACAACTGGTAAATATTGAAACATTTGCACCCGACGTTGGTGCAATCGGCGTATTAAAATCTCAGCTACGGTCGGAAACTTGTCATATTATTTTGTTAAGTTACGTGTCACATATATTAAGTTACATATTTAATTTTCAATTGTGAAAACGCAAAAATCTCGAATTTATATAAAGCAGGTTGTTTCGCATGGTTCCCTATGGGGTTCTCCGCTAAATAATAAGTTATATAGGTGATATTGTAATAAGGAATCTCTTTTTATTGTCAAAATAGATTTTAATGTTATATAATGGAATTGAAACCACGCCTGGGCTATAAGTATACACTGGTGGGGCAACAGTGAGACAAGATTAAACCACGATGGTTTCCAAAGGGGGACCGCTTGGAGTCGATCTGATAGGGTATTGATTTACTACTAACAGTATGTTGCTAGTTGGGATTGTTAGTCCCCATTGCTAACAATTCCTTTTCTCTCTTCAATGTTGTGGTATATCTATTCCTAAAAAATTGATAGTACAGTTCTTAATGAGTACAGATTGTGAAATAGTTCGTGGGTCATTATAAAAGATAATAACAAATTGCAGATAGGTGTACTAGCCACAGATTAGCTAACAGATGTTTTTATAAATCAAGGCAAGGCACTGTTGCATCGTTACGGTGTAACAGAAAAGCTAAATGTACCATATATATAACTTTAATTTCCAATATCGTTGTCAAAAATTAAGTTTTCATATTTTAGTTTACATACAATGGGGTCGACTCTGAGGCGCTAATCTTTCGACGTATTTCTAAAATTTAAATTACAATTTGATATGTCAGCGAAGTCTTTAAAGCTCAATATACATTAAATGTTCAATACATTTAGTAAAAAATATTATAAACTTAGTTTATAATGGATTATAAAGTGCTTTCAAGAAACTGTCAAATTGAAATTTTTTTTTGATGGTTGAAAATAGTATGGTAATCTCGCTTGCGCTAACGGCATACACCGGCGGAGCACCAGTGAGGGGTGATAGATGAGAATGAAAACAGGCCAGTTAGTCCATCATGATGAATTCATCAGGAATTAACCATGATAGTTTCCAGGGGGAATCGCGAGGAGGTCGACCTGGTTGGTAAATTGAAGTATTAATTTTAGAGATGTAATTAGAAAATGGCGCTTCAAAATCTACCACATTTTGATCAGTATCTGCTTTACGGGGAAAGTAGGATCGGGTATTAGGATCCATGCATTAATATCATTTGCGCAGTGCTGCTAGACGGGAGTACATCAACCAGCAGTCGGTAAACATGGCGCCCCCGGGGGTGACAAAAGGCTAAAGCCGGCCCTGGTTTTAGTTTTCCTATCACCTGTATCGTGGCGACACTACCATGTCATGCTACGCTATTACAAAAACGCTTAATTACGCCGTGAAAGTGGCAGAATAGTTTGTATGAAAATTGCGTGTGATTTTCAATGTTCAATGAACTCACGGTAGGTTGAAACTGCGCTAGTAGACGATTCCTATGTAATGATATAAGCGAGTCGGCACTCGGCGCGCGTTCACGAGAAACTAATTCTATTGAATGTAAACTGTGTATTAATTTTATTGGTTAAAATCTTATATTAAAATAGAAACTATTGTAGTATTTTAATGTAATAACTACCGATTTAATTTACGTGTAATTAGATCGAAAAGACTCGACTAGTTTCGGAACCAATCCGCGATCCTTAGTCATGATAATTTTTATAGGGTACAGAGGAATAACACCTAAGTCCTCAGGAATGGCAACGCATGGGGGGTATCATGAACGAAACAGTATGTGTGTGTACTGTTATGTCCGTGGTACTGCTCATGTCTATAGGCGACGGTTACCACTTTCCATTATGTGGGCCGTCAGCTTGATTGCCATTCTAAGTCGTATAAAAAAAAATGAGCGATTTACCGTGTCAGACTCGTGCTCGCGTCACAGTCGCGCATGACTAAGGATCACGGATTGATTTCGAAACCAGTCGAGCTTTGTCAATCAACACCTTTTCTTTTGACAATGCAACACCTTTTCTACAATGTTTCTAGCAAATAAATTTCATTTCATTTAAAAAAAAATCTAATTATACTTAAATTAAACAGGTAATTATTGTATTATTGTTGTTTTGCCTTGTGTTAATTTTTTAACGATATCTATACACATTCACAGCGGGAATTTTGTGAACTTACTGTGTTTGTCGTTCCCGACAATTGTCTGGACTTCATTCGCAAAATCTTCAGAGAGGCGTATAGCGTTGTATCAGTGTCTCGCCTCGCATTCTTGTATAAGAGAGTCATAAGTTCATAAAATTCCCGTTATGCATGTGTATATATTATTGCAGTATTTGTCTTGTATTCACTCTTGCGCCAACCCGCCCACTTCTATCTGTTCTCCTTTAACCAAAAGTTGTCTGTAAGAGATTGCCCTAGCGATAAGACCGCCTTTTGTACCTTTATGTGTATATTTCAATCTGTATTCATGTTACTGTATTTCACTTGAATTAATCACTTGTCATTGTATATTTTTATTTATGGTGCAATAAAGAATTAAATAAATAAATAAATATAATCCGCACCAATTTAAGGCAAATGTGAATAGGTTATTCCGTTGCCCGCGAGCGCCATCTTAGGCCAGATCATTGCTTTTTAACAGGTGAGAGACGTAATCAATCGCTGGAGTCTTCAATAATAATAAAAAAAAAATGTATACTAATTGTGTGATTGTTTATGGTTGGTTGCTTTTGTTCTGTGTATTTATTAAATGGTGTAACATCCAATTATCGATCGATTAAGTTAATGAAACTTTAGTATTAGTTTTTTTTGCCAAAAATCAAATATATTTGTCGGTTCCTTTTGTGATAATAGTAAATCTCATGTTGGAAGACTGCTTTTGTATTTTCTTATACTTATAAAAATCAATTTGTAAGCTAATTAGAAATGATTTGCTACCATAATTATCGTAGAGTTCGAAGTAATAAAGACTTTGTATCTCATAATTGGTTTTGATTGAAAACCCAAGTGTTTCTCAATAAATACACTGTAAGTACATTATTTTATTGATAAAGAATCGTAGTTCAAGTTTTAAGAACATTTTTGGAAATATGAAGATAACATTTTTAATTAAAAAAAATGACGTTTAGCATTACGAAAATGCTTATAATTCCGAATAATGATTTTATAATTATATTAAATCCAAAGTTTACGAATTGTCAACGCTCCTTTAATGGCATTATAGTAAACGACTTAGATAGTAGAAGTAACGGATTTGTACTCTATCTGAGGTATCTTTTATATGTACTTGCGATTTTTTTTTTGTTTTTATACAACGAACAGAAATTTGCATGCATTTATGTATTTCAATGTAAATTGTAAGATGTATTAGTTAACCAAATATAGTTTTATTGTATATATATATATATTTTTTCATTTATTCTTTACAACCTATCCGTCATGTGTATTTAAAGGGGGTGAGGGGGCGTGACTTCCTGTAACACATTTTTAGTCAGTGACTACACCCACCAGAGAGAAGCAGGTAATATGGTCCAAACGTGATGGTTGCCATCACAGCAATTTATACAGTGTTGGCGATTGACAGCCACAAATGTATCTCTTCACGTCCCGTTCTTCAAATGCCGCAGAATTATAGGTAAGAGGAAACGTGTCCAGGAAGAGAATCCTTATTGTATATATTTTTATTTTTTTAATTCCATACACTACTCCGTTGGATTTTAAATCACATTTATTTGAATTTTTCAAATAAAACAATGTTATTTTATTAACAGTTTATTATAACAGATCGAAAAACATTAAAAAAAAAACCATTTTCTGAAAAATTACACTTAAAATTAACAATGTAACGATTTTTTTTTGACACACATTATCAAGGATCAGACTGCATCGTAGGACATTGTAAGAAATATTTTTATATATTCATATATATTATTTAAGCGTACGGTTTGGTCAGCCGTAATCAGCGCTTTATTTGAAAGACTTGGTTCTATTTTTTATATATTTAATAACCAGTGATGATCATGCCCTTCTCGACGGTGTCGGCCTTTTCCTTGCCAGTCAGCAGCTCGATCAGCTTCAGCCCAAACCAGTACGCTGTACCGGGGCCCTGGAATCGTTAGTAAAAGTATAAATGAGTCATCTGACAAAAAGAATCCTGATTGTAGAAAAACATTCTGACACAAAAGTTCTTACATTCTCCTGTACCACCCAGTTTTTTTTTTTTTTTTATACAACTTAGAATGGCAAACAAGCTAACTGCCCACCTGATGGAAAGTCGTAACCGTCGCCTATAGACATAAGCAGTACCATGGACGTAACAGAGTATACTGTTTCGCCCATGATACCCCCCATGCATTGCCATTCCTGAGGACTCATGTGTTATTCCTCTGTACTCAGTAAATTTACGCCATATCCCACCCTTCAAACCGAAACACAGCCATACAAACACAACTGCTTCACGGTTGAAACACGAATGGGACAGAGGTACCCAAGCAATCGACTTTTGTACAAAGTCTCTCTCTGGTAAAGTTTTGAGCATTTTATGTGGTGTCTTTTTTAATTTTTTATACAGAATGTCCATGGTACCTCTCATGTATTGCCATTCTTGAGAGCTAGGGTGTTATGGCTCTGTACTCTAATTCCATTGTCATTTTCTATGCTCAAAAACTGAAACTATACAAGAACCCCATTCTGACATTTTTTATCTAATACCTTTAAATGAGCAATTGCTTACAGTCCTACAACTGATTGCAAGTTGGATAAATCCTAATAAGAAAAAAAAAACAATAATTAATATAACATAATAATTAATATTAAGGATTCTTGTCTTCTAACATATGCATGCCAAACATGGATCTACACTGAAAAAATAAAAGACACTCCTATCATGTCAGCATGCGATAGAAAGAAGTATCTTAAAGCTAAGAAGAATACAGAAAACAAGAAAGGAAGTTTAGGAAGAAAACCAAAATAACAGATGATCTTCAGTACAGTATGAAATACAAGTCGAGATGGGCAGGCCATATAGAGATGTACAAAGATAAAAAGTGGTCTCTTCAAACGACAAAATGGCGAGGTCCAGCAGGAAAAAAGTGGACAAATATTGCTATAGATAAGAAGTGGAAAAAGATGGAGGATTTTACCATTGGGGACCACTGAAGTGGAGAAAAAGCTATAACAATAACATTATAAGTATTTATATCAACTTTATTGACACAATAATTAGACGAGCAACCCCATAGTTGAAAAATAGGCCCTGTTAGAGAGTGCAGGCTTATTTTTAATTTGATTTCTTCCAGTTAACTCTATAATATTGACAGTTAGTTTAGTTTAGTTAGTTTTAGTTTGCTTGAATCAAAATTAGAAATAATTTTGATTCAAGCAAACTAAATTAAATAGTAATATTTTAAGAAATCTATTATTCTATTCGGAATAGATATAGGAGATTAATACCTTAACTGGGGGAGAAATGGATTGATAGTAATGGGGGCAAATAAGTACCATTATTAGCCCTGTCAGGTCGACCTCCACGTGGTTACCCCTGAAAACCATTGTGGCTAATTCTAGTTGAATTCGTCAGGACGGACTAACTGACCTGTTTTCATCCTCATCAGTCATCTATCACTGGTGCCTTGCTAGCGTATCCCGATAGCGCGGGCGGGGTTACCATTCCAATATCATCCATTAAAAAAAAACTCACCCTGCTGGTCACAATGTTGCCGTCGACGACCACCCGCTCGCCCTCCACGTACTGGTAGCCGCCGGCCGCCCCGGCAATCTTGTCCTTGGTTGTGGGGTATGACGTCACGCGCTTGCCTTGCGCCACCCCGTGGGCAACGAACGCGGTCGGCGCTGGAAACAAATAATAATGTTATGTCCATGGTACTGCTCATATCTATAGTCGACAGTTACCACTTTCCATCAGGTGGGCCGTCAGCTTGCCTTTGCCATTATAAGTTGTATAAAAAAAATTAGCCTTTAGAGTCACTTGATTAAGAAAAACAAACATCATCCTCTGTCGCCTGTCAAATTGTTTTAACCAACTTAAAAAAGGTTAAATTGTATTTTTTTATGTTAACCTAGCATTTGCTCGCAATTTCATATACATTCATACTACTTCTATATGCCTTATTATTTAAGTTAGACTTACAGGATTGTAACTACAAAAACCAGGGGGGAAAGGGATTGTTAGTAATGAAGACTGAGAATCCCATTGTTAGCAAATACCCAACCAGGTCGACCTCCTCGCGGCTCCCCCTGGAAACTATCATGATTAATTCCAGATGAATTCATCATGATGGGCTATTTGGCCTGATTTCATCCTCATCGATCACCATTCACTGGTGCCCTGCCAGCGTATCCTGTTAGCGCAAATGGGCTTTCCATTTTCATAAAAAAAAAAAACTATAAAAACCATATCCAATTTGGCGCAATAGTTTTTGCGTCATGCCCGAACAAAGATATAAACAGATGAAAAATCATTGTTCTAGCTTCTATTGCTCTCTATTGTAACTCTGCCTACATAAGAATGATGAAGTTTGGTCAGCTGGTCTATGTCAAATTCACAAGAAATTTAAAAAGATGGTCTCCAAGAACAACCGGACAGAGGTCTACCTAATATAGAGTACATTGCTAGCAATGGAGCTGCCCCCAATATCAACAATACCCTTATGTTCCAATCAGTGCCTAGTTATGCTAAAATTACAAACATGTTAATGCAAAACTATTGGCCAACACTCACCAGCGCAAATAGCGGCAACAATTTTGCCAGCCTTCTCGTGTTCTTTCAGAAGTGTACCTACGACGCTGGACTTGGAGAGCCGATCTGACCCCTCCAGGCCTCCTGGGAGAATGACCTATATCACAAATATATAAATGTTAAAGGTTTACACAGATGAAGGGTGTTTTGCCCATGGAGGGCAAATTTTATATTGTGTAAATTGCATATTTACACAAATATAATATCGTTATAGCAAAAAATTTAAACACCGAGGATTATCAATGTAACGATGTGGTTTTAAGTCTTTGACCATCTAGCCCTCCTGGGCAGAGTTGTTGATGACGCCTCCATTAATGACTAAACAAAAAACCAAGTCTGTATCCACTGGTATTGATGGGAAAAAAGACCATCAGAGATCCACACTGTCCACTTTAATGTGAAATTTGATGTGCTCCATTACTGATCGTATCTTTGCGTGATAGAATCCGAAACGAGGATATCCGCAAAAGAACCAAAATAACCGACATAGCCGGAAGGATAAGCAAGTTGAAGTGGCAATGGGCTGGACACATAGCTCGAAGAACCAACCACCGATGGGGAAGAACGGTTCTTGAGTGGTGACCACGTACGGGTAAACGCAGTGTAGGACGACCCCACTAGATGGAGTGACGATTTAAAATGCATTGCAGGGATTCAGTGGATGCAGGTTGCTCAGGACTATTCTTTATGACAGTCTATGGGGAGGCTTATGTCCAGCAGTGGACATATAATGGCTGAAATGATGATGATGATTACTGATCATATGACGCATCTCTCCCCTCAGCACCCCTGGATTTCGGTGTACCCAATCGTCTCCCAACTGTATACTGTCTGTGCAGGGGATAATTTATTTCAAACAAAAATAATAAAAGAGAAAAGAACTCACAGCATCATATTGAGGGTTTGCCGCCAATGCATCGGCCAGTGACTTGTCAGGGACTACCGTCACCTGCCTGGAGCACAACACTGGGCTGTTGCCGTCCAAACCTGCTAATGTTACAGTTACCTGCAACCAATATTATTTAAGCATTATCCAACATACACTACTTTTTTTGTGTACGAATTTCTTTTAACGACGGCAATAATAAAAAGTGCCGTGTGGTCCCGGCATAGAATGGGCTACCCCTTCCTTTCCCATGGATGTCGGAAGAGGAGACTAAGGGAATTTAACGGTCTAAGAAAAAAGTGTCACCCCTAACCGTGGTTGCCAATCCGCTTGCCAAGCATAGCATAGTAACTCCCCCCCCCCTTCCCCTTACAGTTAAGGGCTGCTAAGGGCTGACATAATGATCATATCAGCAGTTAACTATCCACTGCTGAACATAAATCTCCCCCTTAGGGGGGGTTTTGCCAGTAGTTGCCATGCTTGGCAGGCGGGTTGGCAACCGCACTTAGGTCTTGGTGATGATTTAAAAAGGATGCTGCTACTCATTCCTTGACTAATAAATTCCCTTACTCACACAACATCTGACATAATAATTAAAAATATAGAAAAGATGTGAAACTCTTAAAAGATATTTTGGAAAGGTGGGATATGGCAGCGAGTTTACAGGGCACAGAGGAATAACACCCGAGTCCTCAGAAATGCCAACGCATAGGGTTATCATGGGAGAAACAATTTACTCTGTTATGTCACTTTATCATATATGTATGTTACTTTATCACCACCAGCACCCAGTACTTCATCACCACTAATTGGTTAAACAACTGTATATGGTTGTGTACAACAACAATAATAAGAATACAAGAGAACATTACAAGGAACTTACCCCACCCCTCCGTAGCATGTCCACCGTGATGATGGTCTCCATCTCTTCAGCACCTTGGGCTAGGATCACCAGTGCAGACTTCGACATTGTTAATGTTGTAGCTATTGATCTATAATTTATTAACATAAAATATGGATATAAATTGTATATAAAATAACTATAAAATAAATAGAAAAAACAGTGATATATTACTAAGTATTTGATATGCTTCCATTCTTGTATGTGAACACACACTTAACATGGCTTCTTGGAGAAGAATTATGGAGATTACATCATACATTTTATGGTAAGGAAACACTTATTAATATCATGAATTATGAATAACAATGCAGTTGATTCTGAAGCACTAGTCTTAAAAATTAAATTTAAAATTGATGTCACATTGATATATTTTATGCTTAAATGTTTAGAACCAAAATACACTGAATTCCTAATAGATATAAAACAAAATTCTTATAAATTTATTATTATCTGTATGATGTACTGTTAATGTTTGTAATTTGTCTACTAACTTATTAAATAAATATTAACTATTAATCCAAATATTATAAAAGTGAAAATTAGTTTGTTTGTTACCTTATAGCACATTAACAGCTTAAGCAATCACTATGAAATTTGGTATACACATACTATATGGGATAGAGGGCCTACCATGAAATGTTGTCCGAAATTTCGGAGTTGGCTCCGTGTTTTGTTTGGACAAAACACAAATTTGATGTTAAAATTACATAACAAATGCCATCTGGAAATATTAAAAATGTTAAAATATCGTTCCTTTGGACTTTTATGATAGGATGTATGATGAACGAACTGTTAAACTTCATTTATTGGTCCGAACTTGGTATAAACAAAAACACGAAATTGAAAATTTGAAATTTCATGGTAGACCTGCTGGTCACATGGACAAAGACAGGAGTAAAAGGTAGTAATCCATAAAACAGTAATTCTAGGAAGCTATCAAATTAAAATAGTAAATTAAAAAAATGGTGCCTCAAATCCAGCTCATAAATTAAATCCTTGGATATTAAATTTAAGCAATAATAACTGAATATATTTTAATATAAAATATGGTGTATAGATACACCATAATTGTATATAAACATTTAATACTTTTAATTCCAATGTACATAGGTAAATATGTATGACATAACTACTTTTAAATAAGACATTATTTAAAAACCCATATTTAGCTAGACTATAGTGTGCAGGGTTTTTTATAGGTGAAAATGGTGGTATAACAATGGTGGAGCACCAGTGAGGATAAAGACAAGTCAGTTGGTTCATCATGACAAATTTAGCTAAAATTAACTAAGACAGTTTTCCAGAGGAAACTGTAAAGAGGTTTTTTTTTATGGAATGGTATGTTTGCCTGCGTTGACAGTTTACACTGTCGGGTCATCAGTGAGGGATGATAGGTGAGAATGAAAAGGCAGGTCAGTTAAGTCACTGTGATGAATATACCTGGATTCCAACACAATCATTTCCAGGGAGGACCATGTAGAGGTTTTTTTTTTTATAATACTGAGGTGGCAAACAAGCATACCGCCCCCCTGATGGTAAGTGGTTACCGTAGCCTATGAACACCTACAATACCCGAGGCATTATGCGTGCATTGTCGACCGGTTGACTTGACAGGGTATATTGCTAGCAATGAGACTGCTAGTTTGCATTACTAACAATCTCTTCCCCCCAACTGCATGGAGGTCAACTCGATGATGTAATGTGTAGAAAGCTCACTTTCAGTCTCAGTCTACTTAAATAGTATCAATGCATAGGAGGAGAATGGATCGTTAGGAATGGTGACTAAAAACGTCATTGCTAGCAATATTACTTTTTAGGTTGACTTTCCCATAGCCCTCCTAAAAACCACTGTGCTGCATATTCCAGTATATTCATCAAAATGGGCTTACTGACTTTTTACTTTCAATATCATCCGATACTGGTGCTCCAATTGTGTATACCGTAGGTGATAGGCAAGGTTACCATTTCATTATCAATTATTACAGTACCAATGCATAGTTGAAAACATAGGTACTTACATAATACTTTAGTTTTAGCTAAAGTGATCATAGTTTGCTTTAAATTTACTGCTGCGATATCAAAAGAGCAGTTTTTTGGCGATGAAAATTAAATTTAGGTTAAGTGAAAATGACGATGTAATAAAGAATCACTTTTTATATAATGGTCAGTGAATAGAGGCGGTTAGAGGCGGTTTATTACAATCTTGGAAATAATCTATTTGCTCGGAAGAGGCTCTGACATCAACAAAGACAATCACTAATTTACGCCGGCAAAATTTTCTTATAAGTTAATGTAATAAATATTAACAGTATTAGAGCGTTTCAATTTACCTTGTATTAAAAAAAAGATATTTAGAAAATCGGCTTCGGATAAAATATTTTGAAGATATTTTTCCTGGTCCAGTAAAAATAATTCTAGAAAGAAACATGAAAATTGACAAGAGCGGACAAGTCTCCAATAACAAAACATAAATATTGAAAAAAAAAACTGACAACAAACATAATGGGCACATAGATGATCAAGCAAGTACCTAAAGCAAGTTAGTACTTGCCTAATAACATCAATCCTGAATATCTACTTACCCAAATAAATAAGTAGTGCTGCTTTTAGATAAAAGATAGCTATATCTCTAAATTTCTGTTTAGCGAATTACAATAAATATTTGCTATTTCAAGTAGCCCGTATGTGGAACTTATTTATTATTTTTTGCAGTACAGGGTTAAATAATGGTGTCGATTCTGAAGTGCCATTTCTCTAAACTTATTTCTAAAATTAAATTTGATATCACAGCTAAATTTTAATTCTAAGGATAATTATTAAGGATAAGAATTCATAATGAACTAAATTTGTATTACATTTAAGAAAAAATTATTATAAGTTTAGTTTATGGTGGTCCATAAAACAATAATTTGTGAAATTATCAAATTAAAATATCAAGTTAAAATATAAGATTACTGGAATAGCGCCTCAGAATCAACTCCATTGTCTATAGTTTTGATAGCTTCCTTCCTTTCATTTATCTTTCCTTTCTTTCTTTCGCTTTTTAACGTCAAGTGAACAGAATTTTAATTTTTTTGTACATGTTTATTGTTACGATTTATTGTAACGACCACCTAGTACAACATGTAATTTAAAAACTTCTTATATATATTTTTTCCTCCTCATACTGTAATGCAAGTTTATAGTTAACTCAATTTGAATTGTAAATAATGTATGTTAGGTTATGTGCAGAACGTTACAGGATGGATTTTTTTTTATTAAAATAAGTTTATGCGATAAGAGAAGTCACATCATTATAATATAATGGATTTCGTGAAGAGAGAAGATCAACACGTCCTTGACGAAGAAAATTATAAAGCTTCAAAATATGCGGATATTGTGAGTTCTTTGTTATATTTTTTATTTATGTAAAGCAAAAGCACTTGCGCTTTCGTTCCGATTTGTTTTATCAACGTTTTTTCATTATATTTTTAAAATTTATAATTAAAAAATACCTTATTAATACTACATACGTAAAAAATATATCTATTTGGGGAGAAGTAATGAACATTATTCAAGTTTTTTTATGAATACTTATAAATAATATTGTAGTGGTTGCAGGCTGCATACAGGGCTATGTACCTACACAATTATTTCTGTATGTAATTATATTAGTATTAATTTACATTAAGTTTTTTATGCATCTTGGATTTGCAAACAGACATAGTATTTTAACCTAAGGGTTATTAATTATAATTGATTATTTTTAAGTAGATATTACAACTTAGTTTTTTACCAAATTTTTTAGTGTTTTTATTAAACTGTTAATTTCATAAAATGTCCATTGGATGGATGTGATTGATTGTGGATATTATATTTTCAATCAACTTCTAAAAAAAAAGAGGGGTTTTTTAATTTGGTTGTATTTGTTTATGTTTGTTACCACAGAACTTAGTCATTTATAAATTGATTTAAAAAATCTTTTAATTTGAAAAGATATACTTTTAGATTAGTTCTGTAGAAATTTTATTGAAACTGATTTAGTAGTTTTTTTTTTTAAATTGAAATAACTGATTTGCCATGATTTATATCTGTATTTTTTTTTATTAATACAAACAACATTTACAAAATAATTAACAACAATACACATTACAGTTTTAGAACAATAGGCCTAACAGTGCCAATAACAGTATTTTTAAAACATAGAGATAATTATTTATGAAGTCCCATGGAAACACGCATGAAATTTAGCAACAAAATAATCATTATTATGTAGTGACTTTAAAATGATGGAGGTTCTGAAATTATTTATTTATTTATTAATACTTTATTGCACACAATGTAATCTACATTAATACAAATTACTTATATTTTATGTTGCCACCAAATTTATCTTTGTAACTCTATGCTCAATATAATTTATTCCTACAGTCATATTTTATTAATATAATTTTAATTTTAACAATAAAAATAAAATTTTATTTAAGATAATTATTTAAAAGTCGAAGTCCCATTCGTGTTTCTACCGTGAAGCAGTTGTGTTTGCATGGCTGTGTTTCGGTTTGAAGGATGGGATATGGCGTGAATTTACTGGGTACAGAGGAATAACATCTGAGTCCTATTGGCATGTATCATGAAACAGTATGTGTGTGTACTTTATGTCCATGGTATTTTTATTGGTGAGACACTTTCCATCAGGTGGGCCCTCAGCTTGTTTGTCATTCTAAGTTGTATAAAAAAAAAAAGTTATTATTTATAACAAAATTGATAAGCTTGGAAAAAAAAAACAAGGCACACCAATTACTGGAATAACATTAAACATATCTCTTTATTAATTTTTGTGTACATTTGTTATTATTATTATTACAGGCAGTATCAGTATATATTTTTACTGAATTACACAATTACATATCTAACTCATTGTAAATATTTTTTTACTTTAACTTTCAGCTCCAGAAACCCTTTCAATTAGAGGCACCTGACCAGCACACACCAATATCCATGGAACAGCTTCATCAAGTCATGCAAACATCACTGAACACCTCCTTAGTTCACAATTTCCAACTACCCTTATCACCACGACAAATGTCCACACTGATGCTTAAAACTAACCATTTAGGCAGAAACTTAAATTTCAACGAAATACCAGGATATCTACAACGGAATTTTCCCGAGGTTGATCTGGTTCACAATTTAGCCAACGAGCTGCCACAGAACTTGAGACATGAAGATTTAATCATAAATAGAAATTTAGATATATCATTGGCAAGAAATTTGTCAAACGAATTGGAATTACAGAATGGTTTGGCGCAAACGTTGGTGCAAAATTTAAATGAACAAGACTTGAGGATTAGTGAGGTTTTGCAGCAGAATATGCGACATGAGATACCACATGACTTGAATCATGAATTAGATCTGTCCCACCATTTAAATCGGAATATTGATCCAGAAATATTAGTTCAGGAATCGAGAAGAACACCCATAGTGCAGTGTGCTCAAGATAGTCAGTTATTGGAGCAAAATTTCTCTCAAGCATTAGAACAGAATTTGGCGCAACGATTGGATCACAATTTAGTTCAAAGATTGGATCAAAATTTGGCTCAAAGGTTGGACCAAAATTTGGCCCAACGCCTAGAACAGAATTTGGCACAACGATTTGATCAAAATTTGGTTCAACGATTGGATCAAACACTAGTTCAGAGGTTGGACCAAGCTATAGCCCATAGAATAGGACAAAGACTGGTGGTCACTGGAAATGTTCATGAAGACCAAAATGTAGATGGTGACCATTTATTGCCAATGCCATTCCAAATAAAGTCAGAACAAGAGGATGACAGTTATTTTTATGATAATATGAGTCAGGGGTTGCCAAATGTAAATGGATTGAATGGTAAGTTATATTTTTAATTAGGTATTAAGTAATTAAATTAATCATTTTCACATTCAACTGAATGTTGCCAATTACCTCATCAAAAAAATACTATTAGTTGACAATTAATTGACCAGAGGGAGATTTTGTACAAAAGTCGATTGCTTGGGTACCTCTGTCCCATTCGTGTTTCAACCGTGAAGCAGTTGTGTTTGCATGGCTGTGTTTCGGTTTGAAGGGTGGGATATGGCGTGAATTTACTGGGTACAGAGGAATAACACCTGAATCCTCAGGAATGCAATGCATGAAGGGTATCATTGGCGACACAGTATACTCTGTTATGTCCATGGTACTGCTCATGTCTATAGGCGACGGTTACCACTTTCCATCAGGTGGGCCGTCAGCTTGTTTGCCATTCTAAGTTGTATAAAAAAAAAAAAAAATTTGGAATTTTTTTTAATGATATTAGTCCTGATGGGAGCACATCATTTATATATATATATATATATTATAAAATAACTATGAGTATGTAATCTTATATAGTAGAAGGAATACACAATTTTCTATATATTATATAATGTATCTATAGATCTTCACACCTGATCTCTTGCAGGGTGAACAGAGTAGAATAGTGCTAAAACCCTTTATACCATATATAAGACTGCCTCTATTTGAATCTTACCCTATTTGCCTTCATAACTGACTGCATACATACTGCAGCTAAAGGCCTGCAACTTCTGCCCTGGACAGTACATCTTAGTTTGGTTTCATTATGATAGGTCAAGGGATAGCGAGAGGTGGGCAGAAGCATCCCTCTTAAAACATCTCTAAAGCCTAACTGCGGTTGCCAATCCGCCTGGCAAGCGTGGCAAGTACTGACAAAACCCCCCAATGGGGAAGGCTGACATGATGATACAAAATTTCATAGCAATTTGTTAAGCTGAGATGTTAAAAGGTAACAAATAAATTAAGTCTCACATTTATAATATTAATAAGAATGATTCGTCATCCTTGACTTCATTATACTGTTATAAAACAAAATCATCAGCATCCTTTTAAATCAGTGTCCTGCAGGTGAGACTGTACATTTAATCATTAGAAAATACTAGTTTATATATCCATAACTAAATCGTGTTCACGGAATATGTTCATTAACAAAGCTAAAAAGTAGTCTATAACCTTCACACACATATCTATCTATCCTATTTAAGAGCTGCACTTTTGTCGGTGGAGCTCTTGCCACTCACTATGATTTTCAGCGAGTCTCTTCACCTCTTGATACGACACGACACCAACTCCTTCCTTGATCTGCCTTTTGTAACTATGCCTCGGTCTCCCTCTCCCCCTCCTTCCTTCTATCTTACCTTCTATTATAATGTTCATAAGTTCGTCGTGTCGTATCAAGTGTCCCAACATTTTTCCCCTTCTGTCCTCAATAGTTCTAATAATTTTTTCTTAACCCTAAACTAAGACTCATTACGAATTCGATCCCTCCAGCTAATTTTCTCCATCCTTCAATTTTCCACATATATACATATATATTAAATTTCATAGTAACAGATTAAGCTGTTAAAGCTTTATAATGTAACAAACAAACAAACTCACTTTTATATTAAGGATCACATAAGAATAAAAAATCGAAATACAACAAACGATTTTGAGTCCTAATACGCCGCGTGCAGCACTCAAATTTTTATGGGAATGTCGTAGATTTATTTAATTTTTTTTTTTAATTTTTGTCTAAAAAATATCAGTATTGGTAATTTGCTTAGAAATATTCAATTTCATTAATAGAAGACTCTATCAGCTTATATTTGTCACTGAACCAGCATACCATTTCTCATTATTACACCGACACTTTCAAAGCATTTTACACTCACGTTATTGCATATTTGCAAAAAAAAAAAAATCATATATAATTAAGTGGTATACCTTGACTTCACTATATTTGTGGTATGCACGTGAATTAGCATTCCTGTCATACACAATTGTCAACTATTCAAATAAAGTTACCTCTGACCTATTGAATTACAAAGCAATCGACCTTGCCCCCTAGTTTTGCTATTGAAAATGATGATATAATATTTTTAATACACAAAAAAGCTAGCTTGAATTTTAATTGCATTATAAAAAACAATGCTTGCATCCGTCTGTCCGTTTGATTTGATTTTATTACGGTTTTTACCATCGTTTAGTTAATTTATCGGGAAAATGTGAAGTAATCAATTTAAATTTGCACATTTATTGAGAATTATAATTCTTAATTTAAATAAATTTAAATAAAATGTGAATTTAATTAAATATAATTCAACTATTTTATCCGGTAAATAATGTTCTATCCTTTACCGCCGCCTGGCGCGTCCATTTGTTTCTTATCGTGGCAAAAACTTCTCTCTTAAGTCGGAACAAACAATACATATTTACAAAATGTCTAACTTTTGACATAATTAGTTTAAAAAAAAAATACACTGATTAGATGTCAAATATGAGGAAAGTTAATTTTTATAATATTTAAAATTAGAACAGTTTAGGCGCTACGGTAGAATGTATGTAATAAACATACTGCTAAAACATAACTCTTAGATTGTCTTTGCATTAGTCAAATAAAAAAAAAATACCTCCATCTTTTTTGAGTCTATTAAAAAGGTTACACCACACCTAGTTGTGATGCAATAGATGTTTGTATCATAGACAAGTGACTTTTTAACCTTTCCTTGTCAATATATAATAGATAAAGGTTAATAGAATCAGCTGTAAGTTCACGTGTTTACTTTCGTAGATTATATGTTGGGTACTAGAGAGCTGGCTTTGTATATTATCACGCTAGCTTCTTCACGTGATAGGCAGAAAATAGATCGCCGAGGTGTGATATAACTTAGAAACAAACAAACAAGCTGACGGCCCATCTGATGGAAAGTGGTAACCGTCGCCTATAGACATGAGCAGTGTCATGGACATAACAGAATATACTGTGTCGCCAATGATACCCTTCATGCATTGCTATTCCTGAGGACTCAGGTGTTATGCCTTTACCTTGTAATATCACTGCCATATCCCACCCTTAAAATCGAAACATAGCCATGCATACGACTGCTTCACGGCAGAAACACCTGAGTCCTCAGGAATGGCAACGCATAGGGGGTATCATACTTATATTTTTATGTATTTGTGTACACATACACAAATACATAAAAATATATAAATACTGTTCACATGTATATGTAAAACACTTATAAATTTATTTAGATGTCTGAAGAAATAAGTATGCTTACCAGACATATAAACATATTAAGAAGATGACAACTTGCTCAAATAAAAATCCTTAAGTTTCGTTTTAAAACTAGCCAGACATTTTATCTTTTGTTTCAGGCCAAGTGCATTCAGATACAGCTCAGGGGAGTCAAGCCATACACCAAGATAGTCAAATATATGCAGTATATAATAACCAAATACAAAATGTGCCCGCTTTGAACGCGACAGATTTATATTCTCGACCTCAAAATTACGCACAAAACTATATTACAAATGTGACTCGAGACAATCCTCAGAATCTAGTCGTCAATAGACAATTCGAAAACGGGAGCCCTTACGAGGAGGAGTTGAAAAAAACGCGCCAAAACGAAAATGGCGGGAAAAATGACAGTACGAAAATTGAAGAGCCAAAGGAAAATTTGAAACCAACAGACCAAAACAAAATATTTTACGCAGAATACAATCCGAACGCGCAATACACGGATAATAACGAAAAAAACGAGAACGATTCCAGTGTCCAAAATAAATTGTCTACGGAAGATTTGTCTATGGATATTATTAAAGGTGAGTACACATGTTACAAATGCAACGTTATATTCCCATCTAAAAGGCTTTTGAAGCAACATTCGAAAAACTGTTTGGAGGATAGCGAGCAGAGTGAGAAATTAGGTAAATTCGGTTGTTCCCAATGTTCTTATAGATGCCAATCTCCCGCCATATTGAAAATCCACGAACGCACACATACAGGCGAGAAGCCATTTTCGTGTACTTTCTGTCCTTACAAGTCGGGCCAAAAAAATAATGTAGCTAAACATATATTAGTACACATGAAGGAAAAACCTTTCAAGTGTCAATATTGTGAATATCGTTGCGCCCAAAAAAATAATCTAGTTGTACATGAAAGGACACATACCGGTTATAAACCGTTCGCGTGCCCTTACTGTGAGTATAGGACTGTGCAGAAGCCCAATTTAGTCAAACACATGTACCTCCACACGGACCAAAAGCCATTCAGTTGTGATTTATGTAGTTATCGTTGCGTACAAAAGACTAATTTAACAAAACACAAACAGAGACATTTGAATGAGAAGGACGGTGATAATGTTGATATAAAGAGTCAAGTAAAATCGTATCGTAGCAGACAGAAGTCTGTAAAATGTCCGCATTGTTCCTATAAGTGCGTTCAAAAAGCTAGTTTAGAGAAACATATAGCTTTTAAGCACCCTGATTGTCCACCGGACCCGGAGATTCCGGAGGAGGGCTTGAATTTAATGAAAAACGACAACGAGAACGAGGCCATACAAAATTTGAGCGTGAGAAAGGGCGATCAAGTTAATAATACTTGTTACACGCCTGCCTTCCTCGATGTCGTTAAAAAGAATGAGTTAGTCGGAAAGAATTTATAAGTGTCCTATTTTTTTGGTCTTAATTGTAAATAGTATTGTTATATTTTTGAATTTCGAATCAATTCCAATTAGTAGTTTGTACTAAATGATGAATGGTGATGAATTATTCGCATACACGTGTTGTAAAACCGATATGTTATTAAATAAATATGAATATTTTAAATGAATAATTATTAAAATAGTTTTCAAATCACAAGATCGATTGTCTATGGGTCTATTTATTATGAATGTTTAAAATCTGACAGATTTTCATATTGAATCGAGTTGTGAATTGGCACTAAAGTTTTAGACGAAACTACAACAGACAAGTGGCAATCGAATCGATCGGTGGAATCGTCATCGCAAGCGAGTCCTGCAAGAGCAAACAGGAATGATAAATCGTATGTTGCTGTCTCATTCTATCTTATGTTACTCTCGCTAGCGTTGTCTTCTTCTTTTCCACGCGAGCACTAATCGAAGCGATTCTCTCGATAGATTCGTCTGTAATTCGTCTAGGGTAAATGTCATTTGTAATGAGCCCTCTCATTTAGTGCTAGGGAAAGTATCCAAAATATGCTGGAACATAAATAAGCGCAATCTCTTTGCTTAACTGAACCGTGCTACTAGGGTAAGTCGGCAGGACGGTAAGGGTAAGTCCGGAACGAATGATTTGTCTTCGAATATCATCCAAAGGTTGCCTGGATAAGATCGCTTTTAGCGATGAGGACGCCCATTGTTTTCTCCCTATGATCATTTCTTGTAATTGTTTGTATCTATAATAAGTTTAGTATTGTAATCTTTTGGAGGGAACAATAAAGAGTATCTATCTACCCATTTTTTTTTAATGGATGATAATGAAATGGTAGCCCCGCCTGCGCTATCGCTATACGCTGACGGGGCACCAGTGAGAAATGATATTTGAGGATGAAGTCAGGCCAATTAGCCCACCGTGAGGGATTCAAGAAGAATTATACACAATGGTTTCCATTGGCAACCACGTGGACGTCGACCTGGGGCTGTTTAACTCCATTACTAACAATCGCTCCCCCCCCCCCCCCCCCCCCCCCCCCCCCCCCCCCCGGTTTTATCCATTGTCCACTATTGAGCATATGTCTTTTCCTTTTCAACTTCAACAATTTTTTTTTTATTTTTTCGAATTTAGAAACAAAATTTTCGTTCTATAGCACTACCCGACGCCGACTTACTCTTGTCGCATTTTAAAGCCTTAAGGTCGAATTAGGCCTCGTTAAGTTCTCAGTGATTACCACAACGACATATTTTAATGAAATAATTATCAAATTACGATTGCTGTATCATTATTATTAGGTCTTAGGAATGTTAACGCATGAAGAGTACTTTGGGCGTCATAGATAATTCTGTTTTTTTTTTTAAGATAGCCATACGGCTTTGGATGTTTCCTTTTAGCCCATCTTTAATATCTTTTTTTTTTATACAACTTAGAATGACAAACAAGCTGACGGCCCACCTGATGGAAAGTGGTAACCGTTGCCTATAGACGTGAGCAGTAGCATGGACATAACAGAGTATACTGTTTCGCCCATGATACCCCCCGTGCGTTGCCATTCCTGAGGACTCGGACATCTATTACTCTTATTGTATTGAATGTTTTTCTTGAAAAATTTATATAATTGAATCTATTTTGATATAATTACAGTGTTCCAATAGTGCGCAAGGGAAATTCTGTGTGTTCTGAACGGTAGATGGCGGGAAGTGTAGTATTTCTGTATGTGATCTCCATAGTGTTCTTCATGTCAATAGGCTATGGTTTCCATCAGGTGGTCAGCCAGTTTGAATGCCATTCTAAATAAAATAAAAGAAATAAAGCCCACTAAAGATCTATTTGGCGTTTGTTTCGTTAAATTGTGTCGTTGTGTACACACTTTTAGAATACATATTAAACTTGTCAATTTGAAAATATAGGCAAAGTTAATTATGTATACAGCCCAAAGTTTTAACATTTTTTTTTCATTTTAATATGAAGTCAAATCGAACAAAATGGTAATTTAATGTATTTTTTTTTTTAGATTTAATCTTATTTTTTAAGTTGACATGGTTGTTTTAATGTCGATATTTAATATTGAAATGATGAAGTGTTGTGATGCGCACAGTGGCGCCCTCGTGTTTTGTGTAATTATGCCAACTTTAATCTATTTACTGTAAATAAACGAAAAGCAAAGGGAAACATTACATTTCTGTGTTGCCAAAGGTTGTCTGAGAGAAAATATATAGCATTAAGCCCGTCTTTTGTATAATAATATTAAAAGGAGAATAAATAAAAATAAAATGTCCACTTCAATTATGACAATTTTTTAATGGAAACACGTATGAAGGTATAAATTCTATTGTTTACAAAATAAGTACAACTTAATTATTTTAGAAATTTTCTATGTCTGTCTGTATGTTTATTCCAGCATTACGCAAAAATATATATATATATATATATATATATATATATATATATATATATATATATATATATATATATAGTATATATATATATATATATATATATATATATATATATATATACATATATATAACATTCATAAGAACTTGTTTCCATTGTCTATGGTAACCAATTAATATTAAAGCTGTATGCTTGGTCATATTTTTGTCCTTATTTAATTTAAATTAATCAGAGGAATGATTTTTTTAACCAAATTTAAGAATTGTTTTTAAAATCAAGCTGTATAGCTTAGTTTCTTTGCTTTTCCCATAAATCGTGTGTTAGTAGGATAGTGGATAAATCGATATTACTACTTAAAAATTATTTCACTTTCAAAAATCAAGGCAAAAATTATACAAAACACACGTGGGGCGCGCTGCTATATGATTTTTGTAATGTTTTACTTAAATTATTAACATCTAGGTAGAGGGTCCCACTGTAAATGATAAATATTTTTTCTATGTGAATATATATGTATGTATACAATTTTTTTTGTGCGTAAACAGTGATACCAGATGTCATTATTTGTAATTAAAAGAATGTGGATTATGCAATTGGAAAATAGTGATTAATATAATTGTTACCGCTTTGAGCTTGTATCTCACACATCCAGTGTATACCTACGATTGGAATTAGGAAAAAAAAAATTGTGAATAATTAATTTAAAAAAAAAAATTTTGATATAATGTCTATTGTCTATAATATATAAATATATAATAATAATTTGTTATAAATATATTTGTATCTGTTTATCAACAATTTTCAATTTTTCACCACATAATTACATTTTGACTGGAAGAGAATGCTATAATATAGCATTAATTTTTATAATGTGGTGTATATATAGAATAAATAAAGGTATAAGTTATCTAAAAATAAATAAATAAATAAATAAAAAATAAATAAAATAATAAATGTGAGAAAAGTTTATAAATTCTATGAAAAATCCATATAATTTGGGAAAATTTTGTATGTAATTACTAGCAACACTGACCTTTTCATTGACATGACCCTCCATCTAGATGTAGGTGTTTTAAGTTTTTGTAATTAAGTAATTATTTTTAACTTATGCCTGTAGGCTGTGAATGGATTTATACATGAAAATAATAAAATAATCGTTACCAGAGATTTCGATGTACGTACCTAATATTAAGAAATGACGATTTGCATCACGCTTTATATAAAAATATCGATTGAATACGACTTTTTATTTGTTCGTAAAGTTTTTAGCGTATGTATGATATTTTTTTTTCTTTTTGTATTGTTCTTTTTATAATTAAATGCCGCTTACCAAAGTGTTTGCTTTGTTTTATTACACTATGTCTTGTCTATGGTATTTAAGCTCTTTGTTTTATATAAACGTTTATAATCTAACTGTATAGGGGGGGGGGATTGTTTGTGGGAAGAGTTTGTTGCAACGATCTCCACGTGCCCAAGGAAACCATCGTGCTGAATTCTAGTTTTTTTCTTATACAACTTAGAATGGCAAACAAGCTGACAGACCCACCTGATGGAAAGTGATAACCGTCGCCTGTAAACATGAGCAGTACCATGGATATAACAGAGTATACTGTTATACGCCCTTGATACCTCCATGCGTTGCCATTCCTGAGGACTCAGATGTTATTCCTTTGTACCCTGTAAATTCACGCCATATCCCACCCTTCAAATTGAAACATAGTCATGCAAATAATTGCATCACAATAGAAACACGAATGGGACAGAGGTAGCCAAGCAATCGACTTTTGTACAAAGTCTCCCTCTGGTAGGTGTATTCATTACGATGAGCTAATTAACTTAGCATTTTCATTTTCATCTATCATCCCTCACTGGTGCTCCGCCAGCGTATATCGATAGCGCAGGCGGGGTTGCCATTCCATAATCATCTATTAAAAAAAATCTAAATTTATGTTGATATTATTACTTACTAGCTTTTGCCCGCAACATCGTATGTGTGGATTTTTAAATAAAGTAGCCACTTTAAGATAGCGTATGAAGAAATGTGAACAGACGTATACCAGATTTTAAGTTACACCGTCATGAGCACGACTTTCAAAACTCAGTATTCAGTTTGGTGCAGTAATTTTTTATGTGATACCGAAACAAACATTGACAGACAGAAGAAATTTCAAAAAAAATATTGTGTGGCTTCTATACCATATATATTGATATCCCCTAAACACAGACATAGTCTAGTTATCTAATTTATGAATGGATAAAATCGTTTTAATATTTATTAAAAATTATAATTATTAACTGCATAAAATTGTATCTGACTTATTTATTAATAAGAATTTATAATACAAAAATGCAAACTGCCATCTGTTGTTGAATAGCAAGACTATTATAATCTTTGTTAGAAGACTGCTTTTACCAATATAGAGTTTTAGGAATCTGTACTAGAGTAATATTTTCTGTATGCAAAATGCATATGGTTTTACTATTGAACAATAGATGGCAGAATGAGTATTTCAACGAGATGGTAATACGTCTAAAGAGAGCTTTGACAATATACTAAGCTAAAAGTTTTATATCCAGCCACATATTAATTGTAGGGAGATACTAGCTTTTCTTATTGAAATTGTGAATTATTTATAGTAATAAAAATATTTATTCTCTTAATTATGTTCATTCAGATAATTATCTGTCTGTAGTTTGTTTAATTTGTTCAACTTTGGTACTTTACCAGCATTTCAGGGATTAGCTGTAATAAATAAATTAGTCCCCACTGCTAGGAAGGTCAGTCAAATGTGCTAGCAAAGTCACGTAGTTTGTTGTTGGTCCTTCCTTAATTTCTAGTGAATTCATCACGATGAGCAACTGACCTTCCTTCATATTGACTGTAACAGCGATTCCTAAAGTGGGTTCCGTAAAAAAGTCACCAGGGTTCCGCGAAATTATTTATACATTAACACAATTTCATTCTTCACAATAAAAGTTAAAGGAAACTGTAAAGAGCTATACTTTTAAAATATTTCTTCTAATAAAAGCTTTTGTTCTTATTTAAATTACAGTGTTTTTGATTTGTAATTTATTTATCTATAATAAATAAATATATTATAATTTATTTATTTATTATTTGTTATGTATTTATCAAACACAAGGCACGCTGTGGTTGCCTATAAATGTAAGAACAGTTAGATCTAATCCACCAGTGTATTGTATTGAAATGTTTAGCTGTATCTTATGTTGGTAATCCTATAAATAAATAAATAAGTAATAATTTGATGTGGGGTTCCATAAAATAAAAGGTATTTGTTGGTCGTTCCGATATCTTAAAAGTTTGACAACCCCTGTACTATCATCAGTCGCTAGTGTAACAGTAATTCCGACTGCGTTATCAATACTGACGGGTTTTTTTTAATAAATGATAATGGAATGGCAACCCCGCCTGCACTAACGGTATACGCCGGCGGAGCACCATTGAGCGATGGTAGGTGAAAATGAAAAGCTAGGTCAATTAGCCCATCGTAATGAATACACCTACCAGAGGGAGACTTTGTACAAAAGTCGATTGCTTGGCTACCTCTGTCCCATTCGTGTTTCAACCGTGAAGCAGCTGTGTTTGCATGGCTGTGTTTCGGTTTGAAGGGTGGGATATGCCGTGAATTTACAGGGTACAGAGGTATAACATCCGAGTTCTCAGGAATGGCGACGCATGGGGGATACGGGGATTTTCATCCCATCAGAATAGGAAAACCCAAAAAAATCGGTATTAAAACCAGTCTATGATTTTAATCCCGATCTCAAGCAATCAAGATCACAGACGGTATTGAGCCTTTAAGTCTAAGACGAGACTACCTCCTTTTGTGTGTTCTACCGCTTGTATAACGGATTGTGTTATGAGGAATTGTTTTGAAATGATGCCCACAGCCGCCTTTTATCATCGCACCGCTCGCCATCGACAGGGAATTCATTCTCACACGCTTGAGCCTAAATGATCATGTACAGTGCGGTTTCAAAGGTTTTCTGTCGAGGTTTTCCCTAGAGACTACAGTATGGGGTTCTACAAAAAGGGTATATTAAGGTTTCTTCAGGTTCGGCAACGCGCACGTGACACCACTAGTGTTCCAGGCGTAGGCTAGGCTCGTAGGCTACAGTGACCGTTCTCCGTTAGACGGGCTGTATGCTTGTTTGCCAACTTTGTAGCATATTTTTTTTTAATTGAATCATAAATTCAATTTCAGGAACAAGAGATGTCATTATCGGTGTTTTGTTTGTAAAACCTTGTTGTAGGAGAAAAAAATTTGGACAGTGAATAATTTCATTTCTCTCGTCGAATATTTATGACGATTATAGAGTTATTTAAGTCCTTACCTAATTATTTTAAGTCCGTCTACTCTTACAAGCAGAAAGTGGCAGCTACTTGGAACGAGGAAGTGGCGTAGAGCAATAAAGTATTAAATAATACTTTGTGACATTAATGGTAAGGTACCATAGTTTTTAATGGGTGATAATGGAACGGTAACCCCACCCGCGCTATCTGTATACACCGGCGGGGCACCAGTGAAGGATGATAGGTGAGAATGAAGCAGGTCAGTTAGCCCATCGTGACGAATTCAACAAGAATTGTTCACAACGGTTTCCAGGGGGAACCATGTGGAGGTTGACCTAATAGGGCATATTGCTAGCAATGGGGCTGTGAAACTCCATTGCTAACAATCCCTTTCCCCCCAATATTAGGTACCCTAATTGAAGACTAAGTGTTTTGCATTTTAATCTATAATTTCGTTGTCATATATCATATATTTTGAGACGAAATATACTGAACGCATAATTTCTTTGCGGCAGAAATATGTAAATGCCCTCCCCCTATGTGTTTTTATATAGGTTCTATTATAGTTTATATTTTTTTTCTTTATTTACTGAAATTATCCATTATCCAAACCGCGATCGATGATCTGAGCTACAAATTCAAATTCGGTACGTTCGAATTTCGAAAACAGAAACAATTACGGTTGCGCCGCGTGATTGACGC